GGCAAGTTTCCTTATTCCACACCCCTCTGTTTACCAAGCAGTAAGTAGGAACCCGGTTGCTTTTCGGAGGTAATAACTCCCCCACCCAAAAAAAATTTACTAAAATTTTGTCCCTCAAACCACGACTGTTTGGGGGACGTTGCTGTGCGCAATTGGCTGCCGCGTTTTGCCCACAAAAATAACACAGTCAATCCATTTCACAAGTTACACCATGAAGCGCTTTGAGACGTCTCGACGACATGATAAGGCACTGTATCAAATGCAAGGATTATAATAATAATAATCCTTGCATTTGATATAGCGCTTTTCACATCGGGAGGACGTCCCAAAGCGCTTCACAGAACACACTGTAAAGTGAATTGACTGTATATTTGTGGGCGAACGCGGCAGCCAATTGCGCACAAACAGTCCCACAAACAGTCGTAGATTGAAAATGACCATTTTATTATTGTTTTTGGTTTTGGAGCGATTATTATTAGGCTCTGTGTGGAGTAAGGAAACTTGCCCAAGGTTTCGCCCTCTGCCTGGGATTGAACTCAGGTCTCTCACTTGCAAAGCGAGTGCTCTAACCACTGAGCTACAGGACTCCATATCATTATTATTATTATCAAAAAAATCGAGGACAACACTGCAACAGCACATAAAATATTCATTTAATATCTGCCAACATGTATGGTGAGTGCACAGAGCTGTCAAAACAGTTCATTTCCTGACTCTTTTGGTCAAACGAACTTTCCATCACCAAACATCCGCCCCCCAGCAGCCTCGAAGGCTGTTTAAAGCTTAAAGCTCGTTTGATATGCAGCAAACACAAAGCAGCTAAGAATCGAAACGGATCACTGCATGGTTTCATTCAATTACAGTGACGGGCTAGGCAAGACAAGGCAGTGTTATTTCCCAGTCCTCCGCCAGGCATTAAACTCCTCAAAACTAAGGGTAATGACAGCATAAATAATTGGTTAGCGTTTATATAACCAGAAGAGAAAGGGGAAGGGGGGGGGGGGTGATAGAAATAAAAATACCTCGTTGATAATCTCCTCGAGGGTCAGGAAATAAGCTGCTTTTATATCACACCGTACACGTTGGCAGATAATAAACGGATATTTCTCTTTGTGAAGAGAGAAAAAAATAATAAAACGCATTTGATACGAGAGCTGTTGGTATCGAAACATCTCAAAGCGCTTCACAGGGAATTGCTATCAGCTGCAGCGACTGTGTGTGCGCGCGTGTGCTTTTGCAGGCGAACGCAGGAGTCAATTTGTGCACAGCAAGGCGTGCAATGAGTGAATGACCAATTTTATCCAGCGGAGGTTTGGTGGTAGGGGGGCTATTGACTGCCAGGACACCGGGGAGAAACTCCATCCTCCTATGGAATAACATCGCGGGATCTTTAAAGTCCACCTGAACGGGGCAGTCGAGGTGGTTAAGAGGGGTCCCGCGGCCGACATGGAGGACTGGCTGTGGTCCTTCTCGGGGCTTTTCCCACTTAACATGGGGGCGGAGGAGTGTTGAGCCCCCTCTAAGCCCTGGCCACCCACCGGCAATGGTGGTGCTGAGGGGGTGGAAATGAGAGATGCACAGCACGCCCGAGTTGGGTGGGAAATGGACGGGACGCCGAGCTTTCAAAGTCAAGAGAGTCTGTGGGTTTGAAAGACCATCTTCAACCATCTCTCGAGTGAATTCCACAAGGCTGTGGGAGTACATAAATAAATAAAATAAATCGCGGCCTCAGGTTTCCATTGACCTTGACCGTCAAGACGGCTGGCAGATAGCAACACACTGAGCTGTTCATTGTTGCTGTTATTAACCTGAAGCTTGAATCCTGGAGGGATGGCCAATTAGTCTGACAAGAAGCAATGAACCCCCGAAGAGAGAGAAAAAACGATCGAGGGCTTGTGCTGAAGGGGGAATGGCGCACCGAAATTCCATCTAGTCTTAGCGCTTGGCCCGTGAGACCGTTTTTCCTCCCATCTTTAAAGATTTTTGGGTGAAGGTTTCTTGACGCAGTATTAACTTTAACCCAATACACAGTCACTACGCTTTAGAGCTTTGAGTGGCTGGGCTCTATAGGTGATTATCAAATCCAAGGGACACCATTTGTTACTTATTATAATTTTTTATTATTTATTATATTTTATTATTTATTGTAATTTTTTAAATAATTTTATTTGTGTTATCATTTACACAGAAGCACTATGGACGTGTTATTTTGCACAGCAATAGTCCTGCGATAAGGGCGTCGAGGTTATCAGTGCTGGAGTAGGATTATCAGGAGTCCTTTAGCATATTGCTTATAGCACTTGAAAGGGAGAGGACCTGAGTTCGATTCCCAGGCAAGGTGAAGTGTCGGGCAAGTTTCCTTACTCCACACGGCTCCGTTTACCCAACAGCAAATAGGAACCCAGTCGTTAGTCGGTTGGCGGATCTCTTTTCCGGGTAATAATCCTTTCAAGAATAATAATAATTGTCATTCAATCCAAGACTGTTTGTGGGACACACTTCACAGTATCTTCCGTGAAGCGCTTTGAGACGTGGCAAAGACGTGATAAGGCGCTATGTCAAATGCAAATTATGGTTATTATTATTATTATTATTAATTACTGTGGAGCGGTTAGATTATTTGGGTTGGTGGGACCAGAGGCAACGATCGCAAGCCTATGGAACGGTGAAGGGACACAGCTCTTCAACCATTACCAGGCACGCAATCCCAGGCACCAATAAAACCACTGTGACTTTTTAACGCTCCCAAAATGATATATAAACCTGTGAGAGATAAGTCCGTATGTCCCTCGAATGCTTATCGTAAAAAACTGCCACTGGGAATGAGATTTGAGAGGCTTGTTTTATTTTATTTTCGCCCCCTTCCCTCTCTGCCTCTCCACCTCCTCCTCAGCTCAAGTGCACATAACAGTTTCTGACAGAAAACACCTGCTTAAGGGAGGTGCAGCCAGCAAAGCTTGGAGAAAAATACTTTTCCCTGCTTCTACGGCTTCTCCAGCTATTGAGGTCTTGTGCCCTCTGCCTTCGTTCTGTTTTCATTCCGCTTGATCGATATTCGCTGCGTGTTCAAAGGCACCAGTGACATTTTGCCTCCAAATGCTTACACTCCTTCGATCTTTCATTTGACTCGAGCCTCGGCAGTCAATAGCCAGAAGAATAAGAAAAAAAAACGAGACATTTTAAACACCCAATATGAAAAATCTAATTTAGGGGAAAAAAATGTGTATTTTTTTGTTTTGTTTGAAACAAAAACAGTGATTCAGTAACATTGAGTAATATGATCCTTCTCTCCCTCCCTCTCTCCCTCCCTCTCTTCCTCCTCGTTCCCTCTATTGTGTGGCGTCCTGTAGCATATTGATTAGAGCACTCGCCTCGCAAGTGAGAGGACTCGGGTTCGATACTCGGGCAGAGCAAAACGTTGGGCAAGTTTCCTCAACTCCACATGCCTCTGTTTACCTAGCAGTAAGCAGGAACCCGGGTGTTAGTCGATTGGCGGATTGCTTCCTGGGGGTATTAATCCCTTCAAATAATAACAACAATTTGGTCGCTCAATCCACGACTGTTTTGTGGGACACTGCTGCGCGCAATTGGCTGCCGCGTTTCACCCACAAAACATACAGCGCAATTTGCTTTGCAGTATATTTTGTGAAGCACTTTGGGACGTCTCGACGACATGATAAGATGCGATAGCAACTGCAAGGAATATTATTTATCAGCAGTGGTATATTTTTCCCGGGGTTGAAAATCAGGAATGCGCTATATGGCTGCGATTGCTGGTTCATTCTGTTGCGAGTTGGAAATCTTGGAAGGTGAATTAAACCCGTCGGTCACTAACCACAGGATACAGCGCCTGATTTCAGTAATTACAGTCCTCTGGAGGATTCACACACCAACCCCCGCAGCCCCAAACCCTCCCTCCCCGATCAACAGTGGTCGAGTAATGAACACAATCATTCACCAGAAAGGACTTGGAACTCTTGATCCTGTGAGGAGCTTTTACAGCCACGGCTGCACAAGAACCCCCGAGAGCAGCAGAAAGTAAGAGGACATGAGAATGAGCCATGATGATGGTGTTCTACCCCAAAAAATTATTCAACCAAATTGTCCATTGCTTAGTGACTGACGTCTATAAATAGTGCGCAACCCACCCACTCCCAACCCCCCCCCAAACCCCCCCCACACACACCCCCGCCTCCCGGCAACAACAAAAAATCAGGTTTTTCTTTAAACGCAGTGTGATTAAGTTATTACTGCTTCGCAAATCAACACACGTTAAACCCCACCTGACATCCAAGCAATGTTCAACCAAGAGAGAAATCGGACGGACGGAGGGGATTCGAAAGAGTTTTAAATATTACTCGCGGGATAATGAAACACTCAAGTACAATTCGAAAGCGCAATGGCTGCTTTCTAGTAAATAAAAGGCGCTGGATAAGTATCCAGGAGAAGGATTCAAGTCAATTCCTTTGGAACACTATAATACCAGGATGTGTCTATGGAGAAAGGAAAGTGAGTGAACGTTTCAGGTCCACGGCCCTTCATCAGAACCTTCGTCAGAACCCCTTCGTTCCGACCAAGGGTGCTGGACCCGAAAAGTTCACTCACTTTCCTTTCTCCATAGATGCTGCCTGACCTGCTGAGTGTTCTCAGCCACTTCTGCTTCTGTTTCAGATTTCCAGCATCTGCAGTGTTTTGCATTTTGTTAATACCAGGAAGTACCAGTCTATTACACACGACGAAAAGACCAGCGACTAACAACAGGAACGAGACCAGAAGATCTTCAGTAAAATGAATAATAATCATAATAAAACTGCATAAAATCGTACCAAAAGTATCCAAATTATAATTTCAGAGTTTCCCATTGATACAATACAATGGGCAAAACGTACTTTGGAAACAAATGATTTTTTAAAAAAAAAATATTTTTTATATTAAAAAAAAGCCATTTAGCAATGATTCATTGAGAAACCAACACGAGGACGAAAGAGGTGTAAACCTACCCAGATCCAAACGAGATCTTCTCGCTGCCCACGCTGCTGAAGTCTTCCCTGCAAGTTTGGAATCAAAGAAAGCATCCGGCATTAGCGTCATCGAGTCAACAATAATTCATCTAAACACGCTCAAAGGTAGACACGCACTCGACAAACGGGGACCATCCTCTATGTTCGCTAAGAGGTCGCCACAGCGGTGAATTCAGATGACAATGATATAGCGCTTTGAGATGCCTCGACGATGTGATAAGGCGCTGTATCGAATGCAAGGAATATTAGTTGATGTTATTCATAAAACCATCAAGTCAAAACACAGCGACGCTTCAACAACAACACCACCACCAACAACAACAACAACAACTTGCGTTTGTATGGCGCTCTCGCCCTGGGTAGCGACCCAGAGGCACGGCCACACATTTGCAATTTCTGCCCTGGCACCCCCTCCCCTTCCCGTCACCAAAAAAAATGATGTCTAAGAGCAAAAGTGCCCCTTTTCTGAATACCCCCCCCCCCCCCACCCTCACCAAAAAAAAAAAACCAGCCTCTGTACCTATTTTCTCCACTCACACATATTATAGACCACCACCACCCCACCCCCCACTCCTCAAAAAACCTAGGTATCTACAGTATTTGACGCACACACACACACACACATAATAAAAACAGCCTCTATATCTACAGCATTTTCTCCCCCCCCACACACACACACACACACATTATATATACACCCCCCAAAAAAAATAAACAAGAGTCTGTATCTAATTTCTCCAGACACACACACACACAAACACGTTATATAATATATATATATATATAATAGATACAACAAAAGGCAAATGATATAAACTGAATCCTAGATAGCATAGATTTTTTACTCAATCACCCAGTGAGTGTCAACAAGGCAACTAACTACCCCCTGGGTATTAAACACTTACATCAATCCTTTTTGCATCCCCCCCACAACACACACACACACACATACAACACGATTAAGTCATCAGCAAATTGATGCAAGGAGCCAGATGGGGGGAAATCGTACCTTCCAGTCTCTCTTTTAAATCCCTCTGTGTTTAATCTCTCACCTCGAGTATCAAATTGACGAGTGCACCAGAGGTTTGGTTTAATGCGCACTTTTACTGTGTTCATTTTTTTTGTTGCAATTGTGATTTAGTTGTCTGGACAACTTTGCAACGCAGTTTATTTTAATTATCTGAGCCCAAAAGGAAAGACGAGAGTTGTTTTTTTTATTAAAAAAAACCTGGATACGTATCTGACTCTCTTCTCTCTCTGATAAATACACAAGTACATAATCTCTCTCTCTCTCTCTATATATATATATATATGTACACAAAAACTGGTTTATGAAGGGCAAAGGAAACCAGGAATTTAAACCAGGTGAAAAAAATGCGTAGGATAACCTGATGTAAACTAGTTTTGCTACATTGCTACGACGTGAGTCAACCTTTTCACACTGAATCTGAAAGGAAAACGATGATTTTTTTGTTAAATTTTAAGGTGTGTTTTGTGTGCTCCTGAGTTTGAGTGGACGGGGGGAGAAGGGGATGAGAACTTAAGGTATCTATGAACATATTAAGACAGATTGCAAATGGATAAAAGGGGTTTATCTCTCTCTCTTTCTCTCTCTCCCATCAAGGCACAGGATGAGAATGTCACAGAATGGAGCTAAATTGGGGAGGGGAGAAAAAAGGAATGTTTTCTCTCTGCCAAAGTGTGTCAAAGGGGTTGATGTTGATTGATTGGGAGAGTTAGAAGGCAGAGAGCAGTAACTTCAAAGCAATTCTCCCCCCCAAAAAAACCCACTCACACTCAAAACCAATTTGGAATCACCTTTTCTTTAACCTCCCTTTCTCTTTTCTCTCTCCCTCTTCTGGTCCTCTCTCTCAATCTCTCTGTCTGTCTCTCCCCCCCCACTCCGTGCATATGTTCCACATCATAACCCACACGAAACACGCATTTTCGTGTGTTAATTTCACGTGAAATTGACAAGCTGCCTTCACTCAATCAATCCCTCAATTACTCAATCCCTCAATTACTCACTCACTCAACGAATCAATCAAGCAATCAATGAATCACTCACTCACTCAATCAATCAATCAATCAATCACTCACTCAATGAATCACTCACTCAATCAATCAATCAATCAATCAATCAGTCACTCAATGAATCACTCCCTCACTCAATCAATGAATCACTCCCTCAATCAATCAATCAATCACTCACTCAATCACCCAATCAATCAATCAATCAATCAATCACTCAATCAATCAATCCCCCAATTAATCAATCAATCATTCCAAGGCACCGATTCCAAAATTGTCTGACATTCCGACAGTTGGATACTTTTTCAAGAGGGTGTGAAGAGACAGAGAGAGAGAGAGAAAGAGAGAAAGAAGGAAAGAAAGACAAAGAGAAATACGAAGATAAAACATCCACCAAACGCCTGGCACTCGCCTGTGGCTGACATGCCTCTCCAACCTCCACCACTGTCTCTCTGCCCCAATGCGTTTGGCAATCCTTCCCACGAATAAATGACCTGTGGCTGCTTTCTATTCCTGTTCATTTGAGATCTCTCTCTCTCTCTCTCTCTTTTTTTTTCTCTCTCACACACACACACACACCACTTTATGTATTCAGACTGCCTCTAGCGGTCCTGCCAAACAATTTTCCGCAGGGCTGTGCAAATAAAACCCTGGACTTGTAGCAGCCAAATGATGTTCTGGTGTTACCTGTCTCTACGTTATTAATCATAACCATCTCTCCGCCCTCCTCTTCCCCCCCCACCACCGCCGCTCGCCCCCACCGCCGCCTTGCGGTGTTCGACACAGCGCATCTTTTGTACCCCACGAAGCGCGGTGACCGGGTTAGACTTGCGGGCGGAGACAGAGATAGAGAGATAGCGAGCGAGCGAGCGAGAGAGAGAGAGAAGAGAGCGAGAGAAACTCCTCTTTCTGAGTCAGCCTGACGCAAGAGGTAGGGAGCATTCTTGCCTCTGAGTCAGAAGGTTAAATCGCAGAGTCTAAACTTGTTCTCCCGTTCCATGCTGAGAGCCTGGTCCGTTGTTGGAGGCGGACGATCTCCGAACCGCACCCGGTCACTTCGTTTCACAGTCGATCCTGTGAAGCGCTTTGAGACGCTCTTCGAAAGGGAACATCTCAGCAAAAGGGCCGGGCCTCTGGTAATGCAGTGCTCTTCCACCCCACCTCCACCCTCCACCCCCCACCCCCCAAATCCTGGGTGAGATACATTTTTAAGTCTCAACCGAGAAAACTACAAGGGAAGGAAAGTTTTGTATCTCTGGCACCGAAAACAATTCCCAATGGACAAGCTCTCGGTAACATTCATCCTGAACATCTTTAATCACTTGCTGTTCAGTGAGGGGACGCTGAAGGACTTCTTATTGGCTCTTCCCAGGGACCTGCCAGATTCACCATCTGTGCAGACGGAAGGCGTCAGATCACTGGAGAGCCCTGCTGACAATCCACGCTCAGGCCTCTTTGATGGACGCCCAAGTTTCTACCACAGGACATTGGTATGCATGGCTCATTGGCGGGCACAGCAATAATAAATCCCTTGCGGCCCTGCATGAAGCCATCAAGTCCACAAAACCTCAACAATAATAATACTAATAATAATCCTTGCATTTGATATAGCGCCTTATCACGTCGTCGAGACATCTCAAAGCGCTTCACAGGACATACTGTCTCATTGCCTCCACCTCTCTCTCGCCCCCACCCCCCCACCCCCGAAACGTGATTCCCTAGTTTTTACTACTTGTACTGCATTTGGCTAGTTACTGACCAGTTCTGAGTCAATAAATCAGCGAGTAAACCACATTCAGAAAGCATAGGTCTCACGCCACTACGAACAATTGTCTCAAGCACTACTGTCAACCTGGATATAACTTGCTAATGGTTATAATATTCTCCAGGGAATCAATTGTGCGCGGAGACAAGTCACATTGAATTTGTGGTCCAAAAGTTATTTAGCCACCCACGCACATACATAATAGATGGCTATGGGTGATAGGCAAAGGAGACAGACATTCAAAGAGGTTCAGGTTTTAGCACAATGCACCCAGGAGCACAGCTGCAGCAACTGTCATCTGAATCCTATAATTTGCATAACTACTTCGAACTCCTTCAGCTCCCAGGGTTATGGTTTTTATGTTACTCGATAGTAAAAGAGGAAACAAACAACACACTTACCTATACACACGCGCACACAGGCCTTAAAAGTTTTATATTTTTACACAGCAAAAAAAACACTCAATGCCAATGTAAATTTCCCTCAACGAGCTTTTGTTGGCGAACAAGTTATCAATTACATGACTGACTGGTTGTGATCAAATAATAATTATAATCCTTGCATTTGACATAGCATCTTATCGTGGCTTTGAGATGTTTCGAAGCGATTCCACAGAATGTACTGTACTGTATTGTAAAGTGGATTGCCAATTACAGCCAATTACCCACAACAGTGTCCCACAAAGAGTCGTGGATTGAGTGATAAAATTATTATTACTTTTAAGAAGATTCACATAGTCCATGGGAGATGGAAAGCACGGTCGACGAGATGAGATGGGTCTTGATGGAGGCGAGGGAGGGGGTGAGGCGAAAGGACTGCGGGACGGAGTTCCGCAGGGCGGGGGCAGAGTGGCAGAAGGCCCGCCCCCCCGCAATAGCGGGGCGAGCTAGGAGGGGGACGTGAAGCAGGCCGGAGCACGCTGAGCGGAGGAGGAGGTTGAGCGTAACAAGATGAGCATTGAGCTGAATACCAGAAGCAGTTGGGAAAAAACTGAGAGAGAGGACGAGAAAGGGACATTGCAGCAGATGCAAAACATGCCCCATAAGAATTCAGTGGATTTACAATACAATGCCAATTCATATAATTCGTGGGAATAAACAAGGTTATTTTCTACATTTTACATAAACACCACAAACTTTTAAATAGATTTAATTCAAAACAAAGCAACGTGTGGGTATGACATTAGAGGGCCAGTTCTTTCTCACACACACAATATCATAAACACTCCATAAATAGAGCCCAGCTCAATGTTTATCAGTCATTTTACAGGCTACGTCATGGCCAAAGAAGACAAGAGGCAATGTAAACTTGTCTGCGCTTGGTTTACCCACAGCTCATTGTGGCTTTGGAGACATTTTCCTTCCTACTGACTTGTACCACATTCTCCCACCATATTTACCCAAAGCCACCGAATTGGATACGGACAACACCGTTCAATACCCACTTCAATAGAGAAGTTCATTACAGCGCCACCGAGTGACAAGAATCATTTTACAGACGAGGAGCAAGAATCCTCCTTGCGGTTGATCCAGCCCCTTTCACATCGGGAGGACGTCTCACAGCGCTTTCACACGACTTTATTGTAAAGAGTATTTTGCAGGTGAACGCTACAGCCAATTGGTGCACAGCGATGTCCCACGAACGGCCATGAGGTGAACGACCAATTTTATCTTGGCCAGGACAACCGGGAGAAATTCCCTTCTCTTTTCGCAAAGCACCACGGCATCCACAGGCACCCAAACAGGTCAAATGGGACCTCGGATCAACGTTACATCCGAAGGACGGCACCTCCAACAATGTAGCACACCCCCTAGACTGCGTGGGAATGTCAGTCTAGACCATCAGTTCAAAGTTCTGAAATAAGGCATAAACTCTGACTCAAAGGTGACAGTGCTACCGACTGAGACACGCTGGCAGCTGAGTAATAATAATAATAATCCTTGCATTTGACATAGCGCCTTATCACTTCGTTGAGACATCTCAAAGCGCTTCATAGAATATACTGTACAGTGAATTGACTGTATATTTTGTGGGCGAAACGCGGCAGCCAATTGCGCACAGCGACGTCCCCACAAACAGTCATTGCGCTCAAAAAGGCACAAATGTCCGGGATTCGATCGCAATTCCTACAATTGTTTTCGAGATTAAGTAGGTACACAACAGAGCAAGAGCATGTGTGTACATCAACCTTTCCTGCAAAAGTACAATAGTTCCTGTTGTTAAAGGCAAGAGTTTAATCAGTTAGGCTTGGGGGAGTAGAGGGTGGGGGGGGAGGAAAGATTGGGAAAAAGAGTCAAGGAGCCCAGGGGATTGTATGAAGCAGATAGAAGTTGATGGCAATTGACAATCACAGACCAGAGGCAAAGAAGACAGTTAACATGTCACCCGACAGCCACGATGGGGAAAAAAAACCTTTATTTCCAACTGGTCAGATCAATAACTCATCAAAAAAAAACATTCATTTGTGACCCGAATTGTGTGGCAAAAGTTATCACAGTGATTCTCATTCTCAGTACAATTACTGCACACTGGGTCATTAGGCTTTTCATCCTGTTGCTGCTTTCTGCTGCTTGAATTTGCTTTCAAACGAGATTTCCATTAAATAACTGAGTGCTTCGTGCTAATCTGGGGTCGCACAGACCAGACCCTGGCCTGTTTATCATCTTTCTCCCCCCTCGTCCCCCTCCTCGCATTAAAATAGTAAAGCCAGTCGTAAACCCTGTGGCACATAAGGCACAATCAACCTTATTAGACATGGTTCCTTCCACACCGTTAATCTTTTCACTTCTCAAGAGGTTGTTTCTCCACAGACAGCTGGATTTCTAAAAATTCCTTCAGTAACACGTTGCTAAGCAACATATTTAGCAGGATTACGGCTTGTGGCAGACATGCTATTTTGCCCGCACATCAATAATGCTCAGTATCTCAGCACATCAACGCACAGACGTGATTAAATGAAAACATTTCTCAACCCAAGTATTGGGAGCAGGAGTCCGAAACTGAAAAAGGGGGAAAAAAAAAGATGGGTTTTGAAACGAAAAGGTTAAATGGCAATTTTGGGGGCTCTAACTTTCCTTACTCCTCTCAAGCTCTGAACGGACTCTTCCCGATGCCCCATGCACTCACTCCCCACATTTTCTCTGTGTTGACGTCAAAGCAAACTGGCTCAATGCTGCATTTGGGAAATTTGGGGGTTGGGGGAGGGAAGGGAATTCTGGAAAGATCAGGTCAGACATGTTTTTCATCGGGCTTTGGAAGCCTCATACTCTGCATAAATCTTATTCAATGTATGATCCTTGACTGATACAACCTATGTGAGTGAGGTTTACTGTAATAGAGTCTCCTTCTGGATTGTTTTCTATCCAGCACCTTGGGATGTCCTCCTGACCTGAAATGCACTATACAAATGTAATCTGTTGTTGTTTGGGGGGAGATTGGGGGAAGGAGAGCATGTGCTGAATGCTACTTGTCGCTATGCACAGCCAGAGATTCTGCAGCAAGACCCTGCAATATTACTGAAGAAATTTTCATTGTGATTATAAATTGGGGGTAGGGGGAGAACGGAGAAAACTTACGTGACCTACTTAAAGTAATATTATTGGCAGCTTCTTCAAATACACTTGCTTTATCTTTTATCCTTTTTGATGGCTTTGATGTAGAATTAACTATTATCTAAATTGGATTCAAGGCTCCTTTTATGCTCAAACCTATGCATGCGAAGCAAAGTACGGTGCCAATTTCAATGAGCGTTCTTTTCATTAAAATGTGGCACTTTTCTGTGAACTCCCAGCTTAAGCTCAGCTCCCAGTGATGCTCCGAGCCGCTCCTTGGTCTAAACAAAGCTCTTGTGATGATGAAATTCTCTTGGGCATTTGTTCTGAAGTTTATTCATTACACATAATTTGGATGAAGCAAAATGCCCTTTTCCATTCAGCAGATTCTCCCGGTTTAATGACTGTATTTGCATTACGAGAGCTTGAATTATCAAGAAAGAGAGAGAGAGAAAAAAGCAAAAGTGCATCGCCAGTTATTCGTCACACAGATATGCTTGTTAGCAGTGTTTGGAATTTGCAGTGTATTTCATGTACTGCACAAGGAGGAAAGGCCACGATTCTCTCTCCACACACCAAAGTGACGCACGTCCCTGCAATTTTCTCCCCCAGCTGAACAACAGCAACAACAAATTACATTCACACAGCACCTCTAGCATTGGGAGGATGTCCCAAGGCTCTGGATAGTTAGGGATTTGGACCTGAGCTGGGGTTTGGGATCAGGAGGGGTGGAGGGGCTGACCAAAGTTGTAATCGAAGAGGAGGGTCTTGAGACAGGCCTTGGAGGAGGCAAGGGAGGGAGCGAGGCGAAGGACTGAGGGATGGAGTTCCAAAAGGTGGAGGCAGAAAAGCTGAAGGCTGAACAGGGAAACCAGCCACAGTGAAATTGGCACATCCTGTAAACTCAACTAAAATATTCCTCCAAACTGCAAGAAATACCAGCTGCTACTATTTTTTTAAAAAAAAGATTTATTACATTAAAAACACATAATTCCGCACAAAAACTTTTTTAAAAAAATGTAAACTCTTTCCTGTTAAAATATTTTTGTCAAATAAATCTTATATTGCTCACAGTTCAACTTGCCCAAGATCAAACAAAAAGTCCAATTTTAGTTGATGCCCAAGTCTATAAGTTTATTCTTCTTCAAGCAATTTTATATTAAAATATTAGCTAAGATAAAAGCACGCAAAAAATATTCAGCTCTGAATTTTTGGGTTTCATACAAGGATTGTCGTAATTACTTATTATAATTGCCTGACTGAAGGCAAGAACATTGGCGTTTAGATGAGAAGAAATATCAATGCAATGATTTCCTTTTGTTAATTAGCTCTTTATTCGTATACACTCTCCCTATCTGTGTTGGGTCAGGTCGATGTGATGAATAAATCTGTGCGTAAAAATTAATTTCAAAACTAGCAGTTTCAATTCTGTGCCAATTTTCTCTTCCGAAGCTCACAATTTGAACCATTTTCCAATTAAATAAGTTGTTGCTAAGGTTTGCCTTCCCCCCAGCATCACCCAAGATGCACAAAATGTGTTTAACTGTCACAGAGTTAAAACAAACATGAATTTTCTCATTCAATAGTGCAATTTCAAATAAGCAACAGATTTTTTTTTTAAAAAAAGCCTTTTTCTCAAAATCAACCACTTTGACACAGGAAGTCCACAACACGCATATTATTTAAATAGTGATTTTTTTCCCTGCTACTTAAAATAAATCAAGACAGCTTGTGTTGGACTCCCCCTTTATAAAGCTCTCCAAGACGCGACGGGCGCTATATAAATTCAATTTGTTATGGTTGTTATAATTGACCGATTCACGAGGGTAGGCTTCAGATTAGAATAGAAAAACAATGCTGAAGATACTACTTTGTTCCATTTATTGTTCTAGCTACTCATTGTAAACCTCCACAGCTCTTAAAAGCTTTTGTACGTACGAGCTGAACAAGCACCCAAGTCACGCAAACCAAAGTACACAATGAATGTGTGTGTACCACCTTCCCCTTTCTCAGACTCCCTGAGAACAAATCCAAGAGCAGGTTTGAGCATTCCTGCAATTATTTTAGCAAAATTTATTGCACATGGGTCACTGCGGTGAATGGAAGGAATTACAAAATCTGAAAGATGTTTTAGTGGTAGTTATACCTCAAGTGCATTATCCTTGGTTATTTTACCCAGCAGGTTTATAAAACAAGTTCTCTACCATGTAGAGAACCATGATGTTTAAATATAAAACAGAACAAGCTTCTTCGGGTAAGTGCATTGGACTGTGAAAGAGGGCATCATTAATGGCTTTTTCTTAAGAGGTGCCAAGAAGCTTGGGAGATAGAGGTGCTTAAAGCTCACAAGAAGAAAGTGATCATCTCTTGCGGTAGGCTAACTGACAATTTGGATGTCTTTGGGGTCAGGGAAAGGAGGAATGAAAGGAGTTGGACCTCACAGACCTGAAACAATCTCAGTTACCCAATAAACATATTAAATTCCTGCACCATAAGCACAGGCCAATTCTTAAAATTGGAAGCCAGCCACCTGCATGACACTTCCCAATTTGGCAGGGCTGCAAGCCTACAAGTTGAAGTCAGTGGTGCCTATAAGCTACTGTGCTGTTTTGGCTGCATATACTCAAGAAAATCTGCATAATTTCCTTCAACTCTACAGTATCGCAGACCTTGCCCTGGAAGCTTCTTGTCTGGAAGAAGCAGGTAATTAGAGTTCTGCTGAAGCACCATTCAAATTTTGGGTGGCATCTGGATTAAGACTAAATCAGTTCCACAGCTGAATTCTCAAAAGAACCAAGAATATTAAGATGGGAAACTCCTACACGTCCTTGGCAGAAAAGCCAGAGAAAATGCTAATTAATCCCTGTACTGGCACCCGACAGATCAAGGCATTAAAATCGTACCCGATATTTGTGGTGACGTTTAAACAGCAAATATCATGTATTAGGGTCTCAATACAAAAACAGCCAAATGACAACAGATCTAATAGAGTGGTTCAAGTTGCTCTGAAGAACATCTTGGCCAGGAACTAGGTTGACATCATGGGAAGTGGCTTTCAAATAAAATCCGTAATGGAAACCAAAGAGTGAAAAGCTTTATAATAATCCTTGCATTTGATATAGTGCTTTACCACATCTTTGAGACATCTTAAAGCACTTCGCAGGATACACTGTAAAGTGAATTGATTATATTTTGTGGGCAAATGCCAATTGCACACAGCAGTGTCCCACAAACAGTCATGGATTGAAGTGACCAATTTTTTTNGAAAGAATTATTACCGCCGGAAAAGCAAACTTCCATGGTTTGTTTCTTTGAAGAGTACAAGGAAGGCATTGAGACATTGGCTTAAAAAGCCTGAACCTCTCTACATAAACCAATCAACAGAACATCTCAGCTTCCAACCACCAGTGAATTTTATGACAAAGTTTGAGGTTAAAGTAAAATGACTCGTCACATATTACGTTTGACGCATTGGCGTTCCTCTCACCACTAACTGTGGCAACTTTGAGAGTAAAAAGGAACTCGGTTATCAGCACACATGGTTAATCTCGTTAATTTAGTGTCTTCAAGAATATCTAACCCTTGTTTTTTTTCTAATCACCCAGATAATTGTCAATGCTGAAAATTGGGTTTGTAAATAAAAATTCAGTGTATTTGGAGTTGAGCTGTATGGGAATCACACTAAGCACCATGGTTTTTCCACATCACAGTCCATAGGTATCTTGGGAAGCATAATGGGAACACATTTACTATTGTGATTTAAGGCACTTTGCTGAAACGCTCTGGTTTATTTCAGGAGTGCTGCTTTTACTCCACGGGTTGCATAAATTCAGAAGTGAACAAAGCTTCTGCATACTCCTCACACACGTCTTGCAGTTCAACCGCTACATCACGCAAACCTTCGTCCAAGAGTTCTTCAGCCAAGCTTTGGAGGAAAACACACAGGACATAGCATCAGTCAGGCCACAAGGTCCATTCAGTAGATTTACATGGCTTTGAGAAGTTACCGTAAATCATCAACACCAGACACAGAATGAAAAATGTGGGAGGCGGGGGAGAGGAGAGAAAGCCTGGCACGGACACAGACTGCATTACTTCCCATACAATGGTGTCCTTGCTAAAGTAGATAACACCAAAGAAGAGTTTGAATAGAAGAGATTGAGGGAAATGATAAGAAGGCAGATAAGAGGGTTGACTTGTCAGAAGGATGGGATTACAAGTCTGAAAGGTCTTTTCTTGTTCCCAAAATATCGCCTAAGTGGCGACTCAGTAACCAGAAATACGTCATGCTGACTCACTGGAACTGCTCTCCAGGAATTCATTGTGTCAGTCGATCTCCTGTGCATCTGTGTGACGTATTTCAATTAAGGAATCCCGTTAACATGATGTACGGTAGACCCCTCGGTTTTCATTTAGTAGTTTCTACCACTCAGTTTGCTGCACAAAAGCCTGAATTTAAAACGCAAAAACACATTCTCTAAAAATCTCAGGCCAGCTGTGGATTTTTGGTGCAATGGAATTCTTCCAACCAACTGTTGCCATACATCACACCTAATTTCATCAACTAATCCATAATAAATGGCATCTATAAAACCCAGCGTTTTTGATTTATTAAAACCTTTTGTAATCCTCAAAGCTCATCGGCATCAGCCATAGACTGAAAACAATCTGCAAAGGTATTTGGCTGGGCATTTATAGAAAGAATGAATGATGGAACAAAGCCAACGTTATTATGAACCCATAAAACAATCAAACGTTCATTGGACAGTTGAATAATTTAAAGGGAAAGAAAAGCAGACACTTAACAAGTTATTGTACTGCAAAAGCCATTCATGCCGACCTTCAGATTGAGGTGGATTTTCCATTCTTCAAATAGAACTGCATGGTAAAGGCCAAAGAGAAATACATGCAAATGTTTCAAACTTACACAGGTATGAAGCGCAAAAAGTTTTTAAAAAACAGAATCGAAGGAAAGAGAGATTAAACCTGAAAGCTTCAAAAGGTTTCTCGTGTAATAAGCATTACAAACTGACCGCCACAAGAAGACCTTATTTCTTTTGAATTATCTTTAAAACCTGCAGTATCTTTATGGCCCTAATAAAACCGTCTGGCACGATGGCTAAATCATAACGAGGCCATTGACGTACGACTTTCCAAAGCACTTTGCACAGAACCAAGAATATTTTTTTGCATGAGTCACTTTCTATTATAAATACATAAAATATTCAGCAACATCTTTGCATCTAATGTGATGAGCGAAAAATAATAAAAAAAGATTATTCTTTCACCTACTCAAATATGCAGGTACAGTTTTTCTGTCTTTCAAAAGATGGGCTAACACTATATTAATTGTTTTCAGAGGATTAGTCAAGCCAGGAATCAGGTGATGTTGTACTTATACTAGGAATTTTGTGTTACATCTATGGCGGGAGACCTATTCTGCACTTGTCCTGTCCCGAACTTCCCAATTACTGGACAGTTGAGGTCCACTTGACCTAGAATTGTGTTGCCCACCGGGAAGCTCGCAGAGGTGTCCCGACCTAGTGAGGCTCAAACCGACGTTTGTGAGACATGGAATGAAGCAACCAGTGACTATCCTCCGGGGGGTGGGGGAGGGCGGTGGTGAGAGATGTTTGGATGTGCATTACAGCAAACAGTCCAGCTTTTGGAGAGGGCCAAATCGACAAGTGAATCAAGCTATTCAAAAGTGGCCAGGCAATCAACGCAGAACATAGCTAATAGAATAAACTGCGGTAATCTGCTTGAAATCTAGCTTTTTTCGACACAAAACAAGTGAAATATCAGCAAAACAACTGACAAAGAAGACTGTGTTGAGGAGACTAGCAGCTGCAATTATGCAGGCTGGGAAAGGAGATATTTTGTGCACAGGACATTAAAGGTGAAAATAGTTAGAATGCGCTGTGGTCAGTACTTCTTGTCCCAGAGCAGTGTGTGTGTGTGTGTGTGTGGTGGGAGGCGTGGGGGGGGCGGGGGTGGGAGAGGAGGAGGAAAGATTTAAAAAAACACACAAGTTACCTTTCAGTTATTAACCATGGATTGAATTTTCCAATGGGTTCATGAGAAATCATTTTTAAGTGCTGGTCAAACCTCTCTTGGTAACGACGAATACTTTGCAGTGTACTTTCAGGTAAGGACAATACATTGCTTCCTTGCTTTCTCCAGGTACATGACACATGGGGCGTTGGACGTAACGAGATCCGAGCAGGCTGCGGTCTTTCATCCCATGCCAAGTCCTCAGCCCTAAATTAAAACAGCAGAGATTAGGAATGGGACAATAATAACAATTCTTGTATTTGATATAATGCCTTGTCAAGTCTTTGAGATGTCTCAAAGCACTTCACTGAATGTACTGTAAAGTGAATTGACTTCATATTTCGTTGGTGAAACACAGCAGTGTCCTACAAACGGTCGTGGATTGAGGTACCAAATTATTATTCTTTGTTTGAGAGGGACTATTACTCCCAGGAAAGTGATCCGCCAATTGACTAACAAACAGGTTCCAATTTACTAATTTGTAAACAGAGATGTGTGGAGTAAGGAAACTTGCCTAATGCTTTGCATGGCCCGGGAATCGAACCCAGGTCCTCTCGCTTGAGAGAATGGGGGCGAAAGACACGCAAACATCCATCTTCACTGCAACTAAAGCCTTAAATGTGAACCGGGCACAATAGCAATTCAAGGCTGGTAGAAAAAAAAAGGATTGTGAAGAGAGTCTTTTTGTAATATATTCAACACAAGTACAAAATACTTTTTTGGGGGGGATTTCGCACAAATCCTGTCTTTTACCCAAAGGCATTTAATTAAAAAAAACTAATTGAACTCCACTATTTTAACCATCTTTCTCCCAGCCCCAGAATATTAAGATGTTGAAATGCTGACAAGTCCCTGACAATCACGCCTTTGCGATCGCCATTTCTGGAAGTAGATGCCAGGAGCCACAGAATTCTGGCACACACCCACATCCGATGACTTCACAATGCAGTATATTATCAGTAATGTCACCAGATTGCAGACCAGAAGTCTTTTGCACTTGTTATTTTCTAGCTGGATGTCTGATAATCACCATTATGGTGGATATTACCATATGAAGAATGATGAATAGCCTGCAAACTTCCACCAGCTGATGCACATTATTTAAAAGCACTCCACGCAAAGCTGAGAAATGTCTCCAAGTTTCTGAACAAAACTATTTGCAGTTAATCTGTTCAGTCAGTCATATGATTTCTCAGTATTTTTCTGTCGTCAGAAATGCCACTTTATTGGACTTTTAAGTCAAAAAGCTATTTGCGTCAGACAAACGGGCTCATGGTCAAGCCAGTACAAAACATTTCCTAATAAGCCTTTAATAACATTAAAAAACCTTCAATGACCTGGATGCTACCTTAATTTCTATCAACATTACTTTGCCAGTGTCAGTGAACCCAGGTCCTCTCGCTTGCGAGCCGAGTGCTCTAATCAATACGCTATAGGACTCCACCCAAATGATCACTGATATCCTTAGTATAATATTATGCCCTTAAACTGCTCATCTATCCCACCCATCTTTGACAGAGACGTTTCAGAGTAAAATAGACACTGGGAAATAAGGGTATCAGAACTAGTCGGCCACCCAAAGCAGGCAGATAGGACGTCGGTTGAACCTTTCATTCAAAGGATGACACCTCCAGCAATATTAAAAAAAAGGCAAGTAAGTGGGATTAAAATATCTTCTATGATCCAATAAATTAGTGGAACAGGCTCAATGCATTGAGAGCAACTTTTCTCTTGTTCGTACTTGCATTTCAAACAGGAAAGTACAAACAGCAGCTACACCCCCTCAGAGCGAACAGGGGAGGAAGTGAAATTGCCATCATGCCAAATTATTGTAATCAATACTTACTCAGCCTCCAAAGGCCTCTGGAGTATTATATCTGGTTCAGGCACACTCTTCTCAAAGGGTTTGGTGATTGTGAAGGGCTTTGGAGTGTGTGGTTTCGTATCAATGGAGACAAATGCTCTTTCTGTGAGAACAACAAGGTCATTACAAATATTTCACAGGACAGTAATCCCCACCCTCCTTCCTGCAAGATATAGAAATATATTAATTCAAGCTCTTATTTCTGCAGCTTCTACGTGCAGAGATACTGAAATTGAACCAATAAAGTGACCGGGGTGGGTGGGGAAGATTGTTATGGTCACGGCAATTCAATCATATTAAATTGTAAAGATTAAGGATTTAATAATAAGCTTTACTACTACCAGTGGATTAAATCCACTGAAAAATGCTACATCATTGGCTCGGCGATGGAAATACCCTGCAACAAAGCTTGGAACAAAAACCGTTGGCAACTGGTATCCGACTAATGTAATAGCTTCAGTTCCCACCCATCCGCCCCAATACCTTCATTAAGCAAGATTGCAGAGAAAACGAATATCCAGACTAAAAGACAGAGGGGGCAAAATTAATTCACTTAAAAACTATCAGAGAAAGAGGAAAGTTTAATCATTCTGTCTGGCGACAGATGAAAGCCAAAGGAGCTCAGATGACCACTTTGTATCTGTCCGTGCAGCCCAAAAAACAAACGAACCTCGTTTTTCTTCTTCAGCCCAGAAATCAGGATCAGCGTATTCAATCTTGCAAACTCTTCTGCGAACTTCCTCCTGATAGTTCTGACAGAGGGATGAATCATGCCGTCAAAAACTAGGAAAGTACTGGAATAGTACAGACTGTACTTCACAGAGAAAACAGCCATCAAAGTACAATGGCTCTCCAACAGTCAATTTACTTTACAATATAATAATAATCCTTGCATATGATATGGCATCTTATCACATTTTCAAGATGTCTCAAAGCGCTTCGCATAATACACTGTAAACTGAATTGACTGTATATTTTGTGGGCAAAATATCTGTGAAGTGCTTTGAGATGTCTCAACAACGATAAGGCTCTATATCAAATGCAAGGATTATTATTATTATTAGATATCTTCAATGTAGGCTGCATCATCTGGCACCAGGTTGTGCGTCAAAATACAACTCAACCCCTTGAACTTCAAAAAGATTAAAGGCTTCATCTTTCTCTTTGAGGTCCTCGCTCCATCCCATCCACCTTCAGTCTGGGAAGGCAAGGTCATAGTGTGTCACTCGCTCCCCACTGGACTGTCACAAGAAGAATTAATTGGGCAACAAGCAATGCCAGACCATAATAGGACAAAGCTGGACACTTCCACCACAGGCAAGGTCAGATGCCACAGGCTGCTCCATATCCAGGGTGTCCACAAAGTCACGTTACCCCCTGTACTGAATACAATTAAGTACTTTAAAGTACAATTATCATCATTCTTCCACATGTTGCAGTTGTTCGTCAGTGCACTGTACGGGGGTGGGGGTAACAGGACTCTGTACCCTGTACACCAGCAAGCTTCTGGTAGAGATCTGGGACGAGATCGTCATCACTCACAAAAGGAATGGTTAAAAGGGCGAAAGCTAAACTTGTGGATTTTTAAAAAAACAAACAAAAAAAGGCAGGCAATAAAGATCATAAAAGGATAAAATTAAATAAAAGTTCGCAACATCTATACTCACTTCCATCTCCTCCATCCTCTGCAGCATGGTCTCCAGCGTAGGGCTGTCTTGCATCACCACTGCCTCTTTCTGGGCTTTTGCATTTTGTTCCAAGTTCCACAGTTCTTGTGCCGTGTCCTCTAGTAGCTCGTCCAATAGGTTCTCACTCAGGAGGTCAGCGCTGGCTATAGCCTGCAGGAAAGTAACAAGGACAGCTCTGACCTTATTGACTAACAGTCTGTCATTTCATTTTGTCTGGGAAATGGATTGAGAGTGACTTCAGAGAACTGACCGGATTGAGCCTACAAGTGATCTGCCCCTCACAGTAGTCAAACAGCCTGACAACACTCACCGTCTGAGCTCATTCACAAATGATGCCCAGATGAGCAAGTTGCCGTGGTTTTTACCCTCCCCTATCCCAGGGACACAGAGATCCCATAGAGATCAAATAATTCAGCCCAGACCATGATTCAAGCCTATAACCTTCTGAGCAGCAAGGCATCGGACACTGCTTTTAACTGACGACCTTTAGAGGATTTCTGGCATGTGAGCCTCCGGCAGATGCTCATATTGAGTATTTGTCAAGTTCAATTCTTATATTAACAGTGACCAAAAAACAATCATTTGGAGCACTAGCTGGGTACTACGTCAACATACCTCAATGGCTGTTTGAGGTGTGGTTGTGAATACAATGGAGGCTGCATGATTACAAAATACAATCACTACACTTTACAGTAAATCCTGTGAAGCATTTTGAGACATCTTCCCTATTTGAAAGGCACAATATAAAATGCAAGGATTATTATTTACCTTGTTAGTGACTTGTGAAGATAGCTGCTGTTGCAGTGATCCATCTTTCACTCGCTCTCTTTTCTCCCAAGAGTCTGTTAGATTCTGGCGAACAGGAAGATCGTGACTTTTTATTTAGAGATTCTAAACAATTAATGTACTAAAATTTGGCTAATGAATGCTGACCAGATGAGGAAAACTGGCAAATCAATACACCAACTGACACTTTGAAACACAATTTTTTAAAATAAATCAGGTGAATAAGTGAGAGTGGCTAACTTTGAAATCAAAGACACGACTGATTCAAGACAAGCCATGTAGTGGCCAGGACAATACTTGTAAGAACCACGACACTGTAGATCAGTGTGGTCTAACTGGCATCCCGAGTGGCAATTTCATCTGCCGCACCCTCACCCACCCTCCTCCATTTCATCTGGCCCACCCGCTCTCTCCAAAACCTGGAAATGTAGTTATCTTTTTGGAAGGAAAACACAAAAGTATTGCTTATGCAGTCCACGGACGTTTCTCAAATAGGGCATCCAGCCCTCGCCAGCCAAAAGGTTGGGCCACCCTCCCGTAGATGGATCACTGTCTGCAGTGATGTGGCACTTAAAAGCATATAATGCAAAGGTTTTTTCCCTCCCACCCATTTAAAAAGTTCTGATCTTAAAACAATGCAACCCCAATTCCCTTTTGGGGTGTTATTGTATGAAACAGTGATACCTGTACTTTGTCCAGCAAAGGTTGAAGCCTCCCTTGTATTTCTTCTTCTGCCTTTGAAACCAACTTTGAGGGGGATCGAGATTCTGGTCTAAAATAAAGATCAGACTTCAAGCTCTAAAGAATAGATGCAATTTAGTGCTGCAGTAAGAGATAGCCACTCATTCATAAAAAAAATTCCCCAAAACATAATTATAATTAAATGGCGGTTTAGAATTCAAATGCTTAAACATATTTAAATTATTAAATGTTTAAACATACTAAAATGCTTAAATATTCAAACATGTCATCAATATAGCTTTGAGTGCTTTGCCATTATTTCTATAGTAACACCTTAATATGCATTTCAATGTTGCAAAGAATAGCTGAAATTTAAATGCTTTGCAGAAATATTCCTCCCCCTCCAAATTGGGTTCCCGGTACTCAAATAACACAATGTAGAGGCTACACCAAATGTTAGGTTATAGAATACCTCATTTTCTGTATTCTGTCCATTTCTTGTTTGCAAAGTTGATTGAGTTCTTGCATCCTGCGAGCAGTCTCTGAATCAAGCCAGGCTAACCTAAAGACACAAAAGCATTTAAAAACAAACTGCCAAATATTAGTGATCCTTACATTTGGCATAGTTCCTTTCACGTCTGGAAGCCGTCCCAAAGCACTTCATAGGATATACAAGGTTTTTTCACTGCATTTTGTGAGCAAACACGTCCTATAACAATAGCTTAGGTGAGGTCACCTCTGTAAGAAAAACACTGTGGAATACATTACGACATTGGACTAACCATATTGACTGGTTTTAAAAAAAAGAAAAGCCGCAAGCAAATGTGGTACACACAGGGATCATGTTTTGCTGACTTCAGAAACACGTTCAGTACAGGTTTCCTGTCCTCTTGTTTTTTGCTGTATATGTGATTGTAGTCAAATGTACAATGCTGAATTACAATTCTTTGCAGTTATAAAAGATAAGCCTGGGTGCCCAGTCAGCTGTGTGAGGCGTTTTTTCAGACATCCTCCCGACATGAAAGGTGCTATATAAATGTAAATTGCATTGAATTACAGAAGTGGCCAGGGATGTACAATATTATTAGCTGCTGTTTTTCTTTCAAGGTTTGTTTGGGTCCACAGGAAAAAAGAATCCACTCATTTCAGGTCAATCAAAGTCTTCTTTTGTATTACAATTGGTTATGGTGCAGCAAGACTCCCTCTGCAGCAAGACTTGGTACAGAGATGAAAATTATGCAATGGACAGGAGAATACAGTATAACTTTACAAAACCAAAATGCTGCCTACTTTTTACAAGCATCTTTATGTTTTATTCAATGAGTAAAACCTGATTCAGCAGAGACTGTCTCATACACAGGTTGAGATAATTGGGTCTATCATTGCCTGAAAAGATGTCTTACATTTTTCTAGATGCATATCATTTCTTCCCAATGTCACATGGACTGTCACCAGGAAATTATTGCATATCAAACGCAATCATAAACTACTGTCACGAGAGGCAACACAAATAAAACACATGCCAAAACCCCACTGAAATTCGCTCCAGTAAAACCAGCATCTCTACCTGATTGCTTCGGTCTCAGCAGCCTCTTTCCTATCTTGTTCCACCTGTGTCCGTTCACCTCCTCCTGTGGGCTTGGGAGAGGAGGATCTCACTTTCGCTCCCTGCTTCTTCCACAGAGCTCTGAGCGTAAGAAAATAGATAATATTGACATCCATTCACACTGAATATATTAAAGAGCAGCCTGATCTTTTCTAAAAAAAACAGCAGCGCCATAAATTTCCATTACAATCGGAGTTGAAACTGCAGCTACCAAATTCATTGGTAGTAGTTACATAAGTGGCTAATGGTACTGAGCTGTACCAGAGCAGGAATGTGCAAGATTCAGTGCCTGGTCTCGGCCAGGACAGCCACCGAGATGTTAGAATTAGTCTCAAGGTTGCCACTAGATCTAGGAAAAGGAAAGGAATATATAAAACTATATACTTTTAAAAACGTGGTGGACGGGTATTTGAGGAGGAAGGGTTTGCAGGGTTATGGGGAGAGGGCTGGGGAGTGGGATTGACATTACATTGCTCTTTTCAAAGAGCCGGCACAGACTCAATGGGCCGAATGGCCTCTTTTAGGGCTGTACGATTCTATGATTCTATGAAATATTGTGGTAAAGTGTTTTTCAGTCGAGTACAGTGTCAGTTTTGCCCAACATGGTCATAGACGCCATCCAGACTCACACACAAAAGAGTGGCCCTTGGTTACGGTTGGCAGAAAGCACCCAGCACTTGTGGAGTTGTACCCCAAGACTACCTAGAGTCTTCTGGGCAGGAGCAAAGAAGATAATTCTTCAAGAACAGGGAAGTAAATAAATCAAACAGATACCTCTAGTACAGGTTATGGCCTACAAAAACAGAAGTGTACCAGCCGGAATGGTAAACTACCTTTAACTGGATCAAAAAGCTTAAACCGCTCAAGCTATACAGTTGGAATACAAGTGATGAAGTCATAATGCTTTGCTCTTAAGGTTCCAACAATAGTGACAAACTATGACCGAAATACAGCGCGACAGGTTTAACCAATGTGACCGGCAGATCCCAGTCATTGAATAAAAAGTGCAGTATAAATAAATAACAGGAATACAGTCTAAACAGTATACGAGCGCCACACCATCAACCCAATTATAGGAATGTTTGATCGATATTAAATCTCAACGCAACCTTCACTAATCAGGGGACAATTTTTTAAATATGTAACAAGAGAACGTACGACAGAAAACGGGAATCGTTCTATAAGAACACTTACCGCTGAGGACAACCTGGAGGGGATGTTGGATTTGGAGGTATCCAAGGAAGTCTGCTTTCTTTACTTGTTGCCTGAGTTTTCTTTAGTCTTGAAGACAACGTGGTCTTCTGGAAGCTCACGTTCTTTACAAGAGGACGTGCAGCTTTCTGGCCTTCAGGCTGTTAAAAGTGCATTCCAGACATAAAAACATAGGCAAGGCAAATGGTAATTGACTACATTATTCCAGTATTTCGGATAACTAAATACCTAAATGTGCAATGACACAGCCTGAGAAAATCATCCACTACGTCCTAGATTTTCAATTAGCAAACCAATCACCAGCAATTAGAAACATAGGAATTGCTAGCAGAAAAAAAAAGGTTAGCCTTCTCATCCTGGTAATCGCACGCTACAATAATGAAGGCATTGATAGCAATTAACATAGGGGATCTTCCAGAAGAATAAATATGCACTGGATCAAAGATTCCATGGCCATGCTTCAAAAAGAGTTTCTGTTGGTGTCCTGGTCAAAATTCACCATATAAAATTGGTCATTCACTTCATGGCTGTTCATGGGGATACTGCAAATAGACGTTTGCTTGCAAGTACACAGTCTCTTTATTTTACTAAAGAACTATGAAACGCTAAGAGACATTTCAATGTGACAAGGCACTATGTCAAATGCAAGGATTATTATTTTATACATAATACGCTCAGGATTTTCAATGAGAGGAAAACAGAAGCCAAGCACCAGTTAACCTTCCTAACTTACTTGCAACTTATTGGCCAACAATGCTCCTTTCTTAACAGAAGTTGCACTTTTCTCTGCAACACCTTTCTTCGAGGTTCCAGCCCTGTGCGAGGCCTCGAGTCCGGCCTTCAGGTTTGTGTTCCTCTCAGGAATTGGAGGGCCGTCCTTCTGCTGTTGCTGCCGGGAGTGACTTTGGGACATCTGATCGGAACACTGCTGTCTGAGAGATTCAGGGGAGTTCTGATTGTCATCTGTTTGGAACATTTTTTTAAAAAAAAACACACATAAATACATTTATTCATAGACGGCACCAAACCACACTATTTCGTTGATACCTTATTAGTTAAACATTCCAAATGTAAATTTGAGATGGTAAATCATATAGGGAAATAGACCTCACTTGACCCGCATTAGAGCTGCCCTTGTCCACTTCCGTTGCTTATTGGGCAATTTGCATCTTTTAAAAGGTTTCCTTGGTTTAATCAGCACCTTGGGACACCCTCCTGATGTGAAAGGCGCTATACAAATGTCATCTGTTATTTTAGCTTACCAGTCAGCGGTCTCCGTGCGGGCGACAATTGTTTGGGTGAGCCTGTGACAGGTAATTTTCTTGATCTTTCAGCAGAACTGCTTCTACGTTGACCTTGCGGTTTGACTCGGTTTAGCAGAGATGAACTTTGAGCCTTCTGTGAGGCTTCGTATGATTTATTTTGCGGCTGCTGTTTACCGAGCTCCCAATCAAGGTCCTGGGAGATTCAGAAAATAAATGGGTTTGGTTTTTGAATGGGAAATTTTTCTCCAACCCCCATGGCTTCAGAATGGTGGACAATAACAAAAAGTGTTTATCAGTCTCCGAATTCTCGCTCATCTCCCAACTCCGCCCGCCCCTCCAGCTTCTCTATGTGCACCCAAGTCCTATTCTCTTTGAAGAAGACACATATTGTTAATATATATATATATAAAACATCAAGACCATTGGTAAGAGGGATCTTTGTTAAAATAACAGATGAATTTCATGAAGTAACACACACTGGGAGAGTCCCAACTCCCATTCAGTAAATCTCTGTCATGCAAAGAGCTGAAAGGCAACAGCTCTACTTTACAGAGACAAAGGGAACAGATAGAAGGAAGGAGAAAATGCCTCTCGCACTCTACAAGCCTACGAACACTATTTGGATGATTCTATCATCCAGGAAACCTTATTAAAACCTTGATTCAAATCTTTGAAAAGGTAGAATGATTGTGGCATTATATATATATCTTAATATATTGTGTGCTTTTTTGCTCAAGTCTTACTTCAACTTGCTGGAGGACGTCAATAATGGAATCGGAGAGGGAAGCGTCCAAGTCAGTTTCCAGTCTGGCAGAGCAAAGAGATAGCTGTCGAATCAACTGGCCCAGCTCCTTGCACTGCACAGGAACCTGCTGCTCCATTTGCTGATTGACAAGCAGTTGTAAGGCACGAATGGCTCCTCGGTGGGCGGCTACCAACCTAGACATGGCTCGGGACTGAAACATTAAAGCGCCGTTGGTATCTAGCTCACAGCTACCTGATGGAATTGGAAACCATTAGCTTTGCTCTGGTTAAAAGATTCACTAAGCAAATCAACCAAATTATGTAACTGTAGAAAATGCATCTGGACATTATGAAACAACACTGAAAAAAACACACACTACACATATTCTTCTCTTTTTCAACACATATTCTACTAATTAAAGATACAATCTCAGGCAAAAAAACAGCAGTTCAATATTTATTACTTTACAGAGTGTGAATATACCCAATCACCTAAGAACAAACATCCCAGATTTAAATTTTCGCACTGAAATGTAACTAATTCTAACACGCACACCTATGTATTTGCAGCAGCATTTTCCAAAAGAAATATAAATCACCAGGCTCCTTACTTTCTTGGTGTGCTTTATTCCTGGTGGATGTTCCTTTTCTATCTCTTCCTGGATTTCATTTGCCTGAAATAAAAAGGTCAGCATTAGATCCCGAGTACCTCATATTAATAGCAAATCCGGCTTTAAATGTAAAAGCTCATTTTTTGCTTCTAAGATTTCTGATCACCTCATTCTAATAATGCTGAAACGCTCCTTTGTTACAATTCATAAACTGTTAAAAGATTTTTTTTTAAGTTCAATCACTAACCCATGATGTGGTTACACAGAGCTTTGTCACCAAATTAAAGTAGATTTACTTGACGGAGCACAAATCAATATTTGCAATTGGCTAATCCAGCTAATTTTAGAGAACATTGGCAAATTACTGTGACTTTGAAACCTGACCCACACTGAAACGGCCGACTCTGTTCAAAAACATATTGAATGTAAATGCACTCAAGGCTCACTTGCTGCTGCAGAACATACAGCATCCGCGCTGAGCGAATGCCCTGTTCTTGCCTCTTTTTCTGTGCTCTGTGTTCTTCATCGGGGTCAAGGACATCCACACATTTCTCTAGAAAAAAGAAAAACTCTCAACATGTAGTGCAGCAACGGTACAAAGCTTTTTTGTAAAACAGCTCCGACAGCTTACAAAAAAAAAAGCAATGTCAAACCCAAACAGATAGAGTGGTACTACTAGACCTTTGCCTAACAGTTCTCTATATGTGACTTTGGCTGGTTACACACCAAACTGTACCCCAACATGCACTTTTGAGCTCTCCCAGCCTCGGCTCTTGTCAACCCATCAACTCTGAGTCTGGTTTTAAGCATGGTGATGAGTTTCCCCATGTGTCAAACACCCCGTTGACCAAAGAAAACACTTATAATTCAAAAGAATTATTTCCAGTCTTCTACTGAACCCTGTGGAATGGGATCTCGTAAGCAGAATGTTCTAACTGGAAGTTGCATGAATGTCCTATTGAGTTAGCACAAGCGTTAATACAAAGGAAAAAACAAACGTACAAAATGATATGGATTTTATACCTTTCCTGGCAAGCTCCTCGATTTTCTGAATGTACTTGCTAAGTTCTGATCTCAGTCTATGGATTTCCTGGATGTCTTTATTGCGGTTGGACACTCTGGGGCGATTCAGCTGATGTCCTGGGTCACGAGTGGGTTCCTCGCGAGACAATGGTGAATCAGATTGGGCAAGCCTTGTCTGGCTAAAGTCTGGGGTGTAGATATAAACCCTTGCACCAGATTCTGTAAACTCTTCTTTGGAATCTCTACGTCCAGGTTTTACAAAGTTCTTCCCCTTTGACTGACTCTTGCCCTCTGCGACGTTCTCAACAGGTTTTGCCTTGCCTCGCCCAGGAGGTTTGGGCACTTCTGTTCGAGTTTGACCACGTTTGTACACGTAATCCTTCACTTTTTCCTCCAGCTGCCTTCTCCTCAAGTCTCGCTTTGCCATTTTAACAGCCGCGTTCAGTTTGTCTTCAGACACGGCAGAAAATTGAAGCCCATCGTCTGAACTTCTTCCGGCATTCAGGTGCACACTGCTTTCATTGGGTTTTCTTAGCTTTTCAATTATAATGGGACTGGGCTCTGAAAATCTCATTGCAAGGTTGGATGCTTCACCTGAGATGGCTTTATTGAATTGCAACTGTTTTATTTAAAAAAAATTGCTTTAGCAATTTGAACAGCTCATCTATTCTAATTCCCATCACCCTCCCCATCACATTTTATTGCGCAACAAAAGTGGGTGGCAGATGACCTGTTCCCAATGCAGGCTTGTAAACATTTAATAGAAAGTTTGTGTGGGGGAAGGTGGGGGTGGGGCAGTGATGTAATTCAGCCGTTCAATAGAAGTATGAATTTAAGTGTGAAATTCTGATCAGCAACTCCCTCTGCTGTCCGAGGCAGGATCAGGAACTTCTCATGTGAGGTGTTACAGGGTTAACTGGGCCCCAGTAACACTTAGCTGTGCAATGTTAAGTACTGTTAATACCTGTTTGCTTGCATAGAGACCTATTAAGTCTTAACGTCTCAAAGCACTTCAATCAGTTACTTTGGAAGTGCAAATCACTGACAGTTGCTACTTAAACAAATACAGCAGCTAATCTGCACCAGCAACGTGCCACAAGCAGCAGTGAAACAAATAACCAACTTGATTTCCAGGTGTCAAATTTGAATGAATATTACTTATGTACTCCTCCCGACGTGAAAGGCGCTCTATAAATGAAATCTTGTTGTTGTTGTTGTACTACAGTTGATACCACTTTCTCTTTATACCAATAATCAGTTCCTTAAAACCTGCAATTTTTGTTTTGTTATAAAGACCTCATGATAATACACTGTGCTCCCAGGAAGTGGAGATATCAATCATAGAACTTTCATTTACTGAGCAGACAATACGATACATGTTAATAATTAATATACGGATACTTGGGATTTCTATTCGACAACCAAATTCTACATTAGAACAATTTAAAAATGCTACACATTGTTTAACAAATTATTATCTCTGGTGTTAGATCAAGCAGTTACACGTGTAGACATTGTACTTAGCCATTGTAAAAATAATAAGTTCCATATTGAAGGACCTGAGTTTTGTAAAGCTGTACTCCACTCTGTTCACTCCTTCCAACATGTTGTCCGGCTGTCTTAGTTGGAATCCAGGTTCCAATATCACGGGCGAGGCTTTCAAACTGTGGGTGCTGATGCTGAGCGTTTGCAGCCATCCTGTATCTAAATTACTCAAGATTAGAAAGATCAAACAAATGATAACCAAATAATGTGGGTAACCATCAACATACATGAATAAAGCGAATAGACACACGTGTGCATAACAACCCAAACTTGATCATGTCATTTTGTATTCCATCACTTCATTCACTTAGCACTAGCTGTAGAATATTACTTTAATATTCTTAATATTAATATTTAATATTCTGCCCTTTTTGAAGTAAGTCCACCACCTGAACACAGCTCACACTCTGGATGTAGGCGATGCCACTCACAGCATGGAGGACATTAGCAGTATCCACACAGAACAGCAATTCATCCACAAACGACTCACACTCACGCAGCGCCTATTATTCAAATGAAACGTCTCGCACAAATCGAGGATAATTAGAAGTTGTCGTGTCGGCAAAAGCTGCAGATCTTTTGCAGCAGCGACGGCGACGACGACCCGCACGCAATAATGTGGTGAGTACTTATTTGAAGTAGAACGTTAATTGGATCCTTGACTTCACTTTGGTGATGAACCAACATAAATCCTGTGTTACAGTTTGTGAAAACTGACTCTCAACCAGTGCTGACACTTCCACCAGCAATTAGACACAGGTGCCAGGCACCGCGCGCCCACCCAAACATGGTGCCAGGCACCGCGCGCCCACCCAGACAAGGTGCCAGGCACCGCGCGCCCACCCAGACAAGGTGCCAGGCACCGCGCGCCCACCCAGACAAGGTGCCAGGCACCGCGCCCCCCAACAAGGTGCCAGGCACCCGCGCCCACCCAGACAAGGTGCCAGGCACCGCGCGCCCACCCAGACAAGGTGCCAGGCACCGCGCGCCCACCCAGACAAGGTGCCAGGCACCGCGCGCCCACCCAGACAAGGTGCCAGGCACCGCGCGCCCACCCAGACAAGGTGCCAGGCACCGCGCGCCACCCAGACAAGGTGCCAGTCACCGCGCGCCCACCCAGACAAGGTGCCAGTCACCGCGCGCCCACCCAGACAAGGTGCCAGTCACCGCGCGCCCCCAACAGTGCCCGCGCGCCCCCCAGACGAGGTGCCAGTCACCGCGCGCCCACCCAGACAAGGTGCCAGTCACCGCGCGCCCACCCAGACAAGGTGCCAGTCACCGCGCGCCCACCCAGACAAGGTGCCAGTCACGCGCGCCCACCCAGACAAGGTGCCAGTCACCGCGCGCCCACCCAGACAAGGTGCCAGTCACCGCGCGCCCACCCAGACAAGGTGCCAGTCACCGCGCGCCCACCCAGACAAGGTGCCAGGCACCGCGCGCCCACCCAGACAAGGTGCCAGTCACCGCGCGCCCACCCAGACAAGGTGCCAGTCAAATACACGATAAGGCGGACTCTCAATCCGCCACTGTTTGTGGGGCCACTGCCGCGCGCGATCGGCTGCCGCGCTTCGCCCCCGAAACACACAGTCGCTACGCTTCCCAGCACATTCCGCGAAGCGCTCGGGGACGTCTCGGAGAGCGCGATAAAGGCGCTGTGTCAAAAAAGTAGGAGCTCAGCCACCGCACAGCGGTGCGCAGTGAGGCCTCTCATTGTCGCCGCGGCTCAGCCCTTAGCGACGCCCCGGTTGCTAGGCGCCGACCCGGCTCGCTCGCTTCACCGGAGGAGCTCCGGCCACCCACCCGCGACTCACCGCGAACCGGGCACTTAACCCGACCGGGAGCTGAAAGCCACCGCCGAGCCGGTTGGAGCCGCTCGAGAAAGCCGGTCCCGGGACTCCGCTCCCAACGCCGAGCAGCAACCGCCGCGGCCGTTTAAAGTCTCCGCCATAATCAGGTTACGTTGTGGGGGTGGGGGGGGGGGGGGAGAGGAGGAGAGTGAGGGCTGATGGGATGGCGGAGGACTGACAGGAGGACCTCCAAGCGGGGGCGGCCAGGATGGGACGGCTTCTTACGTCCAAAGGGGGCGTGAAAAATTCCGGCAGCCCCGGGTGTTGACGGGAAGGCGGAGGACCGGCTTGGATGACTCACTCACTCACTCACTGACTGACTGACTTGACTGGACCGTTGGGGCGCGCGAGCCGGTCGGCGGGAGAGAGCCGGCGCCATGGTTTTCGTCGAGATAAACGTCCAGTCGCTGGACAGCTTCAACCGGGCCCTGGAGGAGAACAAGGGCAAAGCCATCTTCGTCTACTTCACGGGCACGAAGGACGCGAAGGGTCTGAGCTGGTGCCCGGACTGCGTGAAAGGTCCGCCCGCCCGCCCGCGCTCGCGCGCACGGAAAGGCCGAACCCGGACCAGGGGTCGCCCGGGGGGGGGACCGGTTCAAGTCCAGTCCGGCGGCTGAGGCAGCTGTTGGAGGCCCTGGCTTTCGGGATGAGAGTGGGGGAAGGAGGGAGGGAGGGGAGGAGAGGGTGATAATTATTCATTAATTATTAATTAAGCCAATTGCGTGATTATTATTATTATTATTAATTTAATTTATTATTATTATTATCGCGCACAGCCATGGATGGAGCGAGTGTGAAAGTGTGGAGAGAGAGAGAGAGAGAGAGAGAGGGATGGATGGAATGTGAAAGAGAGGGAGAGAGAGAGCTGACCTGTGTCTCTCTCTCTCAACTCCTCTGCAGATATAACCACCCCCCAACCACCCCCACCCCCCCCACCCCCCCAGGTCTCTGGCTTGTGAGGCGAGTGCTCTAACCATTGAGAGCTACAGGACTATGTCCTGTAAAGCGCTTGGAGGCGTCTCGGCGACGTGTCCCGACCACGCGCGGCCAGAGCTCCCTCTGCCTCCTCGCCCGACTCCGCTGGCTCCCCATCCCCCAGAGGATCGAATTCAAGGTCCTCATCCACGGCCTTGTCCACCCCCCTCTACCCAACCACCCCCCCCCCCCCTGCCTCTCTCTCTGACCTGCTGACTCCCTACCAACCTGCCCGCTCCCTCCGTTCAGGTGGCTCCAGCCTGCTCCGTGTCTCCCGCCCGACCCGCCCTACATTTATAGAGCGCCTTCATCGGTGGCCGGGCTTTCAGCTTCTCTGCCCCCACACTCTGGCACTCCATCCCACGGTCCCTTCGCCTCGCTTCCTCCCTTGCCTTCGGTTGCCCTCCCACCTCTCTCCCTTACCTCACCCCTTCCCCCCTGCTCGGGTCCTGACCCCTGACTGTCCAGCACCTTGGGACGTCCTCCCGACGTGAAAGACGCTCTATAAATGTAATTATGTTGTTGTCGTGATAAGCCACTATATTAAATGGAAGGATTATTATTAAAGTGGAGTGACTCAGAGAATAGAGTGTAACTACTACTGAGCCAGGCCTATACAGGAGTAAGGAGTTTCTCTCTTGCGGTGTCCTGGCCAACAATCTCACGGATGAAACTGCTCACTCGCTTTACAGCTTTCTGCGGGGACATCCCCGTGTGCAAACCAGCTGCCTTGTTTGCCCACAAAACACACAACTCACCGTCCATAATGGTAGAGTCCTGTGAATCGCTGAGAGACGTGTCAAGGACATGACAAAGCGCCATATCGAATACAAGGGTTGTCATTATTGTGAAGGACGAAGGGGCAACACTTTCTTTCTTTCTGTAGCTGAACCAATAGTGAGAGCAGAGCTGAGTAAACTCCCTGAGGGATCGATCTTCATCTACTGTCAAACTGGTGACAAGTCATGGTAAGTCGTTTCAGATTTCAAAGTTTCTTTTAATATATAAACACAAACAGTCTCGTCATTTACAATCGCGTCCAGATTGTAAAGTGAAAAGTCATACAGTGGCATTTTGTGGCATTAACATCCTCTTTACAATCAATTATCTAACCTGCATCTTTTTATCATCTAATCTTTGACCAGCTGGAAGGATCCCAACAATGTGTTTCGAAAGAGTTTCAAACTGAGTAGCATTCCAACGCTCCTGAAATATGGCACAGTGAGTTACTGTATATCAAAGTCTTAGCAATGACCCACAATCACTTCAGTCATATTGACTGTTTAACTGATCTTTGGATTAACATGTAAGCAATTGGAAAAAATAAATGCTGCTTTAGTTCTTTAAATTGGAGCAAGTGCATTACCCTGTTTAACAAAGCAAATCCATTCCCACTGTTTCAGCCCCAGAAGTTGGTTGAAGAAGAGTTACTTAATTCTGAACTGGTGCAGATGCTCTTCACAGAAGACTAACAAGGCAACGAACACTGGTTCCACTTCTGATAGAGACCGCCTCTTGGGTTTCTGTTTGAGCTTTTGAAATCACACCAAGAAAGGGCATTGTGACCTAAACTGAGATCCCATCATGTATCAGGGGCGGTACTCATTACCAATCTTCAATTATTAATGTGATCAAATATAAACAAGAGAATATTTGCAACTAACTAGCCAGTGGGACAGTTATCTGTTCGAGATTGTTCTGCAACGACATTTAATAAAAAAAAGTCGATGCAAGAAAAAATCATAAATGCAATTCCTCTTTAGCTCATTGCCATTGTGGCCGTGAGCTTGCCGGCTGCTGTATCTGTGTGTGATGTCTGTTTATGTGCAGATTCTCTGCTGTTTGTATAATTATTGAATGAAAGCTTTAAATGAAATTCTGATGTCAAGTGATCCAAAATAAAGTATTGCATTACAATTTGGCTGAGATTTTTTTAAAAAACCAAACTAAGGTTGTTCTTGGCAAAAAATAATTTTTTTGTCCAGTATGAAATCCCATTTAAGTAACGACTTCGCACCTTCCATTTGAAAGAAAAAATAAAATCATAAAGAGTACTTCAGAGGCGGAGTGGAAGCCGCAGACTGAAGTATCGAGTCTACGGTTACAGGTTCACTCAGTCTCACCATCTTGTTTTATAGACGCGTTTAAATGTTTCCCAAAAACATGAGCTTTAAAATCACGATTTTCTAAAATAGAAAAAGGCCACGCATTTTAATAAAATGTACCCCTCTTATCACATACTGCTTTTGAATAAATATTACTGAAGAAACCTGTTCAGGGCCAATGCGATTTTCACACAAAGGGGATTGGAAATCTGGAACTCTCCTTCCCCCAAAAAGGCTGTGGCTGCTGGATCTATTCACACTTTCAAGACTGAGGTGGATAGATTTTTGTTAGGCCGGGGTATCAAGGGATATGGGGCAAAGACAGGTAATTAGAGTTGAGGTACAGATCAGCCGTGATCTAATAGAATGGTGAAACAGGCTCGAAGGGCTGAGTGTCCTGTTCCTATTGGGTCCATGATTTGGTTTCAGACTATTGTCCCAATTCATTTGTACCAACCTTGCAGCAGTCTAATGGGCCAGCCATGTCACTACAAGTCCATTTTTAAATTGATGCAATTAATTTGATTTTACAGCTGTGTATACAATGTAAACGACTAACACTATGAGCCAAAGGCCTTGTGCCCTGTGCAGTCAAACAGTTAATGTGCCGCTACCTCCATTTCTAAAAATACACAAAATCAGATTGAATTACCAGAGCCCCAGAAATCTAGCTGTCTGGATAATTGAAGATAAAATGCAGAAGAAAGTATTATACCGCTGAGATTTACATTTCCGATAAGTCCGTTTAGAATCATTTCCCGACGGGCAATGTAGTTAAAGTGAAACCACACCCTGAATAACTGACGAGCTGTAGTATCAAGACTGATGCTGTGGAATATTACTCTATGGGACTGAGGGTATTTTTGCTACAGAACACTGGCAGCTCTAGAAATCAATATCCAGCCAGTGCCAATGCCAGCCCATCTTAAGGATGTAAAAACACATTCAGAATTTGTCAGCACCTCATCTAGTTTGCAACAAATGAAAGCCCCCATTCACAGGCAGAGGGTACCATCAAACATCACGCAAAAATGATCTCCCTCCCTAATATTCCCTATATCTCAATACCTTTTGCTGCACCGTAACTTCAGACAAACAGCAGTGGATTAAAGTGGTTCGAAAATAGTGGTTGCACTGCAAACATAGATTCCACTTACACTGCGCCTGCCTTCACATCAGAAGTGAATCTTAAATGCAAACCCAAGCTAAAAAGAGCAGATCAGCATTTCAAATGGTTTGAAATCCAAAACAAAACCACTTCAAATGTTATTTTACAGACATGAAAATACAAGTTAATCACAGTAACCAATATAACCTAGATGGACCGCAATTATGAACACAAGCCAACTGCATTTGATCACCAACAACAAATTACATTTGTATAGTACCTTTCACATCAGGAGGATGTCCCAGTGTAGATTTTGTTCTGTTCAAGAGACTTCCAGTTGATTTCGCTCTCACAGAGCACAGGATTACACAAAAGCTTGTACATAAGGTTCAATAAAAATTAATTTTATTTAAGGTTCAATAAAAATCCATTTAAAAAAAACTTTCCTCTTTTAAAAAAATGTTTACAAGTTAATGTACAAGTGATTTATTTAAGATCAGTGTGCTGTCAGATTTTTTTTAAATATAAAAAAAAATTGATTGCTATGTACATTTATTAATCGATTGTTTTTAATTCCGGCAGTATTTAAAATAGCAGTTGTAAGGCTTAAATATATATTGAAAGAATCTATACATGTGGATATTTGCCCCAGTTTTATTCTTTGGTTTGTGAACATTCCTCACGAGATAAGTTGACTTCATTCTTTTCGATGACTTCCCAAACTCCGGCTGGGCTGGTGCTGTTTACTGAAGCTTTGCTGTTGTTCTTTCGATAGAGAAACCCAAACCTGTAGGGGGAGGGAGAGAGAGAAAGGCAAGTACAGTTTGAATACAATAACTCCTAGCTTTAGCCTTCATGCACAACTCAGATGCCAATATGACACTCAAATGTCTTAAGAGTTTTTTTTCTTAATCGCAGAGGTTTGAAGCAGATTTATTTATAACAGCTTTGAAGAAGGAGCAAGATAAGACATCTTTTTTTTAAAAAAAAGGAATCATTGGCAGGGTTGTGGAGGAAGGGATAGGAGAAAGGCAGATCAATGAAATGGATCGCCCGTTCAAAGAGTCAGCACGGACACAATGGGTCGAACAGGCTTCTTTTTGTGCTGTAAGCTCACTCCTACGAGCCTGAAAGCTATGCGAAATATGGTATTATGGTGTGAGGCAGGCGGGTACATTTCGCTCACAAAATACACAGTCAATTCACTTTATAGTATATTCTGTGAAGCGCTTTCAGACGACTTGAAGACGTGATAAGGCGCTAAATCAAAGGTAAGGATCAGTATTATTATTATTATTTCCAACAGCACCATCAGGTCTAAAGATAGACTCAACGTCCATCATTTCACCAGCTTATCGGGCTACGTGAGACAATTCTCCGCGATACCAAAGCTTTTCAGGATTTGGGTGAGGAGGTGGAAGAGAGGAGGGGGAGTGGGGTGGGGTTTGGTTAAGGTAAAGACTGTAGTTGCAACGCTTAACCTGGATGTAAATGAAGATATGGCACAAAATTTATACACCAAAACACTCGCACTAAGGACTTTCACCCAGTGCTGAGGTGATCCCGCAGGGGAGAAAACAGAAGCCCAGTCACCTCCCTGCCCAACAGGATCGCCTTCTGTTTGAAACCAGAGGGCAAAAGTCAACAAGCCAAGTGAATGCACGAACATCATCAAACGAGATGCCATTCGGTTTCCCTGGCAGCTCGCAGGATTTGGTATCCTTGGCAACTCGTCCCAAGCAGTTTTCAATCTGCAATTCCGTGCTCTTTAGAGAAACAACACGGTATCACACCTGGATGTCTCCTACCTACCCCGGGGAGGGGGGATGGGGAGGATTTCATCCCCTTTGAGCGGTCCAAGGAATACAGAGACTAACCCAAGAGTAATACAGAGTTAAAACCCCAAGAGCCACTGAACCCACCTTGTATCGCAACACAACACGTGGTCAATTTGCAGTTATACTGCCTTTCCTCTCACGTAGAACATCTCAAAGCTCTTTACATCCAATTTACAAATCGCTTTCCTCTCTCTCTCTCCCCCCCCCCCACCCTCCCCACCTCCCCCCGCACACCAAACTCAGACTTCCAGTCGGCTGTATGAACCCTCTTTGAGACATTCTCCCGACGTGAAAGGCAGTGTGTAAATTTACCATGTTGTTGAGTAGCAGACGGATGGTGTGGGACACTGAGCAAGGTGAGAGCGATGGAAGTGACCGAAGGGAGCCAGAAGCGATTTGAAGACAGAGAGGCTAGGGATTTTGGGGAGGGAGCTTGCACCAGTGAGCTTGATGGGCGGAATGCTCGTCCTCTGCGCTGTAGTTTCTAAAGACTCTATGCTAGTGTAACTACAAATAACTTCTAGACAAGACACAAGGTCAGTGCACAATCCATTCTGACATTTACCTGGCAGAGAGTACTTTGCAAAGTAGTTCTGAAATCCAGATCTGGATTCCACTGCTGAGAATACTTTGCAAAGTAGTTCTACTTTCTGGAGGTGGATTTCTAGAAGGCAAAAGACGCAGAGACATTAGCAAGGTGCCAGTGGCGGTTAAACATGCATAAAACAACTCTCCCCCCTGGCGCCAACCACATCCAGCAGATTGAAAATAACCACTGGGTAAAAGAAGACAAGTTGCTTTCACAATCGCCCCATAACTGTGAGAGTCGCCAGCTTCCTTGAAGTTTCTCTCTTCAAAAATAATAATAACCTCATTGAGTTGATCCCTTCAAAAAACAAAATAATAATTTGGTCCCTCAATCCAGGAACTGTCGTGGGGGACACTGCTGTGCGCAATTGGCTGCCGCGTTCGCCCACAAATATACAGTCAATTCACTTTACAGTGTGTTCTGTGAAGCGCTTTGGGACGTCCTCCTGACGTGAAAAGCGCTATATCAAATGCAAGGATTGTTGTTGTTGTTTGCCACTGACAATTTCCTCCATTACTCACATGGTTCGGATTTTCGATTCACGGGGTTTGGAGTCCATCTCGTCCTGTGGGAAGCAGGGGAGCACGAGGTTGTCTTTCTCTTCCTCGTCGCTGCGAAAAGGAGCGTAAAGGAAAAACATTCGATTGACAAAATTAATTTTTTTAAGCCACTTTCTACATACCCTGTTTTTTTTTTGTCTGCTCTGGCGAGAGAGAGAGAGAGAGAGAGAGAGAGAGAGAAAAGAGAAAATAGAACATTTTCAGAGAGAGAGAGAAAAAAAAATTACTGCGGACGGGGTTGGAGAAATCCCAAGAGATATTCATTTTATTTCCGCAAAACAGACCTAAAAATAAACACTCAAGTTTCTTTTGCGTCTAAACCCCCCCCCCCCCACCGCCCTCTCCACACACACACACACACACACACACACACCCTTGCGCACCTACACTACAGCAGCAGCTTTTAACACGTAGAATTTATAGACTCTGAATTTATAACTAGAGCCATAACGAACAGCCGAAAATATCTCGGGGGCTTTTTCTTGCGGCTAATCTTTCTCTGCGTTCAAACCTTAAAGTTTGTGGGTCCGTCCCCTAGCCCTAACCGCCCCACCCACACACGCACACGCTCGCGCACACACACACACACACACACACACACAAAAACACGTGCAGATTAAAAAAAAACTTAACAGTAGCTGCAGTTTCATGCTCAGCCACAAGACAGAGCACCGCGGGAGAGTTAATCCATCCATTACTACAACAACAACAACCCTTTTGCGTTTGATACAGTGCTTTATTGGCCCCCGAATGTCTCGAAGCTCACCGCAGGATTTCCTGCGTGGCGTGGTAGCGACTGTGTGTTTTGTAGGCGAACACGGCCGCCAACTTGCAGACAGCGATGTCCCGCAAACAGCCGTGAAATGAGTGGGCGAAGTGAATGACAGAAAGTGTCAACGTCTCATCCAAAGGACGATAGCTCCGACAATGCAGCCTCCCCCCCCCCCCCACCACCGCCCCACCTCCGGCACCGAATTGGAGCCTCAGCCTGGATCCTGTCGTGGAGTCCTGCAGCTCGGTTAGAGCACTCGCCTCGCAAGTGAGAGGGCCTGGGATTGATTCCGTGGCAGGGCGAAACGTTGGGCAAGTTTTGTTACGCCACACGCCATTGCTTACCCGGCAATACGTAGGAACCCGGTTGTTAGTTGATTGGCGGATCACTTTTCCAGCGGTAATAATCCCTTCCCCAAAAAATAATAATGCTAATAATTTGGTCACTCAGTCCACGACTGTTTGGGTGGACGCTGCTGTGCACCATTGGCTGTCGGGTTTCACCCACAAAATACAGTCAATCCACTTTACAGTATATTCTGTGGAGCGCTTTGAGACGTCTCAACAATGTGATGAGGTGCTTTATCAAGTGCAAGGATTATTATTATTATTAAGACACATCCATCTATTCGCTCACCTGCTGCACATGCTCTCCGGGATGCCCAGCATTTTCGCCTTGACCTTCTTCCGCTGCTTTTGCATGGCCGTTTTGATCGTCTCCATGAAGAAGACGGGACATTTCTCATCGTTCAAGATCTCTCTGCAACGTCAAAGCTCAGCGTTAGGCAGGTGGGTGGGTGGGTGGGTGGCTGGACAGACGGCTGGGCTCTAGTACCAAAAAAATAAAAACGTGTGGTCCCGCCGTTGAACCCCACCGGGTATCCAGTTCTCCGCTGGGCAGTGCTTTGGGATGTTACAGCGACTCTGAGCCCCCAACCCAGATAGCAAAGAGGGGTGTCCTACTCAACACTATCCAGTGCCTTTATTCATTAACTGCCCCCCTCCCCCACTCGCCCAGGAAGTGCAAGTATGGACATTGTCCGGGGGCTTGGCAGGGCTTTGGCTGTCACAGCCCTTGGTTTGGCTTGTAGCCTCCACTTGGTAATCGGGAGTGAGTGCGGGGGGGTGCGGAGAGAAGAAAGAGTTGTTTAATTCCTGGTCGGAATGGGCAGGGTGGGGGTGGGGGAAATGTCACAGAGTGGAAGAGGTGGGGGGGTAGTCAGAGGAAGTGATTCATGCTTAGTTGGACGGAGGAGGGGGATAAAGCGTCAGTCAGATTGCGGTGGGGTGGTGGGGGGCGCGGGGAGAAAAGAGGCAGTGTCTCAGTCTCGGAAAGGAGGTCTCCAGGCCGTGCTCGGAGTTGTGTGTGAGTGTGTCTGGAGGGGGAAGAGAGGGAGAGGGAGGAGTCTCCTCGCCCAGACTCACTCACCGCTGATAGTAAGTCAGCTCCTCCTGCACCAGGAACAAGTTGGTCTTGAGTTCGTTGCGTTCATGGAGGATCTGCCTCATCTCCTGCTTTGTGAAGCATGGCCGGTTCGGGTCCTTCAGGTCCACGATTATCTTGTCACTCAAGTCTATGTCAGGAACCTTCAGCACTGATTTTGTCTTTGAGGGAGAGGGGAGAGAAACAAGATGAAGGGAGAGAAAGGAAAGAGAGACAAAGGCATCTTAGACTTCTCGAAAGCATCAGGTGAACATTTGCCGGCATTTAATTCCCGTTCAAGGCCTCCCCAGGGGTCGTATGTATGGGCGTCATTCAAACACGGAATTGCAGGATTATTGCGCTTGGCAAAATCAATCCACCAATCGACTAACAACCGGGTTCCTGCCTACTGCTAGGCAAACAGAAGCGTGTGGAGTAAGGAAATTTGCCTAAGGTTTCGTCCCCGGCCCTCCCGGGAATCGAACCCGGGTTCCTCTTGCTTGCGCGGCTAATGGTGCTCACCACAGCTGAGCTTTGCTCGGCCTGGATCTGAGTCAGGGTGGATCTGACTTGGTCTATCTCCTTGTTCCTCTCCTGCAGGGCCACCTCCAGCTCGGCCTTCTTCTCCAGCACGCTCTTCATCTGCGCTTGCATCACGCTGTTCTTGTGCCGCAAGTCGTTGTTTACCTTCAAAACCCGGTCCAGTTGCTGCTGGAGCTGAAACAGCGATCAAAGCACCACCGTTACATAATATTTTTCACGCAAAGGGTAGTGGAAACTTGGAACTCTCTCTCTCCCTCACCCAAAGGGCTGTGGATGCCGGGATCCATTCAAATGGCCTACTCTTATATAATAATAATTTATAGGTTAAATCACTTCTATAGAGGCAACTTCTTGATGGTTTTCAGTGACGTGTCAGCCAGACCAACAACACACACTTTACATATGAGTAGATACGAATATATATATATATATGCATATACATATACATATTAACTTTACATATGAATTGCACATGAACACCAACCCACGACGGTTTGTGGGACACCGCTGTGCGCAATCGGCTGCCCTCCGTTTTGCCTACAAAATTACACGGTCAATTCGCTCTGCAGTATAGTCTGCAAAGCGTTTGAGACGTCTCAACGACGCGCTGTAAAGGCGAGGATGATTATAATAGCTGCTTTTTTTTTGCAGGGGGGGGGTTGATATTTACGTAATAACAAGCCTTGTATTTGCATTTGACGCAGCACCTTATCACGTCTCATCGAGACGTCTCAAAGTGCGCCGTGGGATTTACTGCGAGAAACCGTGTATTTTGTGGGCGAAACTCAATAAGCTTTTAACAGCAGATCCGCCAAAGCTCCCGGCGCCCGGTGTGCTTACTGCCTCCACGTCGTCGTTCTTGCGGTAGATTTCGTGATCTTTGGCCCGGAGCTCATCGCGTTGTCTGTCCACCACCTCTTTCAACTTGAGCATCACCTCGCGCTCCTTCTTGGAGAGACTGTCTGATAGAGAGAGGCCGGCCTGTCAGCAGCAACGCCCCACATCATATCATCAGCATAATAATAATAATCGTAATAATCCTTGCATTTGACTTAGCGCCTTATTTCGTCGAGACGTCTCAAAGCGCTTCAGAGAATATACTCTAAAGGGAATTGGACTGTGTATTTTGTGGGCGAAACGTCCCGCAAATGGTTGATGGATTGGTTTACCAAATTATTATTTATTTAACGACTTTTTTGAAGGGATCATTACCCCGAGAAAGCAATCATCTCACAAACTGGGTTCCTATTTGCTGCTCGGTAAACAGAGACATGTGGAGTATTCTGTGCGGCGCTTTGAGACGCCCTGAAGACGTGATAAGGCGCTATAATCGAATGCAAGGATTATTATTATTTTAAGACAATTTACCTTCCTGGGTCTGGCTCCCAATTAGTTGGTTGACCAGCTGTTGGTTTTCGTTGGTGAGCTGCGAGATCTGTTTCTGCAGCTCCTGGACATTCTTATGCCAAGCGTGTGATTTGTTCTCCAGCTCCTGAAATACATGTCAAGGCGAGCAATTACGCGGGGAATGGGCGGTGACGCGGACTGGAACCCTGCCACGTTTCGCCCACAAAACACACAGCCAATTCGCTTTACGGTATATCCTGTGAAGCGCTCCTGAGATGTCTCAACGACGTCATAAGGCGCCATATCAAGTGCAAGGATTATTAGCATCTGCGAACCCAGGACACAGCTAAACATCTCCTCTCTCTGCCTCTGGTGTTACTCGTGTGTTTGCGTGCAAATTTCTGTATATACCAGAGGGATGGAGGGAGAGAGGCACACACACATGTGAGCACGCACACACACACACACGCGCCACTCTTTGAGTCGATCTGCCCACAGAGAACCCATTTGCATACATTATTGACTCATAGTTTTGATTATGGCAAATGTGACGGACACCGTGGTGACATGACACGTAGCCAGAAAGGGAAATTATTCACTTATGAGGTCACGACAAGTTTGCTGACAATAACTGGACTTTGGCACCAGAAATGTCCGCGTGAGTCCACTATAATACCTTCAGGGTGGCGAGGAGGCATCAGGCAGTCTGGCCAAAGAGTTATTGAATCAGTTAACTATTTGTTTAAATTCAATCGTGAATAAAAGCCTCCACGAACGCAAGGAACAAACTCTTATACTCAATAACCTGGAAAGCAACTTGAACTTGAAAAGCGAACTGGGTGGGAGTGGGGGGAAAAAAACAATTTGATCACTCAATCTCTAACTGTTTGTGGGACACTGCTGTAAGCAATTGGCTGCCACATTTCGCCCACAAAATACACAGTCAATCCACTTTACGCTGTATTCTGTGAAGCGACCATAAAGAGTTATGTTGAAGCCACAAAAGCGTGGGCGGGGTGGGGGGGTGGGGGGGGGGGGGAGGGGGAGAGGGGACAGGAAAGTGGGCGAAAAGAAACGGAACCGAATTATTGAGTGAACCATTTGGCGTTTAGTCAAATCGGGGGCGTAGCAAATCTGAATTCTATTTGGCTACGATTTCACTTTCGCATTACCCTCCCACCCCCACTGCCATCCAAACTGAAAAGAAAACGGGTCCAAGTTGCAAAACAACATAGCAAACATTCCAGCCGCAAGGAAGCCAGTCACGGTTTAAAGTCCTGTTTACCATCAAAGCTTTAAAAGCCTAAAATGTCCTGCTCCAGCTTAGCACCAGCAACATGTGCGTGCGTGTGCGTGACGGGGGGGGGGGGGGGGTGGGGTGTGGGGTGGATGGACGATTCCTGCGTCAGTCGGCGCACCTTTGTCTAACGACTTTCCAGGGGAAATGGGGTAAAAATGCCCCTTACTCATTGTCCAGCTGGCGGGTTAAATGGTTCCATTTGTGCGTTTTTTGTTGTTCTGTTTCCTCTTTCTGCTGCAGGTCAGGCACCAGCAGCGACCCCAACAGTAACGAGACTGAGACTACTTCCTCCTCCTGTTCTAAACGGGTCCCGATCGCGGGTACTTCTGCTCCATCTGCGGCCGCTCGCAGAGGAAATCACTCGCTGTTCCGCATACGGCTGGAAAGTCACCAGATATCCCTCGCGCTCACCCCTCAGTGGCCATTTTCCGATCGAGGCCCGTTTCGGCGTCGGCAGAACAGACCAGTCACTGGGGATCAGGAAATCCTCCCACTCAGCTCCTAATTAACCCCGGAGGCTGAAGCCCTAACGGGTAGACCTGGTTAAGTACGGCGACGGGTTTCCGCACGTGTCAGACACCGGGGCTGACCCCCACCCCGAAAAATCGGCAACTATCTACCCTTAAAGACTGGAAGTCGCACCCTCTACCTTTCAGCCTCGTGCCGTCTCCAGCTGCCTGGCAGAGGGAGATTGGAAGCGCGTCCCCTTTCTGTAGGGGTCTCGGTTGCTGAGCCAGGCAGGTCGGGAGCCCTCCGAGGCTCTGTTGATGCCAGACCACCCCAGCCTGGCTCCTCACCAGGACTTCGCGAGACAGTCATGAGGAATAGAAATTCTTCCCAATCAATTACATTACTCCAAAACCCCAACAGACAGTTGGACAAACAACAGTGTCAAATTATTCCTGTACAAATCTTACTGAAATATCTGTCTCTTTCTCCCCCTGCGTTGCACTACAGTTCCAGTAGTAAATACAAATTCTGGCGTACATTTATATAAAAAAAAACCCTCTTCCTCCCGGCCCTCTATTTCGGAAGGTTAAATCCCTCAGTTACCAGATTAATCCTCTCCATAGTTCTATTTTTATAAGTAAATCCATAATCTGCGCCTCCGTATTTTAAACTGAATTAAATGCAGCCCTACGTAGATCGAAAATCTTACTGAGCAATAGTTAAGCGAGTTAACGTCTCCTGAAATAAATTATTTGGTAATTATATATGCATAAAATAAGATTGTAAAATAATATATCTGTAAATTAATTTATAATGATATAACTACAAATCAATGTACAACAACAGTAACTTATAGTTGTATAAATAACGTGTGTGTTTCGCTGTCTCAGCATTTTGAGTATGCAAAGTTCAGTAAAATTCTTAAACGCCGTCTTCAACACAGAAACACGCTCTGTAAGAGCCTACAGAGGACGCAGGTCTGGTCAGGCGCTTCAATGGGTCACCTCAGGAGTGAACAGCAATAATTATAAGTGGTAAATCTTAGCACATCGTCAAAATAACTCAAACAGCATTTACTGTCGAGTGTAGCGATTATGAATTTTGGGAGGCGGAAGGGACAGCCAAAGAAAAATAATAATATACTCACTTTGGCTGCTTTTCACCCACAAAAATACCCACACAATTCACTTTACAGTGTATCTTGCGATGCGCTTTGAGTCGTCTCAACCACGTGATAAGCCGCTGTATCAAATGCACGGATTTATTAACACGATTATGTGATTAATTTTTGTGCACATCAACGTCCCACAAACAAACAGCCCTGAAGAAGCGAAGGATTAATCGCTTAACCTTTGGGAGGTGGGGGTTGGGAGGGGGAAACGTGTCGGTTAGGACATTAGGTAGAAACTCACTTCTGTTATTATCTCCCCCCCCCCCCCCCCACCCTCAACCCCACTCTCCCCCCACCCCCCACACCCCCCCCCCCCCCCCTCACACACAAACCACGGCACAGAGTAATGTCACGGGATCCTTATTACCCGGCACGACTTAAAAGTGTCTCCGGCCCTCCTCCAACCAATGTTTCGAAGAACATCATCCGACTCAAACAAACCCAAAGTTTGAAATGCCTTTTCTTAAAAATAAAATAATAAAAAAAAGAGCTGACAGGTAACTTTCTCTCTTTCCAACTTTTCTTTTTTTTGGGCGGTTGGGGTTGGGGTTGGGGGTGGATCATCAATAAATAAAAATATATATATATATATACACACAATATATATACACACACACAATATATATACACACATACACTATATATACACACACAGACTATATATACACATACACTATATACACACACACACTATACACACACACTATATACACACACACTATACACACACAATATACACACACACACAATATATACACACACACTATATAGACACACACACTATATATACACACACACTATATACACACACTATATACACACACACACTATATACACACACACACTATATATATATACACACACACTATATACACACACACTATATACACACACTATATATACACACACACACATACATATATAACAAATAATCTGAATTTCTCCAAACCTTAAAGCGAGTGTTGGTGTTGGTGGAGGTGGTGGAGGCTGAGAGTTTCTCTGCCTGTAACAAGGCAATGGCTGTGAGGAGCTCCTGGTGTTGGTGCTGTTGTTGTTGCTGTTGGTGCTGGTGCTGTTGTTGGTGTTGTCTGCTCTCGTTCTTCCTGCTCACGAAGCTTTCCAGCAGCTCCAGGACCCGGACCACTTTGGAGACCAGACCCTCCACCGCCCCCCTGCCGTGACTGTCGATCAGCCTCTCCAGCTCCGCTCCCATCAGCTGCGCGATCTCGTACACGTCGTTCACGGACAGAGTGGAGCTGGTCTTCTCCAGGCAGGACATCCCTCGAGCTTCCTCACCAGCGTCTTCCATGGCTCGGTAGCACTTTCTTTTGCCGTTAATTCTCCTTTTTTTTTGCCCCCCCCCCCCCGGCGCGGTTAGCTCTTACGTTTGGTGGTTGTCGATCCTTCTTTCTTTTTTAACACCGCTCCCCCCCCCCCCCCCACCTAAAAAAAAAATTATTGTTTTTTTTGCCCCCACTCTCTCTCTCTCTCTCTCTCCCTCTCTCTCTCGCTCTCTTTTTCTTTCCCTTTCTCTTTCTCTCCCTCTCCTCCTCCACCCAAAGTCAAGTCGTGATTGGGTTCAGTCTCAACTGGTGATGACCAGAGGGTCCATTCCAGTGTCCCCTCTCCTCAGCCCGAAGTTGTTGCTGATTAAACCCCGGGTTCAACCCCCACCTCCACCACCTCCTCCTCTCCCCCTCTCTCTCTCTCTCTCTCTCTCTCTCTCTGACCCCCCCCCCCCCCCCCCCCCCCCCCGGGGGTGGGATTGTTACGCTGTTTGAGGGGTAGTTGGTGGGTGTCACTCACAGTCCGGTCCCACTCATCAGCAGAGGGTGAACTTGACAGTGGGGGTTTGAAGGGCACAGCGCCGCTCTCTCTCTCTCTCACACTCTCTCTCTCACTCTCAGGTCTCTGTGCGGCAGCGATCCCACAGTGCGCAATTCGCAGCGCTACATCCGCTCAAGTGATCTACACATATACACACACACACACACATACATACACTACACACACATACACTACACACACACATACATACACACACACATACATACATACACACACTACACACACACACCACACACACATACACTACACACACACCACACACACACACACATACACACACACACACACACACATACATATACATACATACACTACACACACATACACACACACATACACACACCACACACACACATACATACATACACACATACACACACTACACACACACTACACACACACATACATACACACTACACACACACTACACACACACACAGATACACACTACACACACCACACACACATACATACACACCACACACACACACACATACACTACACACATACACACTACACACACATACACACACATACACCACACACACATACACTATACACACACACATACATACACATACACCACACACACACTACACACACACACACACTACACACATACACACACACACTATACACACACACATACATACACTACACACACACTACATACACACATACATACACATACACCACACACACTACACACACACATACACTACACACATACACACACATACACTACACACACACATACACCACACACACTACACACACACACACGCACACTACACACATACACTACACACACACATACACTACACATACACTACACACACTACACACACATACACTACACACACATACATTACACACACACCTAACACACACACACATACGTTACACACACACATACATTACACACACATTACACACACACATACATTACACACACACAACCCCCTACTCCCCTACACACAACCCCCTACAACATGTTGTTGTTTCCCAGTTTTTTTAAAAAAATTATTAATTATAATTATAATAACAATCCTTATTGGTGTACAGCCTTTCACGTTTATTTTTTTTCGGTCCCTGACCGTTTCGCTTGGATGCAGTACATTATTCCGACAATGCTGAGAATAATTTTTTATTGTTAATTATAAACGGACGATAATAATAAAGGATGAATACGGGGCCTTTCATGTCAGGAGGACGTCTCAAAGCGCTTCACAGGATTTTTCTTTTTAACAGTGCCGTGTAATGACTGTAACATAGGCGATAGCCTACAAATACACCGGGTAGACAATATTCCCGGCCACACTAATTAGCCAAATCAATTAGTCAGTCAAACTCACTCCAGGTAAAATTATTTTAGAGAACCACATTAATATCAATATGGTTCGGGCAAACCTCCTTTGGCGCAGGGAATTCCTGTGTGTCGATCAAAACACACAAAACCTACCGTCAATTCACTCGACGTTATATTCCGTGAGTCGCTTTGAGACGTTCTCGAAGACGCGATAAGGCGCTGCATCAAACCCCAGGATTATTATTATTATTATTATCATTATTCATTATTTTTATTATAAATGCGCTGCACGGAAACATACTGCGAAATGAGTTGACTCGGGTGGGTTCGTGTTGCGTAAACGGTGGGGGGAGGTGGGGGGGGGAGGGGGTTGAATTAAACGTGTGGAAAGCGAATCGCCTTAAAATCGCCTCTGTCCGCCCGCAGATACACCGCCAATTCGCTTTACGGTCCATTCCGCGAGAAGCGCTCGGAGACGTTCCCGAAGACGCGATGAGGCGCCGTATCGAATGCAAGGATTGTTAGTATCATATTGTTATAATTATTATTATTAAACTGCACAGCAGAGCGAAGCAGAGAGCAGAGCAAGGAGGGGAGGGGGGAGAGGAGGGGAGGGGGAGAGGAGGAGGGGAGGGGGAGAGGAGGAGGGGAGGGGGAGAGGAGGAGGGGAGAGGGGGAGAGGAGGGGAGGGGAGGAGGGGGAGAGGAGGAGGGGAGGGGAGGGAGGAGGGGAGAGGAGGGGGAGAGGAGGAGGGGGAGAGGAGGGGGAGGAGGGGGAGAGGAGAGGAGGGGGAGAGGAGAGGAGGGGGAGAGGAGAGGAGAGGAGGGGGAGAGGAGGGGAGGGGAGAGGAGGGGAGAGGAGAGGAGGAGGGGGAGAGGGGGAATAGGCTCCATCTCTGCAGACAGACTCTGCAGAATTTCATCAATGGGAGAAATCCCCCATCCTCACTGCAACTCCCTCCCTCTCCCTCCCTCTCCCTGTGTAAAAGACACACACAGCAACCCCCCAAACCCCAACCCCAGGTCCAACTTTATTATAAGAAACGACCGTAAAATGAGCCCTGAAGGCACCGCTGGGATTCGAACCCAGGATCTCCTGTTTACTAGACAGGCGCTTTAACCAACTAAGCCACGACGCCGGACTACTGCTCCGAGTGGCTCAGCATCCGCTCACTCCACAGAAGGGCTGAAACGTTTTTCTATTGCAATCTCTTTTTTTCTCTCTCTCTCTCTCTCTCTCTCTCTCTCTTTCTCTTTCCTTCTCTCTCTTTCCTTCTTTCTTTCTCTCTCTCTCTTTCCCACTCCCCCCCCTCACCCCCTCTTTTTTTTTGGGGGGGGGGAGGGGGTTTGTTGCTGTGAAATTGCAGCTGAGGTTTTTATATATATGTTTGGGTGTGTGTGTTTGTCTATGTGTATGTTGTATGTGTGTGGTTATGTTGTGTGTGTGTGTGTGTGTGCATGTATATGTTGTGTTTATGTGTGTGTGTCTATGTGTATGTTGTGTGTGTGTGTGTATGTACATACATGTGTGTTGTTGTGTGTGTGTATGTACATGTGTGTTTATGTGTGTGTGTGTCTATGTGTATGTTGTGTGTGTGTATGTATATGTTGTGTGTTGTTGTTGTGTGTGTGTGTGTATGTATATGTTATGTGTGTTGTATGTGTATGTGTGTGTGTGGAATAGAATTAATGGAACTAATTTATGAATGGAACCCCCGGGCGGGAAACCAGGGACCCGCGGGGGGTTCATTCACATAAACGAGGGGCAATATATCCCATTGATCGATTGATTGATTGATTGACTGACTCAATGGTATCCAATTGTAACCGGTGAAATCGATTGGTTTTGACGGACTGAGTCGGATCCGGTGCAAGTTTGTTTTTGGAGGGTGGGGAGTTTTTTTTTGGGGGGGGGTCACAAGTTTCCATTAAAAGACTTCTGCTACTGTAATTCCGAGCAGAGCAATCCTTAAGGCACCGCTGGGATTCGAACCCAGGATCTCCTGTTTACTAGACAGGCGCTTTAACCAACTGAGCCACGGCGCCCCCGCGTGTGCCACACCCGCTTGCATCGTGTTGTGTTGTATTCCTTAAAAAAAAAGACGCGTGCGATACAATAATAATAATAATAATCAATCAATTATTAGTAATGACGATGATAATCCTTCGCATGTGTTATTACGGCGCCTTATCCCGTGGCCGGGACCTGCGGGAGTGTATCGCGCGGGACTCCGTGGGCCAAACGCGACAACCGCCCCTCACAGTGTTGACGGGACGCGTGAAGATCCCGCGGGGCTATTCCACGGGAGAAGGGAGTTACGCAGGAACAGGAGGAGGCCATTCAGCCCCTTCGAGCCTGGTCCGCCATTTAGTTGGATCGAGGCCGACCCGCACCTCAACTAGTTAAGTCCTTTCAATTCCAATTTCCCTCTTTCTCCCCATTATCCCGTAATACTCCTGACCTACCAAAAAAATATATCTATCAACCTCACTCTTGAAGGCGTGGATGGGCCCAGCAAGTTTTTCTCTCTCTCCCCCAGTGTCCTGGTCGACAATTCCCCCTCCCACCCCCAAATAAAATTGGTCACGAACTCCATGGCCGTCCGTGGGATATTGCTGAGTGCGTTGGCCGCCGTGTTTCCCTGTAAGATATACAATCACCACATTTTACAGTACATCCCGCGCTTCGAGACGTCTCAACGACACGATAAGGCGCCATATCAAAAGGGTTACGTTATTTCATATACCCTCTTCCCAGCGTCTCTTCACCCTTCTTGGTGATCCGATCCAGGTCTTAATCCCTCCCCCCAAAATTGCCCCTTACGATCCCCTGACCCCACTTCCCTCTCGTCCTAACGCTTTGACGGACCGTATTGACAACGATCCCTTGCATTTGATACAGTGCCTCATCAGGTCGGGTGGATGTCTCAAAAGCATTTCGCAGGATGTACTGTGAAGTGTAGTGCCTGTGTCTGTTTGTAGGTAAACATGTCAGCCATTGTAGGCTTGCTGAACTGAGCAGGCAGTTTCCGTGCTGTAATGATCTATTAATTCTGTCTTGTATCCTCTCTTAGAGAGACGTTGCACACTCCCGTTGGGCAAGTGCTTTTGCGACGTTCCTCTACGTAGGCTGTTTGAGGGCCGTGCCTTCAGGCTCTGCCGTCTGCAAACGAGGATCAAACTCGCATCAATCGCTGCAAAAATAGATTGCGTGCTGCAATCCTCAGCCGTGACCTTGTCGAATCTTTCCCTCAGTCAGAATGGCTTTTTATCTCCATTCAGCACTTTTTTTTCTCCTCTCTCTCTCTCCTCTTGATCCTTTTCTTTGTTTCAACCTTCAGTTATTCTCTCTTATTCTGAGTTCCGTGCAGGCATGAGTTTCTGTCACTTTCGCTCGTTTAAGTGTGCGAGTGTGACCAGGGGCCCCTGTCAACACCCACTCAACTCACAACTCCAGTTGCCAGAGGCCCAATTGACGATGGATCAAACCGGCAGTCAGCTGCCGATGACGGGAAGGCAAGTCCTCTTGAGGAAAATGTCAGCGAATACGAGAGGTACCAGTTAAGAGTTCCCTGCAATCCATCCACTGTGAATGCACCCGGGGAGTCAGGCTACTGGAAACGATGGGAGCCATTTGAAAACTAAGCTGATCTGCTCGGACATCTGTCATCCACTGAACGCTTCGAATCACACTCCTGCCGTCAGGAAAGCTGCGCCAATTTCTGCACAATATGCCTCTTTGAATGAAACCATAACTAGCAATTTTATTATGTGCATCTGGAAGTGTGGGGGTAGGAGAAGGCGTTGGAACATTCATTCCATCCATCACGGTTTGATCATTTGCATTCCTTTTGTTTGTATTTTATAATGAAATCAATGTTGTCTTTTTCTTTAATTAAAAATTTATTGAACCTTTAATCTCCTGAATTTCTACAGTGCGCGCACACATTTACTGCACCATACAAGCAGTTTTATTACAGATCTTTCACCGAAGGCAGTCACCAACTGTTTTAAAATAGTTTTCGTTCTCACTTCTTGTGCCTGTGCCATGAAGGCAGGTAAAACAGTTTCCACAAAAATGTACATTGCACATCGCAAGATCTGGTGTAACACAATAACAACAAAAAAAACACTGCAGATACCGTGAACAGAAACTGAATGTATATTTTGTTGAATATCAACAGTACGGGAGTCCCATTAAAAAAATCTCTCTCCTTTTCTAAGCGTACATGTCCTCTCGGTCTGCGTTATAGATCTCGCCCTCTTGCAATGAAGCAAAGTTCAGGAAGTGGGATGGTCTGTGAACTTCGTGGTAGAACTCTTTCGGATTGGCCAGCTGCAGTTCGTATTTCATGTTGGGATCGTGACGAACGCCTAATGGAGACAACCAAAGGTTAACCTTTCACCAGCAAATCGCCCAATCATCAAGAGAAGCATTCGCAACCAGCGTCGAGATCTCAGGGGCTGACTGAGCGGAAATCATACAACCCAAACCAGAACTGCAATTTTTAAAAACAAAATTAAAGACCCTTAAGAGTGACTATGTATTAAAAGTGGGGTTTGGGGCGGGGGGAGGAAAGGAAAAAAAATAATCTGCAAATGCTCCTCCTTCTGAATTAAACTTTGTCAAAATGCAACAAATAGCAAAGAGTGAATGAATCATAAACCATTAACGTTTTGAACTCACTGATGGTGCCACATAAAAGTATCATATTCTATTCAAAAATCTAGTCATTTCTGTCCTGGATTCCAGGTGGGTGGAAATGTTTGCTTTTATTCAGTAAAAATGTTGACTTAAAAGGTTACAAGTACTTACCCATGAAGTTGTAGTTCCAGGAGCTCTGCCCAGGTACCATGAAGAAACCAAGGAACCTGTCCGACAACAGCATCTGAACTCTTTCATAGTGAGAAGGCAGGTACCCCTTGGGGTTGTTCCCTTTGTCAGTATTCTGCCGACCCCACTCATACCCACTGGGTGTCAGTTTATATGCCGTAAGTGTGCAAGACCCTGGAGTAAAGCTGAGAGGTGTGGGGGAAAAGGTCATTAAACGAGGGTCAGAAATATGTATACCACGAACATTCTCAAGCCTTTCACACTCAGCTTACGTTGTAAAACATTTCACTGTCTGGTGCTGCCAAGGTCAATGGCTTGCAAACCACAAACCCCTGGGCATTGGCAAGTTTATCTTAATTGGAGAATCCATCCACCGAGTTCACAAACACGAGAGATTTGGCTGTAAAATGGATGGCAACCAGGCACAGCCTATAGCTGCTAGGGCTAATGGCGTTCTTGTTTGCTTACAAGAACAATCACTCCATATTACAGCAACTATCTCTGATGTTTCACAAGATTGGTTTGGATGAAAAAGGCCCTTCGGCCCATTTGATCTCATCCTTCATGTATAAAAATACAAAAACAATTCTTTAATAATAAAAATACAGAACTATTTATTCTTAAATACCCAGGAGTTATCACCTCACCTGCACGTGATGATTATGGTCTTCTCTCCATCCCAAGACGGGTTGTCAGCCATGACCTTGGCATGGGTGGAGACATCTTGTGGTGACAACTGAGGGGACTCATTGGGTTGGGTGTGAATCCAACCGAGAGGCTCCATTTCCTGAGGAAATAATTCCCGATCAACTATGATGCTAACAACAACAAATTACATTTGTATATCGCCTTTCACCTCAGGAGGACGCCCCAAAGCGCTAACAAAATACAATACCAGGCAAAGCAATTTGCCACTGAATGACTCGATATTGAGGGGGGGGGGGGCGGGGAAGAGAGAGAGTAGATTCAAATAAAAATGTATTTGCAACGATCCATCAAACACATGCAGACATTTCTTTATACCTTTAGATACTCGTGCTGTGGAAGCTGGTTGGGTAGATGCACTGTCTGATGGGTTCCCCATTGTGGTACCATCACGATACACCGGATCTCCTTCACCTGAGGGTTGTCGGGAGGGCTCACGCCATACAGATAGCCAGCGATCTGCAAAACATCAAATCTCACTGCAGCTACCACCATATAATCGATTTGAAATGATGAAACTAAAACAACATTGCTATTTCATGTGAATACTTGAATAAATGATCACCTCCAAATCAGCTACATCTTCTGGCAATCTCTCCCCCTCCACACCCCCCACTCCCTCCCGCCCCAGTCATATTCCCCTATCAGTGAACAAGCATGAGATTGGTCAGTTCTAGTTCAACCACCCGAGGATTTATTCACATGATCAACTACAAATAAATGCTACAATTTCCATTGATGGATGTCAGTAAATTTAACTTGAACTTGGAAGTTACAGCTAACAATATGGAGTTGCCTCTTGAGAACAGTTCATTCAGTCAAGGTACTCAACCCAACCCAAGTCATTAAACACAACTCCACCAAACCGTGTCTGTATAAATCAAATGTCCTTCTGTCAAGTTGCGTTAATTTACCTGCGCTCTCAAGTCTGAAATGCAGATGAATTTCTTCAGCACGTTCTTGGGCAATATATAGGTATAGCCAGTCTCTTTGATATCATCGGAGGAGACGTAGATGTGATTGGTACGTAGATGGAGGTTGGCAGCAGATATTGCTCTGTGGAGGAAATAAATGACTGGAAATGAGATGACATAAAGAGTGTTTCCACCCTCTCACCTAGCATTGAGTTCAATGTGAAAAACATGGTTAAAATGTTTAAGCTGTAGGAGACCCAAACAATCTTAGGTAAGTTTTTCTTACCTGACTCTCCATTCTGTTTTGGATGAGAAGGTTTGTGTCTCGTAGTTGCTGGTGGTTGAGGTGATGATCTCATCCCCGTGTTTGTTGACTGTGCGAGTTTGAGTGGCCGTGAGCTGTGACTGTTCTTTGGTCTGTTTCTCAATCTCAGCGATCTGCTGCCTCTGCTGTGAAGGAGCTGAAATCTCCATCCCCAAAATAATGTCACGAATCTCAGACTGCGTCAGCGAGGCCACATTTACACTGAAACAGACAGCAGAGAGTCAGTAATGTCAGGTTATGCCCAAGAGATCAGCAAGCATCTCTCAGTAAACAGAATGGTTCTTTAAAATGACTGTACCAAACATATTTTAGTTACTTAAATTACAATCCTGTGGTGGCCTTAATTCACGGCATGTTTTACTACATCACAGGCATTTAATTTCAGACCAGCTGCCCAAACAATCCTCGTGCTATATAGTTAAATAGAACTGTGACTCAGAGAGATGGTTAAACGATCAGGTTTTCTTGGGAGTTCCACTGTGCAACCAGAGATTGCACCAGTCCTCTCTCTACACAGACCTGACTGCCGCCTGTACGGTGAAATAACACAAACGTTTCTTCTTACTTGTTTTTCTTGCCGTAATCGGCCAGAATGAGGTCCTTCAGCTGCACCTCCACCTTTTATCCACTCCTCGTCGGTCAGGGTGGGCCAGATGTGATGGGGCTCTGTAATGGTGGTCTTGTCCGGCTTCAGGATGACCTTTGCTCGATCATTGTTCACGTGCAACGCTCTCAGGATTAAAATCAGACGAGAGAACGCCTGCGGGCGGGAAAGGAGGAAATGTTTTTTCAAATGCCGAGGAGCAAGACCTAGGAATTTGCTCGCTTCACTCACTTCATTGGATCTCCAACAAACCAAAGTAGGATCAATACATACATCGTGACATTGGTTAGGAATGACATGGAACCTGAATTTTAATTGAATTTTAAGATGCATCAAATTGGAGGTGCACATTATAAGAAGCAGAGCAACAATGTGCAATAAGCTTCTCCCACTGAATCTTCTGTTCCAAGTCAAAAATCCCATCTGACCAAATACGAATAGTACATTTGCCGCGTGAATCAAGATTATCGGCCGTTCAGGGACTGGGAAAGAACAGCAGCAATTTCACAGCGTCCACACTTCTCCCACCCCAGTGACCCGGTTTCATGAGAATTTATTCTTGAATCCTTGCTTTACTCACAGTGTAGGAAGAAATGGTCTTCAGCCAGTCGTCGTACAAGTTAAACAGCACCATCTGCGGCTCAGTCGCCTTCAAAATCAGATCGCCAAACTTTTCCACTTTCAGGCAAGCCTGGAAAGGCAGTTGCAGCTCCGAGCCTTTGATCACAATGTTGGGGAAATCCAGCAAATGGACCTGAAGTAAAAGACAAGGTTAAGAGTGCGTAAAGTTGGACAAGAATAGCTGCTCACATTCCTCACTCAACAAATAACTGACAACATTAAGCTGTGGACCTAGAAGCTCTCAATATACTCCAAAGACTTAAAAATATACAGCTGCTTGTATTACCAGATTTCAACTGTAGCCCAGTTCAGTGCTACTCCATTCAGCCTGATATCAATGAACTGGCCTTCCACTAGGTTTCAGAAGTAAAGCACTGAATGCACACCAGATTCAGATATACTAATTTAGGGACTGTGTGTTTATATGTTAAAACTAGCGTGAAGACCCTTTGAAGTTGCTAAATGACACATATAAATTCTAAATTACAACTTTCTGATTAATTCTATGAAGCACTTATAAAGATTCTACTGTAGTTCAAGACAAACGAGCTATAAATCCAAGTTTACTCACTTCCAGAGGATCTAACATGCCCTTCCTTGTAACAATGATCTGCTTGGGCTGCTCCTCAACAGGTAGCGAGCGGATCAAGGCAGCCACTTCTTCTGCAGTCTTCCACTTGGCCAGCTGAATGCAAGGGAATGTTTACATTACTGCTCAAACAAGCAACAGGTGAAAGAACAGATAATTAAACTGTGTTCAATGACGCAAACGTGAATCAGCATGAAGCAAATTTCCAAATATGCCAATTCCAGCTCAAAATGGGGAGGGAAAAAAAAATTGAGTTACCTGACCCAGACGCTTCTGTCCAGCCCACACAGAGGTGTGAATAATCTTAAGGAACAGCTGTCCTGTCCTGGGGTTGAAGATGAAAATGGCTCCATTGATGGGCTTTGTAGTCAAGTTACCCTCAAACGTCTGAAAATGAAGTCAAGTTATGATCACAGAACATTTTAAGAGGTTTTTAGATGACGATTACATGAATGAAACTGTAAGTGGATCTTACAACCAGAAACTCGCCTTATGAATGGTTACTCGGTACACGTTGGTGTCATCCACAAACCAGATGATTTGGTTGGAGAAGAGTTCACCGTAATTCTGTGAGGAGAGGTAAGGCTCAGTTGGCTCGGAAGAATACAACTGCAGACCCTTTCGAATGCGTTCTCTCAGCACATACAGGGCAGGATTAGCCTTCATAATCTTGGCCATGGCTTGCTGGATCAATGGCTTGGCACCAGGGAACCAATTACCGTAAGCACTACAAGATAAAAAGAACACATGGTGGGGTGGGGGGGGTTGGGAGAGTTGAGGTACAGATCAGCCAAAATGATCTATTAGAATGGCGGAACAGGCTCGAGGGGCTGAATGGCCTACTCCTGGTCCTATAATTTCCACCTTGAGCTTTATCTTACCAGCACAACCATAAACTAATGTAAAGACAGCACAATATTGATAAAAAAGTACAAATCCAGCTTTGAAATCAGAAAATTATCTTAGGAAACTGCTCCTGATACAAATATTTAATAAATATATCATGCACTAAACTATGACAGAGTGGAAGAATTACTTGAAACATGAAGACAGCATACCTGTGCAAATTATAGGCTAGATCAATAGCGATCAGCACACCAGTAGGTGAGGGGTAGATACTCATGTTGTCAGTTGTGTAATCCAGGAACTTGGCCCTGGCATATCTCTCAATGTCGTGAGAGTCATAGTCACCCCATCGCAACTGAATATCGATCCAGTATTTCTGGGTCGTGGTGCTGTCCATCACATCTCTGAAACAAAGGAACATTGTTAAACACTGTGCCACTTACGACAGGTATGAAAACCTCCCCTCCTCCCATCCACCCGAACAATTTGGTCTTTAAATAGAATTCATAGAATTCAAGTGATCATCCAGAAGCGCAGTGCCATTATAAATACAATTTTCACATCTTATACTTAATGGTAAACCAATTCAATTCGGACAATGACAACTTCTATGGTAAAGGAATGAATGCTCTGTAAACTCCCTCAAGTCAATTTTATTGAGTGGAAATTTATAGATTGCAGTCATTCGGATTATTTGCAACTCTTTATAGAGGCAACGCGGCCCCACTGTAAATAAACACTAAAAGTGTTCAAGTTCCATGAAAATCCTTAACATACTTTGAATCGGCAAGCAGCGAGGGCCTGGAAACATTCCACTTGTACGAAGCAAACAGCAGAATGTCAGCACAGGAGGAGTTCATTTTGTAGGACTTCCTGGGGTGAATGGTCTCCTTCTGCACTGTTTCAATCTCCAGAGCGTCCAACTCTTGGTCAAAAACCTGTCAACAGGAATATCCTTAACTTCTGGAAATGCATTAACATGAACAAACAGACAAATTGCATTTATACAGCATCTTTCACGACGAGAGGACATGCCAAGGCACTGATAATTGTCATGCCATGAAGCACAACATTCCTAAAAAATAGCAAGTGAAATAGTTGGTCATTTCCCACTTAACTTCCTTCAGTTATAACTTGTCTGAAGGTCTTGAACTCCCCAAAACAATTTTGGGGTCACAGCAGGGGTCTGGCCCCAGAGTTTGCGATGGGGTGACTGCTGGAGTTTAACCAGTTAATACTGCAGAGAAAACACTCTGTCAAGCTACCCATTGCTTATAACAATAAAATAACTATTTTTGACCAGCTAGGATCACCCCAAAGTAACGTCTCAACACTAACCTGACACAGGTCCATGACGATGCTCTCGTGAATTTTCTGCCACAAATGGGCCCTGAAGATCTGGATCAGAGAAATCTTGAGTGTGGGGATCTTGCCGTGCATGAAAATTCCAGTCAAATCTAACTGCACCTGGAAGCCTACATATACCTACGGACAGAAAGGAAAAATATTTGCACTGTTTGAGGAATATCTTTAAAGACAGACCCTCTGGTTAAGCACACAGTATCTGCAGTGACTTACGTTAGCTCTGTTGATAGTTGGTGACCACCAAAGGGTGAACCTTCTGTTGGGAATTTGGTTCAAGCCAGACCGCTGAGCGTTGGTCAACTTCTTCCACTTCATGGACTCCTCGAATCCACTGGCCTTTTCCCTATGGGTATAGGATTTGAGGAAAATTAATGACCGGACAACTAAGTTACACAAACTCAAAATAGATAATAACTGTCCTTTCATTTGATGTAGCGCCTTATCACGTCTTCGAGACGTCTCGAAGCGCTTCACAGGATATGATGTAAAGTGTAGTGGCTGCATATTTTGTGGGCGAAACGCGGCAGCCAATTGCGCACAGCAACGTCCCACAAACAATTGTGGATTGAGTGACCAAATTATTATTTATTAACTTTTTTTAATAGAATGCTCAAGCACGTGAAAATATCCTCACAACACCAGGACAGTCAACTCAGATCACAGCAATTAGTTTACCCCGACTCTTTTGAATTACATACCAGAACAGACCCTCCCAGGTGGGGAAATAGGTTCCCTTGAAAAGTGTGTGCTCCAGAATGCCTTCAACACCACCGAGTGCTTGGATCATGTCTGTACGGTAGTTGTTTAAGTTCCACAGCTTGCCGTCATGCCGCTGATGGGTCCACCAGAACGGGTTCTGTTTCAACACCTGGGAGCAAAACATTTTGAATGACAGACACACTTCAAAATGATGGGGCGTTAGATTGAAGGGGAGGAAAATTCAGAACAAATCTGCAGAAACACTGCTTCAGTGAGCGAGTGAGTAGTAATCTTATGGATCAAGCCTTCTAGGGTGACAGTGGAAGCACAAATTGTCACTTGTTTCAAGAACAAATCAGATACAGTTCTGCTAGAAAATAATATGTCGGAATACATTACATAGTTTGGAACAAAACATGTCAAGCGACTGCCAGGGTGGTAGAAGGCGAATTATCACTTAGCAAATTCTTATGTTTTTATCTCACATTCTGTAATATCCTCAGTGTTAATGAAACATTGTACCGCGGGGAGGATGAGCTGGTAGGTTTCAAACTAGAACACTGAAGCTGAAACTCACCAGCCTCTGCCAAGTAGATTGTTTTTGTTAATTCACAATAGGTGAAGAAAAAAAACAATTGCATCTCTAACACATATATTTGAGGCGGTACGTGGGAAGAGAGAGAGAGACCAATATCAAAGTAATTCGAAATTAAATGGAATCATCTCCAAACAATAAGACAGACTCTTCATTTTCAAAACCTACTGTTTTGATTCTAAATTCTACAAAAGGAATAAACAAAAACAGGTTCACAAAGATTTAATTTGGATTGAAATCCCAACCCAAACATTTGGGAATGTAAAACTTTGCTGAAGCCACTGAAAAAAAACCCAGAAGGACAGATCGAGGGAACAGGAGGAGAAAAAAAACTCACAAAAAAGTTGGCCCCATTACATACCTGATACTGTTTAAAATCAGTTCTCACTCTCCAACCTTTGTCGTAGGCCAATGTGTGCCTGTCTTTCTGGAACAGCGTGTTAATACGTGGGATACCTCTATCCCAGGAGTCTTCCAGATCTTCCAAAGTTAAACGCCTGAAATTATAAACCTGTACGTCAAAGAACGCAACCGGTAAAAACGTGCTAGCCTCACTGTCGCTCCAAATAAACCAGACCTGTTTTGTGCTATAGCTTCCTGCCGCTTCAGTGCGTACTCTGCCCACACTCGCTGTGAATCGATGAACTCGCTCTCCCAGGGCTGAATGTAGCGATACAGATTGGGAATCAGCTGGTCTTCTTCGTGACTCATACCCGATCGGAAGTGAGTGATGCCCACATCCGTTTGTTTAGACCACCTGGTAAAATATAGATTTAGTGTAAAAATGAACCTGACATATGTCTGATTCGAGTGCTTATACACTTTAAATATACACAAATGCTTGGTATTATGGAGAGTAATACTTATTACTGAAATTTGTGCACACGGTGTAGTACTTAAGCGCACTTTAACATGGTCTTTCAAAAAATAGTATCGCAGACAATAGCATAGCTACAGATACAAATAACTTGCCTATCAATAACTACTTGACAGATTAAATTACATTGATTTCAGATTTTCATAGTACTGATTCTGAAAGTCAAAAGTGCATTGAAATCACACCTCAGATCAGACTGCGGAATGAGAACATGTCCCATGGACAACATGCCCAAACCACCCAGCTCCTTGGGTGTGTAAAACACAACAGGAGGGAAACGACTTGGCATCTTGGAATTCAAACCAATCTTGATACGAGTCTGGATCTTGTTTTCGCACTTCACCAACAGGTCCAGTAACTCCTGGGTGTTAACCACTGCCTCGCGGAAATAAGTCATCAGCCCAATCAGAGCAGTGTTCCACTTATTCACAATCTGTAAAGACGGACAACGCCCCGTTAGAAATCAAGCACAGCAAGTCAACAGCTGCTCTCATTAGTCTGAGCATCACACCGTCATTGCAACGTGTAGACACTCAAGTGGGAAATCTTTACTGTTGTAAATTAAGTGCATCTTGATGGTACTGTCCAACGTAACATTGCATTTCCTTTATTATGGCCACAGGTGACTTTGTTAAAGGTTCTTGTCAGAACTTATGTTGATGTTGCTTGTATTGGTTCCATGGCGGTCTTCAAAAAGCCAAACCATATGAACGAAACCAGATTTTAAAACATCCAAAATGTGCCCAGTAGGGAATGAATTTTAAACTCCAATTAACAGCAGGCCAGCCCGGCCCATTCCAGCAACACAGTTTCATGAATTCATGAAGTCAAGAATACGTTCATCAGTCAGAGTATAGGGCAGCTGCATGGGTAAAGTTAATCACCAATTCTGAAGTTTAGAATTTCATCTACCCACATGGAAACCGTACCTTAGTAAAAGTGGTGGAGCCAGAAGCCATGAGAATCTGACGCACGCGGTTGTGGAAACGTTGCATGGATTCATCATCCACTCGAAGGAAGCACTGAGCTGTACGCTCTTTAGTCACCTGTCCAAGCAAACCAAAAAAGAGCAATGTAAAATAGAGCAAGCGCTGGAAGATCGCTAGAATTATGGTGGCTTCTATACTAGACCTCGTTTTGTAAGTTCCAGACTCCGTCCTTGTGAGTATATTCCTCGTAGCTCGTGCGACATTTGGGTAGGATGCGGCACTCGAAGCCAGACATGTTGAACAATAGGTTTGGGTTGTCCTTGCTGTATACAGATACAAAACTGTTCTCCCACTGAATTGTGGTCACAGATCTCGGCAGACGGTTCTTAATGTCCCAAAACACTGCACGGCCACTACGAAAGAGAAGTAGTTTTAATGTGGACAGGAAATAACGGACGGAAAACAAATGAGCAGCAGTAATATTCAACAGTCATATTTTCTAGGGCTCCAGATAACTGAAGGACAAATTATGAATCTCCAAATAAGATGATGACATTATATAGAAAACACATTTAGGATCTAAAACTGCAATTTGTGCAGTGGTTATTCTGTATTGTGCAACCATTTAAATATTCCCAGACTAACTTACTCTAATCACACCACTATGCTTAGAGGACAAGTGCTGCTGAAAGTAACCTAATGAGCTACATTCACAAAAGCAATGCAGCGCTGTGGATAGAGCGAGGCTCTGCCTGTATTAGATCCTCTTAGGTCATTCAACTAACCAACCAGTTTGAGCATCAAGCTCTTCGATAACCACACGCATACACAAAGCAATCCCCGGGCACACTTACAGATTTACATCATGCTTCATAAGCCGCATACGAGCATCTCGCGGCCAGCACTTCTTGTTGTTGTAACCTACAATGTTCTCATTGTTTGGATCGGGATGTTCTGTCAGGTAGCGCTGAATCAGGTCTCTGGCTTCATCAGCTGAAAATCTACAAAGAAAAAAAACAGGTTAAAAGTTGCAGTTACTCAGGATGGCTGGCAACCATTACACTTCAAAATAAAATCTCACTAATGTCATAGAATATTACAGCACAGAAGGCCATTCAGTCCATCGTGTCTGCTACTTGGAAGAGATACCCAATAAGTCCTAATTTGTAGATCACATACAATGGGTGCAAGCTTCTAGACTGAGCACCAGGAAGGTTTCCTCACCTGAAGAAAATATGAATCCGCTCAATGTATCTGCAGTAAAGTCTGACGGGATGAGCAACTTCCGTGCCAATGTCCTGGTAACTCAAGAAGTCATTGGGCATTTGAGGTGGGCCAGCCATCTCACTGGCTCTGTGAAGACCCAACACCAGCAGGTCTAGCACCAGCCCATAGTACTGCACAATGAAAGAGGCAAACTGCAGGCCTCGGATTATGCCGTAGGAATTGGTGTGGTTCATGTCCTGAAATTGACAAAGGCGGCACTTGTAAAAAGCAGGCATTTAACTCACCCTCTCCGTTGTACATTGTAACCTGAAGCATAGAAGGGAAACATCAAATGAACTTGCACCATAAATAGCCCGCCAATCACAGACTCCCATCAATACACAGAAACTTTACTCTTTTCAACATGAGGCAGGCAAATTCTTGAAAATAAGGCACTAAAGCTCTCATCCATGGCCATAAAACATGCATAAAACTCAGCAATGCTACAAAACTCCACCGTTACAAACCGAAGGGCAAAAGCTAGTAATGCTGGTACCTTGTAATTGATGACAACATTGTTCTTGGCCGTCATGTAATCAGCGATGTTGTGATCCACGATCAAACGCAACAATCTGTTCAGCAATGTCAGATCGATTTTCTCATACATCTTCTCAAACCGAGATTCCAGCATAACATTGCACTCGCCTTCAATGGTCTCCCACACATCCTGAAGATTGTTAATGCCTGTGCAAATGGAATTTTAGGTCAGGCAAGTTTTTTTGTGGCACTTAAAAGAATCTGAAGAAATGCTTTGAGATTAAGTCAATTGAAAAGGCCGAGAACATAGAGAACTAATTCATGAATACATACCCTGGCACCACTTGTATACAAGTGAGGGGGGAGGCTCTGTATCAGCCGGTTTAATCCATGGTGGGAATAGCCGTCGCTTGTCAGCTTCATACCACAAATACTGATCGAGGTAAGCATCAGTGATTTTTTCCAATGGTTCAACGTCATAAACTGGCACGAGGTGACTGTACAGATCCATGAACTCAATACCAACCTGTGTGTTAAGATTTAAGGCAAAGGTCTCAAAAACACATTACTCGCGATCTAAGGAATACAATGATTAAGGCTCAAAAGTCGAACACATTCAAGGACAGAATGCGAGTAGATGCAGTTTTGAATTGGGGGCACGCACCTCTTTGAAAGCTCTCTGTGTGAGCAAGTGACGCTTGATCCTGGATAAAGCTTCGTGAGGATTATCATAAGCCTGCTCAATTAGACCCAATTCCTCTCGCTGTGACTGATTTAACCGCGATTTCACACTAAAATTAAGGAATCATAATTCAAGCTTTAGTAGAGGGTTTTGGGGGGATAAAAGGTAATTTCACATGCTGCCAGCTAATGATTAAAATTATTATCAATAGAATATGCATATTAACATCTTATACTAAATGGTGAAGATCTCTACCAATTCTTTATGGTACACAAGGAAGTTCTTTACCTGTAAGCTTCTTTGAGTCTCTCCAGAGCCAGAATGAGAAGTTTGGTGTCGTGCTTGTAGGACAGGGGAGGGAATGGAATTGGAGAGAAGCGCCTACTCTCCAGCCAGTGCACAGTGGTCGTGTAGATGGCAACAGCTTCCTCTGCAGTAATGTAGGGACCATCCTATTCAACACAAACATTTACAGTCATTTTCTTTCCCACGATTTTGACAAGGCGTGCAAAACTCACACTTCCTTCCATCATTTATTAAAAAAAAGGACCTAAACGGAAAACGATACTTCGATATTAAATTATTTGGTAAAAGATTTTAAAATACGGTTGACAAAATAAGGTGATTAACCAGAATTCATATCAAGCAATGTTGCATTGCCTAAAATTTCTCTCTCCATGCCTTACAACAACAATTTGCATTTATATAGCGCCCCTCACGTAGGGTAGTGTCCCAGAGCGCTTACAAAACTGCCTGCTTTTTAACAATATAAATAAATATTCATTTCATGCAATAGCATGCTATTCCAAACACCCCTGACCCCGGTTTTACAATAAATTGAAAGAAACCATAAAACTTAAAGACTTAAAAACAATTGTACCAATGACAGATTTTACCTTCAGGTAATTGTGCTGTCTTTCCTGCTCTGCCTTCAGGTACAACCTGGTTAAACGTCCCAAGTTCTTCTTACAGACAGTTTTATCCACAGTGGCGCCCCGGCGAATTCGCTCTCTGTTGTAATGAGCAGTATTTGTCCACCAGTCAGCCTTGGCTTTCACATATCGGAGAATCATGTTCTCAATTGGAGTTGGCAGACCAGGAACCTTATTACAATATCAAGTGTGGTTAACAAAGGAAATGGTAAAATAACCTATTTTAAGCCAAAACAGCTAAGAGTAACTAACTATTGAAATTACTTGGACAGCAGACTGCAATACACTTAACTATTCAATAAGACCTGTATTTTGTAGTCGTAGATGGTGCCATTAAGCCCTAAGAACAGGGTTGATGGCATCATCTGCAGTTCCACTGGAAAACCCCAGGGACGAGATGATTTGAACAAGGCCGAGTGTTAATTCAGCACGCTTCAACACAATGTGGAACAACAATTTTATAACGCCCTTCACTTGGGGTAACGTCTCAGAGCCGCAACCCAACTCTTTGCAAAAGAACATAAGCTTTCTTGCACAAATGGTTAAGTATAAATCTTTCATTAGACATCAGGAAAGTACTTTTAAATACACAATTATTTTAAATGAAATAAATACATATTCCAAAGGTTTGCTCCCATTTATAAGGAGAACCCTCTTATGAGAATAGAAATGAATTACCTTCCAAGGAATATTTGCTTTCCAGCATCTCCAAGCTTCACTCAAATGCTGCAAGATTGTCCTAGCTTTGTTCTGTTTGATTCCTTCAGGCATCATGTCCAGGATATCGTGCATAACAGCAGCTCGTAACTCCAGATCAAAATGAGACTCCACTCGCTGTTTGGTTACAGTCTTGGCTACTCCCTTAGAGTGACGCCCTGAGATAAATCACAACAACAAAAAAAAGTTGGCATTGAACTTAAGAGAGAAAAACAAGAAGCACAAACTATTTGCATTTAGAGCAAACAGGGAAACAGATCAAAAATGTCAAGAACTTAAAAGATTTCTTCAACAACTAACCTTCAAACTGTCTGGCAAGCAGGTTTCCTAACCATCTTTCCAACAAGGGAGTGATGCCCCTCATGAAGAAAAGCCACACTCGCCATCCAGCAGCCCAGAATCCACAGCCAGGTCCTTTGCCTACTGGTCCCTGCAAGTTTTTTTAAAATATAATATATAATTAACAACAAATCACTTTAAAAGTTGACCCAACGCATTTTACAAAGCTAAAAATGTACACATTGTACACAGGGAAAGTTATGCAACATTCTTTAAAAGGCTTGGTTGTCAAGCGATCAATTTACAATCCAAAAATAGCTTCCAAACAATCGAAACAGCTATAGATGCATCTTAAGCATTACCGTTATTACAAATGGACGAAGAGTTATAAAACATTGTAGAATGGGCCCGCCCTTACCGTGTTGAATCTGTAGTAGATAAGATGCTTCATATCCTTACACATTCGTATTTGTCTCATCAGCTTGTACTTATATCTGTACATTCCAGTCAACTGCCCAACGTGAGCAAAGATGTACTGCAACCCATCGGACAACTGAAGTACAAAAAAGCACATCGATCACATTTACTTTTGTCGGTTACCTAACTGTTTGTTTTACATTCAGTTTAGGAGAGCAATTCCCCATCCCACCCCCGAACACTTAAATGCAGAGCAGCGATGTTGATTACACATTTTGCTGACTTGCACACAATTGGTCCTCCTTCACACACCCTGCTTCTAAAACACTAATTTTCAAAAGGGTTTGTTTTTACAATAAACACACCTGGAAAGCGTCCACATTCCCCAACCTGTACTGGACGTGGCTGTCAACTACAAGCTTTGTCAAGCGAAGCACCTCACGGCACAAATGGAAGGCATTTCCAAACCTAGATTTCTTACGTTCCTGCAAAAAAAAAATCAACGGTTATTTTTCCTTATTGAAACCAATTAAAAAAAGATTAGGCGCTCACGAAATGATTAGGCGCTAAAATGAATCCCCGCCAATTATGCTCCTCGCACAAATCACACTGGATACATTGACAAAAACATTCCTCCACATTCTTTCGAGTCTACAAGGAACAAAGGTAATTAATTACTGGAAAAGGCAAGACTGTTATTCACCTTGGTGGTGAGGGTTTTCACAGGCTTCAGGTTGAAGTTGTAGTCCAGATGCAGATAATTCAGGTTCTTACGATGGATCAACAGGTTCAGCATGTTGTAACCTTGGCGACACACCTGCAGCCCTACCTCCACCCAGTCTAATTTGGTTGACTGGAAGAACTTTGTTGATTTGAAGGAACGAAACAAGTACCTGTTATGGGAAAACAAACGCAGTATTGAAGTAAATGGGGAAAAAAAANTTCACACCAATGTATTTAGTCGATTCCTCCTCCGAAACAAAAAAAAGTTCCCTTCGCATTTAGGAGGGAAATATATCTCAGCCCAGATATCTTACAGAAAATCAGTTCTATCTATGAAGACATGTTTTAACAATATGGAAAGGGTCACAGGCCTACTTTTATCTCCTCTTTCCTAACCTCAGACACCAAGCCAAGAATAGCAAAGCCTTGGGATTCAGTCCGAGTAAACACAGGGATTTGAACTCTATCCCCCCAGAGGCAACCATCCACTGTGGTATTTATTTAGCTGTACAGTAAAACAAAACCTCTCTATTAAAACCATTTTTGTCACTAAGAATTATTGTTTCCTCAATAGGGAACAACACTATAAGGGAGTCCAAATAAAAGACCGGCTCCACAGTGGGATAACATATTGCCTTTTCATTTCTAAGTCCTTGCTTCAAACTAAATCCATTTTGAGTGCCAGTTGCACCATAAAAGGCCGGGGACTCTCCAAACAATTTCCTAAAATTCCACAGAACCTTAAGAGGTAAACAAAAAAAAGGTTGAAATGAAGATACGTTTCCACAGTAGTGATTACCTTAACCATACTAATTATTATCAATAACTATACTAAACCTTTATTTCACAAAGATCTCCAACCTACCTTTTCTTTTGTGCTTTGGGTGGTCTGTGTTTCAGTGCATTCAACACATAATATTTCAGGAGTTTCTGATACGAAACCCTAACTTTGACTGGCTGTCCCGCTGGGCAATGCTCCCGGTACCAGTTCTTAACTAACGGGATGTCCAGGGCTCTCCTGGTTTTGCCAGATCTTAGGTTAAACGGTCTTGGGGCCCACAGTAAGGCAATACCATTGGCGGTATGATCAGAATACAGTGGAGAATCTTTAAGGAATGGTTCAAGAAGCTCAGGCAGTTCAAACTCTTCATCGTCATCGGGTAACGGTTCTTGGCTCTGAAATGAGATAGGCAGATTCACTTCACCCTGATAATCGCAATGGACGTGGCACATTAAAATGGTTCACACGTGTACACATTCCAGCAAGAAAAAACATTTCATCGCACAATTACCTTCACAGAATGTCTGTGCGAGATGGGGTTAATTAAAGGGTCAAAATAGAAGGCCGGCAGATCAGGATCCTCGGTTTTTATGAACACAACGTTGGGAGTGTGGTACCTGAAATTCCAACACAGAGAAATTAATCAGAAAATTTTGTGAAAGGCAAATGCCAAAGTTAGATATTTGTTGAAAGAGTTCCACAATTACATATGCAGAACTTTGTTTAAACCTGTTTTTTCATAAAATGATTTCTATTGAAATGCATGGTCTTAAATTCTGTAAGAGGAACAAATGGTTCATGGCACAAATTCTGAGTCTAGAACAGACAAAATATATAACAATTTGTCTACCTACCAGGTAAGATGGACATGATGCGGCAGGTTGTTGTAGAGGTACGGAAATGCTATTTTGTACTCTGTTCTGATTGGTTGTCTAATGATAATCTTATTGATGTCATTGAACTCATTCCAATCTTCATCCCTAATTGAAGCAAAAAAAAGATTAAAGCACAAGTTACAGATCAGGGAGCTTAGTAAATATCAACCCTTATTTAAATGTCATTCTGCCTCTCTAAACGAATGCATGACTTATGAATTAAGGAAATAGTGAACCAGGCAGTATTGAGATAGCATTTCCTACGAACATTTAAAAGCAAATAGCAACTCAAACAGACAACTACTTTAATTAAGATGAAAATAATTATCCACTCTGTCATAATATATTATATACAAGAACGCAATTTTGGATAGCGTATTAGGATTTAACATTGGCAATAAACAAAAATGAAAAATGAATCCTTACTGAAGGTTCACATCCCGAACCAACGGCTCAAACTTTGGTCCACCAGGAATCGCCATGTTGAGAGCCTTGGAGGTAAAGAAGGCTTTGAGGTCAAAGAGATAGAAGTAATTGTCATCCACCAAGTCAGTCAACAGCTGATTTGCCAGACGGTAAAGGGTGGACATCATAGGTAGGGTAAATTGCCAACGACGGTACGTGGAGCCATTGACGTGCCTATAAACAGACCACAAGATAATGCTGAATTCAAAAAATTCAAAGCAGAAATTCACAAGAGCGTTACATTACATTCTCCATTACACTGGGTCAACTGAACTGTTTTTCAGCTCAAAGTGGATTGTAAATTCGTATTGGTTTGCTGGTGTGACGCACACTGTTGCAAACTAAGTGTAACAAATGAGATGAAATGGGGTCTTTGTTTTGCAGTTGTCAAGAGAACTCAGTCAAGGTCATAACCTTAGCTATATTCATCTTCTTTAAACAATGTAGCTTGGTTCAGGATTAATTTTAAACTATATCTTACAATTTACTTTTCAAACTTAGAAAAATAGTAACATTATACCCAAGCCTAAATGTTGTCTCGTGTGTAAAACTACCAGCTCCATTCGATAATTTCGTAGTAGCTATTGAGGAGCAGCTGAATATGTTTCACAATTAAAAAACATTCTGATAACCCATGTGCAAAGTTCTTAGTAACAGGGTTTTAATAAATGGTTCTGTGAACAATATCTCAATCGCTCTACTTGCTAGAAATATATATCAGGTAGTTGTTTTTGCTCTTTTTTCACTGCACAATAATACAGACTTACTTTGGGTTATCCTTCAATGGTTGGTGGTCATAAAACCATTCAGCCACTGGTCCATCCTCCTCCGAATCAAGCTCCATCTGGATCGCTTCAAGTGGTTCCACATCGAGTATATTGTCCGCATAATCCAGCGGAGGTTCTTCATCATCGAACGGAGGAAATCTCATCCTTTTGAAGTGCCTTCTGTCTCGTTTTTCGCGTCTCATCATAATCCACATTGTCCTGTTGAGAAATGGTTTATTGGATGGCTATTCAAAAAAATTCCCGTTTTCTCAGCACGCTGCCGCTCAATCAAAAGATCATCCGCAGGTACAAAAAGGTTTAGCTAATGACAGTTATCTTAATTTCAACACCAGAGGCACAGAACAGATTCTGAAAAAAGATACAGGGAAGAGGAGGGGACAGTACACAGGATATCTCTTGTCACATTAAACTTTCTTGAAAGAAAATCCAATATTTTACTTACCCCCACTGAGCAATGTAAACTGGCTCAATAACCCATGGAATTTCATTGACAAATGAGATTGCTCCAGTGATGTGATACAGAACTGAAACATCTCTGATCTGCTCCCAGGGCATCGGCATGTTCTCCAGGAGTTTCAGAACAGCATGAGGCATGTACTTCAATGCCCTGAGCAAAGAGGGAAAAAATCTGTCAACATATTATATCCAAACACTTCTGACAAAGACACTAATTATGAATCAGTTATGTTATCATCAAATTCTTCAATATTGTAAATTGAAATATCCCTTCATTTCTATACGGATGTTAAAACACGGTATTGTTCATAATACCTAGTTGTTCATACAATGGTGAGCTGCCCAACAAGTGGATGTTTGACTCGCTTAATTCATCAAATGTGTTTGAAGTATTGTAGCTTTGCTTTGATTTCTTTCAAGTAAAAATATTCCTAAAACTGAAAATTTCAAAACGGAAACCAAACTCAAAAGGTGACCACTGGCCACCCAAAGGAACCACAACTTTGTGATTTAAGTTTGTAATATAATAATAAATAATAATAATCTTTGCATTTGAAATAATGTCTTATCACGTCGTTGAGACGTCTCAAAGCGCTTCAACAATCAAATCGGTTTTCTTAAATTAAGCAACTTTTTAAAATCTCAATATATGTAGCCGGATTGTTTTCCTACCCAAGATACACTCTCTTGTCATGTCTGAATTTCCGGTTTGTCATGTCCCCATGGTCACGTATGATCTTTCGGACGTGCTCGGGGGGCATGTCTTCTTTCTGAGCATCGACAAACCCAAACTTCCTCTTCTCCGCGTATCGTTTGGCCTGAAGTTGTTGCCATTTTCTGGCTGTAAGAAATGAGTAATTCCATGAATAACTAGAATGACATCCAATTGGAAAGCATGTTTATCAGCACATTTAACAGCAATGTAGAAACATTTCTCCCCTCCCTATCATCACTATTAAAATCATTTTCTCTTGACCTCTTCAGTTAAACTCTTACCCAGGCCTCCATTTACAACATATATGGGACGCAAAGCATCAAATAAAGACATATTCAGAAAATGACCAAACATGACCACCTGTTCCAGGAAAAAACACACTGCATTCAATTCGGAAGAAACAAAGCCTGAAAATTAACACTCTTATCACAACTCTAGTCCTTTCCAACAGATTTGTCTCACAGTTTACCTTTCTCTTGAAGCTTTTCCTCAGACATGTAATCAGGCACGGGGGCCGTAACCGGATTTGGCCCCGGTGCTCCCCTGTACTGAAACGCTGACATATTGGTTGACTCTGCAGGGTGGAGAATAAAAAAAATACACTATTAATAAAATACTGTGAATGCAATATTTTGGTACCAAGTTACTCTCTCTCTGCCTTTACACACACAGACGTTGCTCACTCCCTGCCTTGTAGAGTCCTGTAGCTCAGTGGTTCGCGCACTCGCCTCGCAAGCGAGAGGACCCGGGTTCGATTCCCGGGCAGCGCGAAACGTTGGGCAAGTTTCCTTACTCCGCACACCCGCCTCTGTTTGCCCAGCGGTATGCGGGACACCCGGCTGTCGAGTCGATCGGCGGATGATAATAATCCCTCAAAACAAACAAATAAATAAATCAATCCAAACAACAAACGCTTCAATCCGCGGCTGCCCGCGGGACGTCGCTGCGCGCCACCGGCTGCCGCGTTCAGCCCGCGAAGGTACACGGGCGCTTCGCGGGGCAGTGCGTCCCGCGAAGCGCTTTTGAGTCGTCTCGAAGAGGAGATCGGGCGCTGCGCCAAATGCGAGGATTATTATTATTATTATTACTACTACTACCACACGAACACAGAGAGCTCACTCACTCACTCACTCACTCCCACACCCACCCACACCCCACACACACACACACACACACACAGAGTTAGTTGCACGTCTCTCGGGCCTACATGGCCTCGCTGCAGCCTGAACTCGAGCCCGGTCACCTCAAACTTCTTCCCCCTTTCTCTCCCCCCCCCTCCGCGGGTAAACCGCTGCGTGAAACGCCTGGGGGACCCCCCCCCCACCTCGCGGCTTCCAGGCGAAGAGAGGGGCACCCGGTTGACCCCGGTCTCCCTCACCTCCTCCTCCCCCGACGCCGAGAGACGCGAGCTTCAGCGAGAGAACAACATGGCGGCTTCGACGCGACGCGAGCGGGAGGCGCCGGCCGGAAGCGGAAGTGCTCTGACCGAAGGGGGGAGTGATTGACAGCTGCTCAGTGCCCGCCCCCCCCCCGCAACATACACGTCCGTCATCGTTAGGCCCCCACCCACGCGTACGCACGTCATCGTTAGGCCCCTCCCACACACACCTCTCTCTTTGTCCCAAATAATAATAATAATAATAATAATAATAATAATAATAATAATCATCATCGTTGCATTTGATATAGCGCTTTTCACGTCGGGAGGACACACTGTAAAGTGAATTGACTGTATATTTGTGGGCGAACGCGGCAGCCGATTGCGCACAGCAATGTCCCCACAAACAGTCATATGGATTGAAAACGACCAATTTTTATTATTGCTTTGTTTTCTTGGAGGGATTATCATTAGGGCTCTGTGTGGAGTAAGGAAACTTGCCCAAGGTTTCGCCCTCTGCCTGGAATTGAACTCAGGTCTCTCGCTCGCAAAGCGAATGCTCTAACCACTGAGCTACAGGACTCCACGAAAACACAAACTACTGCACTGTACAGTTGTTGTGGCAAATGATCCAATACACCGGAGGCAAATAATATAAATGTCTCACCCCCGAAACACACAGTCGACCCACTTTGCAGGATATCCCGCGAAACAAACACTTCGAGACGTCTCAACCGCGCGATTAAAGGCTCTACGTCAAACGTAGCAATTATTATTGTTGCTATTATTATCGTAAACCCGGGGGCCAACACCAGAAAAACGGCAAAAAAAAATTCACCCCCCGAACCTCATCGCGTTCGAGGTCCGTCTCGAGACGCGCCCCTTCGACCACGCTTTTATCCATCTTTCTCCAAACCCCAGTTTCCCAGTTACTGTTCAGCGCTTTGGGACATCACTCCCGATGGTGAAATATAAATTGGCAACAAATAATATAAACTGGTACATTTATATGGTGCTTTTCACGCTGGGACAACGTCCCAAGGCTCTTAAATTGTTATAATTCAGTCCAAAGTTTGAAGAAAAGCACTGGAAAATCTTTTTGGCAAACAATAATAAAAATCCTTGCATTTGATACAGTGCCTCATCACGGCTACGAGACTTAAAGTAATACAGTGACCCTGTATTTTGTAGGCGAGCGCGGCATCCAATTTGTACAGAGCGGTGTCCCATTAACTCAGTTTAACACCTCACCAGAAAGCCAGCGCCACTGACTATGTGTACGAGAGGCATGTGCAGACGGCCCATCGTAGCGGTATCGTGTTTCACAATGATAGGACCGTATTAATATCAACAGATGTACGTACCTCGGGTCTGCATCATGCCACAACAATGGATGAAATTGATCTTGCTGAGATCGTGCGGCTATCTAAATAACAGGGGTCATTCTTGACCCGTGAGCAGTCCACGTTCACACAGTGCCTCAAGCCGCCGCTGAATGGGGAATAGTTGCTCGTGCACTCACACCACAGTGACTCAAATTCATTACCTGCAAGCTGATGGTTCACCACCGTCCGTAAGGAAACGTAACAGAAACAAAGGAAAGGTGGAGGATGCGGCAGAGAGAGAGCTGGAAGAGGAGGTGGAAAAGGCAGAAAAGTGGAATATGATCACCGGGGAGATCAAAGCCATTATAGACATCCGCCAGAGAGAGAGCAACATGGAGATGCCCATGAAGCAAGGGGACGAAACACTGAGAACTGACGACAGTGAAGTCATTGAGTCGGTAAATTAATCATTTTTATGTTATAATATTGTTATAGTATAAACATTTATGTAGCGCCTTTCACGCCTGGAGGATGTCCTGAGGCTCTTAAATTGAATTCAATCTTAACTTTGAAGCTGTTTTACTCTGTAAATTCTTAAAAGGCACTTGCAGAAAATCCCCCCTTCAAAATAAAGGCTATGTTTAAGAACTCTGAAACGCATGAATAGAGTAAATCTATATTTGTTCTGCAGTTTGCCACCGTTAAAGCTAAATGTGCAGCACAAGGCATGATTAAACAGTGTTCTCTAGAGATGTGGTTAGATGGGTCAGAGAGTCATCCCGGAAACATTAACAGTGACATTAACTTTTCCCCTTCGTTTTCTATTCTTATACTGTGCGTCATTTTGTTTGTCCTCCTCCCTGTTTTAATAAGAACTATCAGAAAATTATAGACGAGCTCCAGGCGGTGGGTGGACTTTGGGAAGATCCCGAATTTCCCCCCGAACCCTCTTCACTCACGTACGAGGACGTGGCTCCAAAGGGAATCGAATGGATCCGTGCCTCGGTAAATAGCGATGCCTTTGTGGCTGTTTCCACGTACACAGGCTTGGCTTGGCTCCGCCGGTCGCGCTCTCGGATCAAAAGGTTGCGAGATCCTCTGAAACCTGGAATTCCCACGCAGCCTTTGGGTGCAATCGTTGGCCAGGCCATCGGGAGAAATTCCCTTCTCTTTTTGAGAAACTGAGCGCTGTGTAAATGCAAGTTGTTATTGTTGTTTTAAGAACCGCGGAAAAACGGGTTCCAAATTCAGGCTGAAATTGGAGACGTTTCCACAATTCTGCGGCAATCGTCGATCGTAGAATCAGAGAAGGAAGTCTCTCCCCGTGTCCAAGCCAACAAACCCTCCCCCCCTTCCAACTCTCCCCACCCAATAAAATTGGCCACTCGCACTCCATGGCTGGTTGTGGACGTCACGTTGCTCAAATTGGCTGTTTCCATTTGCCAACACAACACACACAGTCAAACAACAACAACAACAACAACAAGATTCCATTTATTGAGCTCCTTTCACGTCGGGAGGACGTCCCACATGACAGTAAATGTTGTGAAGCGTTTTGAGGCACCTCGATGACATGATAGAGCGCAGTATCAAACCAAATGCAAGGAAATATTATGCGTTATGATTGTATGATTCCATCACATAAAGCCCTGTATTTCTTCACCACCAGGAACTGCATGAAAAGGCTTTCTTTTTAACAGACGGAGTGAGCAAGAGCGACATTATACAAGGGGAGCTGGGAGACTGTTGGTTCTGGGCCTCAGTTGTCACAATAGCTCACTCCAGGAGGTTGATGGAGCGAGTCATTCCTTCAGGTGAGACAACCACTTTAAATTTCAGTTAGTAAAATAAAGAATTCCCACTCTCACCAAATTCCTGTTGCAGAGGGCTCACTCTGTTCCCAGCTTGCTCTGGTGGCCTCTCTGCTCTAGCTTTTAAACTCGGATTTCCATTTTTAGGGTCAGTTTTCCCGACAACAATCCAAACTTTTTGTTTAACCTTGTAAGAGAGATTTGCAGGAGCTAATAGATCAGAAATCTATTGCAAAAGATAATCTCTTTTCAGCTTTATCTCACCGATGAGCCAAATTAGCCAAATTCCTCAATGCTCCGAAACGCTACATAAATTAGAATAAATTTAGACCCGGGTGACATTTCCCCCTCACTCCCCCAGCCCCCCCACTCCCCCCCAATGATATCCAGTGACAACAACAACAAACTACATTTGGAGAGTGCCTTTCATGTCAAGAGGACGTCCCAAGGTGCTGGACAGTAAGGGAGCTAGGGGTTGGGATCAGGGAGGGTGGAGGGCAGGGAGGGTGGGGGTCAGGGGGCGACCGTAGGTGAAGAGGGGGATTTTGAGATGGGCCTCGAAGGAGGTGAAGGGACAATAGGACAAAAAGGTGGGGGCAGAGAGGCTGAAGGTCCGAGCACCGATAGTAGGGCAGGCAGGGTGGGGGACATGGAGCAGGCCAGAGCTGGCTGACGGGAGGGAGTGGACTAGTCTGTATGGAGTTAGCAGGCCACAGAGGTAGGGAGGAGCAAGGCCGTGGAGGGCTATGAAGGCAAAATCTGATAAGAGTCATCTTATCTGCCGAGGATGGCATTCTGGGACGAGGAACGTGCTAAGCCTTGTTGGCCTGGAGCCAAGAGAGTAACAAAAAGACCATTATCCTGTTTCACTGGCAGTTTACACTTAATGAAATATTAATGCATTTAATTCAGTTTGCAAAGTGACAAACTGATTACCTCTACAAATGCTGCTCAAGTAAGGGGCGAAGCAAACCAGGATCAGAAGGCCGGCGCTAATTGAGAATTTTTTCGTCAACGAGAGTTTTAAATTTCACTGAGCAAAGAAAGCGCTCTGTAGCAGGTGTGGAGCAGATTAATATCCATGTACAATGCCTTCGTCCTGCAGAAACACAGGAAAATACTCGTCATTGGAACAGGAAAGAGACTCTTGGCACCAGAGAGATTTATGACGCAGAAGAAGGCCATTCGGTCCATCGAGTCTGGGTTGGCTCTTTTAAATAGCCATCTTTTCAATCCTGGCCGAGGCTGTGACAAGCCGGCTGAATTTGCTGGGAGGAGATCTTAGCCCGGAATCCTATCTATCTGCTCTGTGTCAGACTGGCTCAGTGGTAGCGCTCTCGCCTCTGAGTCAGAAGGTTGTGCGTTCAAGCTCCCCGTGTCGGGATTTGGAACCAATCCAGTGCTGGGGATGATGCGTTGCATTGTTGGAGGTGCCGTCCTTCGGACAACAATTTGGTCTCAGACACGCACAGCGCCTTTCGTTGTTTCTTTTCTTCTTCTTTCTGACCACAATTTATTCCCCTCTCCCGCAGGGCAATACATCGCCGAGAAAAGTCCATACCTCGGGGTCTTTCGCTTCCGTTTCTGGCAATTCGGAATTTGGATGGAAATTTTGGTGGACGACTATTTGCCGATAAGGAACGGGCAACTTATATACGCTCGATCGGAGGCTGGCAATGAATTCTGGCCATCGCTGTTCGAAAAGGCGTTTGCCAAGTAAGGCATCCACTGGATGTGAAAGGCGTCATAATCATAATCCTCAAATTTGATACAGCACCTTATCACATCGTTGAGAAGTCTCAAAGCGCTTCACAGAATACACTGTAAAGTGAATTCACTGTGTATTTTGTGGGCGAAACACGGCAATCAATTGTGCACAGCGACGTCCCACAAACAGTCTTAGACTGAGGGATTATTTACCCCGGAAAGCGATCAGGCAATCGACCAACATTCGGGTTCCTACTCACTGCTGGGTAAACAGAGGCGTGCGGAGGAAGGAAACTTGCCTAAGGTTTCGCCCTGCCCGGAGATCGAACCCGCACCTGCTAACCACTACGTTACGGGACCCCATTATTATTATTATTATGTCTGCAATAAACATCTGACCAAGGCTTCACTTTAAAGACGTGCGTTTCGCTTCCAGGCTGCACGGTTCGTACAAGGCGATCGAGGGAGGCTGGACCCTGGATGCTCTGACTGACCTGACGGGCGGCGTGGGTGAAATGTACCGATTCTCGGAATTCATGGAACGTCGGGAAGAGCTGTACGCTCACCTGGCTGCCGCCTCCCGGAAAAACGCCCTCATAGCCTGCGGGACGGGCAAGGTGAGGCACACCTTACGCCCGTACAGTCAGCGCGACTGTCCGCAGAGAGCATTTTTGACAGTAATGATATAGCGTCCAAACCACAACAGCTTGCATTTATATAGTCCCCTCACGCAGGGTAGTGAGTGACCCAAAGTGCTTAAAACGTCTCGAATTCATGACTAATGACAATTCGGTGGGGTGACTGCACACAGCCATGTCCCGCAAACAGCCTTGAAATGAACGGCCAGTTATTTTACTCAGGGGTTGCTGGCCAGGACATCAGGGGTGTGGGGGGGGGGAAGGGGGGTGGGATGGAGATGGGGGAAGAAACTCCTTTTGCTTTTCTAATAGAATCGCAGGATCCCTAAAGTTCTCCCGTACGGACACGGATGAGATCTTGGTTTAACATCTCACCAAAAAGATAACTCACTGGACATTGATCACCCCTACTCCCCCACACCACACACACACACACACACACACACACACACACCCTCACACACACACACAGAGAGCATTGCAGGGTTAGCTTGAATGCTGTATTTATTACAGTGAGTATTTGCATTTGTATGAACTGGCACACTTTAAACAGGATTATTGACCTTGGAATCTCTCTGTTCAGGAAAAGGAAAGCGAGACATCCAAAAAGCAAGATGGTTTGGTCGCGGGACACGCCTACAGCATAACCGCAGTGAAAAAGGTAAATGATCCGTAAAGGGACGAAGGGTTAATTCATTATTATTAGTATTATTAACAATACGAAATTCCCACAAATCGGCTTCACGTACTCTCGGATTTCTTAATGAAGAGGTCGCGGAAGGAACTAGACTATCGAGCCTCCTCCACCCTGCTATCAGTGCGAGGCAACTTTTCAACCTCGTGGGCACATAGGTACAGGAGGAGGCCATTCAGCCCCTGGAGCCTGTTCCGCCGTTCTATTAGATCACGGCCGATCTATACCTCAACTCCAATTACCCGCCTTTGCCCCATACCCCCCGATACTCCGACCTAACAAATCCATCCACCTCAGTCTTAAAAAATTTGAATGGATCCACAGCCTTTTGGGGGAGGGAGAGAATTCCAGATTTCCACTACGCTTTGTGGGAAGAAACGCTTCCTGAATTTTGCTCCTAAATGGCCTGGCTCGAATGTTAAGCTGATGCCCCTCTGTCTTTCTGGCCTTTTTTTTTCTTCACCTCCCATTTCATCGCCTTTACTTCCTGAGGATCCTTCAGCGTAAGCGAACGCTCAGGGAACTAACTGCGGTTTTCCGTTTTAAACCCACAGCTCACTACACCAAGAGGGAGAGTCCCACTCGTCCGGATTCTCAATCCCTGGGGCTCTGGGCAAACGATGGAATGGACTGGTGACTGGAGCGACGAGTAATAATAAGAATAATATTATCGCCTGTATAAAAATAATCCTTGCAATTGATATAGCGCCGTATCACGTCTTCGAGACGTCTCAAAGCGCTTCACGGGACACGTTGTGAAGCAAATCGACTGTAAAGTTTTGTGGGCGAAACCCCAGGCACAAGGCAAACTGGGCACAAATCCATTTACAAAGCGCAAGGTTGCCACCAGCTGGCAGAAGAGGTACACGATATGAGTTCAACTCAATGCACTTGAGCACGTTTGGAATTTGGAATGAATGAACGAAACTGGGGGTTTGCTTCAGTCTTGTCAATCAAGCCGTAGCAAAGACCGGTCATTTCTGGCAATTGATTCCCACATTGATATTGCGCACCCTGATGAAGAACACACACACACACACCTCGTCAAAAACCCTCTGGCACAACCATTTCCGTGTCAGCCACCCCCGTCATCGACCGTTTACTTATAATATATATATTGAAAAAAAATTTTGTTTCTTGTTTCTTGTTTTCAAAACGAAAATAAATTTTAAAAATAATAATAATAATAATAATTTGGCCACTCAATCCACGATTGGTTGTGGGGACGTCGCTGTGCGCAATTGGCTGCTGCGTTTCGCCCACGAAACCACATTTACAGTGTACCCTGCGAAGCGCTTTGAGACGCCTCAAATAAGTCATACAGCGCTATATCAAATGCAAGGATTATTATTACACGAAAATGGCTTGCAAGCAAATTTATAAGTTTACAAGTGATGAATATTCCCTTTAGACAGCGTGAGGGTGTGCAGTCTCGGGGGGTGTTGGGGTGGGGGAGGAATGGGGTTGGGGGGAGATGGGGTGAGGAATGTTTAATCAACGCAACGTTCCTTTCTTTCCCCGGCAAGTTCTCCGCTGTGGGATGAAATTCCAACCTGGACCAGAGAGAGCTTCGGCTTCACCAAGAAGGACGATGGTGAATTCTGGTAAGGAACGGGAGCAGCGTTCAGCCATTTGGCAGCAGCCACAGGTTCTGTCGGTAAAAATCTCACGGTGCGACCTGGCGGAGTTACCATTCCCCGGCTTTTACTCCGCAGGATGAAATTCGATGACTTCTGTGAGAAGTTTGCCAACGTTACCGTCTTGACTCTGGGCCCGGACTTTGACGGCGACGGCGGAGCAGGTAACGGCAGCCTCGGGATAGTGCCACGGGGCATTTTGTATGAGCGTGTGTGTGGGTGGGTGGGTGTGTGTGTGGGGGGTGGTGGGGGTTGGGGGGGTGGGGGGAATGGGAGGCCATAGCTGCGTGACGTGCTTACAAAGATTTACAAAGATCTTTATGGGGAGAATGACCAAAGGGGAGGGAATGACAACTCAGCAAGATACGGGGCAAAGGCCACGGTACAGGGCAGCAACAATGTTCGGTGATTGTTAACTCTCCTCTGCTCTCGCCAGACTCTGGTAGTTTGCAGGAGGTGAAGGGTCAGTGGCAGAGCGGGATTAATGCTGGCGGCTGCAGAAACAACATGGCGATGTACACCTGCAACCCTCAGTATCCCATCAGCATCACAGAGATGGGTAAGAAAGTCCCAGCCATGTATATAACCGGCGGGCTGTGTCTGATGGCTATGAGTGCGCAGGTGTGTCAGCCCAATGGTAGCGCTCTTGTCTCTGAGTCAGAAGGTTGTGGATTCAAGCCTCCACATCGGGAACTTGGAATCCCTTGGGGGCAAGTGACGCAGTGTCGCTATTCGAAAAGAGAAGGAAGTTTCTCTCGCTGTTGGTGTCCTGGCCGACAATCCCCTAAATGCCCCCTGTAGCCCAAACAAACCACTGTCTAGGTGTCTCATCCATCGGGGGGAGTGGGGGAAGGGTGGGGTTGGTGTTTGTGGATGCGCAACCTGGTTTCTTATCACTCCGGGCACGAGCCTTTTCCTGCAATTGTTACTCCGTCTCATTAAGTTGTCCCGGAAAAGCTAACGGACCGTTGCCTGGGCTCCCCCACCCCGCCCCCCCCTCCCCCCACCTCCTCAGACGTGCTCTCAGGCAGCGAGGAGGACCATGCGGACGGAGCCTGCTCTGTCCTGATCTGCTTGATTCAGAATTACCGAAGGATGGACAGGAAGCTGGGCGTCTCACTGAACCCCATCGGTATCCAGATATACCAGGTAGGCTGAACATTTCATCCAGGATAGAATCATGGAACATATAGTATTCACACACATATATATAATGTATAATATATTCATACACACATATACATATATTCAAAGCACTTCACAGGATACACTGTAAACTGTAGTGACTGCGTGTTTTGCGGGCAAAAAAAGCTGCTCAACTGTGTTAAGTGGAAGCTTTGCAGCTAAACGTACCTTTGTCTTCCGGCCGACAGTGCTCCAACCCCAACGCACCTCTGACTGAGGAGCATTTTGTACGACACGCGGAGAAGTCGGACTCGGGACCCTACGTGGCTCAGCGGAGTATCACCCTCCGCAGCAAGCTTCCCCCAGGGCACTACATGATCATCCCCAGCACCTTCGCGCCCAATACAGATGGAGCTTTCATGCTTCGCATATTCACCGACGCTGCCATTCACTTTCACGATGGATACAACCTTTTAACATAAAGAGCACAGACAGTCAGACCAGACTCCGAGACTGCCACACCACGCTTCGGCCTGTTTATATGGGGGGAATCGAACTCCTGGAGCCCACAGCTAACACACGAACCAGGTAGCGTTTTGAAGCCAACCGGCTTTCTGTGCCAAATCAATGCTAAAACGCTAATGTTGACCAGCGATCATGCCCTTGTTGTAGGGCAGGTTGGGACTTTATGGTGCCCCCTCCCATAATTATAATGCTGTATAACAGAGCTCAACTTATGTATTAAGTGAAGGGAACGCATACAGCTGGAAATAAAGAATTATTTTCTGTTGATTCGCCCGACTCACAAGATGCAAAGCACCACACTGCTCTGAGGTTCCGGCTTGCATGGCTGAAAAGGGCCGGTTTCAGGACAGACGCCAGGAAGGATTTCTTTATGCGCAGGGGGATTAATGACTGGAATGGGGGCTACTAGAAAAGGGAGAATTGGGAGTGAAGCTGGCAAGGAATTCAGCATTGGGAGACAGCTGAAAATTTAATTTTCGTATCTAAAAACCCACCTCTGCAGAAATCCCTACAATGATAATAATAATTTGATATAGCGCCTTTTCATGTCGTTGAGACGTCTCAAAGCGCTTCACAGAATATACTGTAAAGTGAATTGACTGCATATTTTGTGGATGAAACGTGGCTGACAATTGCGCTCAGCAGTGTCCCACAAACAGTCATGGATTGAGTGATCAAATTTTTCTTATTTTTTTGAAGGGATTATTACCCCCGGAAAACAGCTCTCAATTTCTCTGCCAAGCGATTAACAACCGGGTTCCAAACTTACCGCTAGGTAAACAGAGGCATTTGGAGTAAGGAAACTTGCCTACGGTTTTGCACTGCTCGAGAATTGAACCCTGGTCCTCTTGCTTGCGAGGCGAGTGCACTCCAAGATTCCCCCGGCCCAACAGCTCTCAATCTCTCTACCAACACCGTTCAAGAGTTTGCAAATGTGCATCAAAGATAATGAGTCAGTCATTCGAAACACGTTTCTCCAGATAAAGATTTTTTCTTCCCCCACCCACCCCCACCCTGCTCAACCCACCCCCTTCCCCATCCACCCCACACTTTCGCACATTAACAAAAGTCTCAACCCGCCCGCACCAACTGTATATTAAAAAAATGAGAACAGTGGAATCAGAATTACAACGTCGATTTCGTATAAAATAAAACGTGCCATAAAATAAAACGATCTATTACAAAAACAAATGACGAAAGAAATTCATATTTTTATGTACAATATACAATAGTTGCATTGGAGCAATATCAGAGCAGGAATAATGGTCATAGTTACGGTTACAAAACAATCTACTTTTGTAGTTATCGGCTGAGCATGTTATCCACAAAACACATTTCGACTCGCTCCCTCCCTCCCCTCATTCGAGTTGCGTCTCAAGTTGTACCTAATTGACCGCCTTTCAACAACAACAACAACAAGTTCCATTTGTATAGAGCCTTTCATGTCAAGAGGACGTCCCAGGGCGCTGGACAGTCAGGGATTTGGACCCAAGCTGGCGGTTGGGATCAGGAGGGCTGGAGGAGCAGTTGAAGAGAAGGGTCTTGAGATGGGCCTTGAAGAAGGAGAGGGAGGGAGCGAAGCAAAGTAATCTCCCCCCCCACCACCACTTTCCTCGGTTCCCACTCCCAGCTTGGTTATCCAGCCAGCAGTGTCCAGCACTCTGAGACGTCCTCCTGACGGGAAAGGCCATTTTCCAGCATCATTTCTACGTCCCAGCATTTCAGCGGTTCCAGGATTTGGCAAATTGTTGAATTCAGTCTTAACTTTGATGTTGAGTTTCTGCCGTTCTCAAAAAAAATTTACAGGGAAAAAAAACAGCTTCACATTTATAGCTGCGTTTAAGAGTTTGTCAGATTTTGTCTTCCCTGAAAGGCAACATAAACAAGAGTAAATCTAGACCCGGGGGGAATTTCTCTGTGCCTGAGTATTGTTCTTTATGCAATAGGTAAAGCATTTGTTCTGAAATTTCTTAACAGGCAACTGCACAGCACCCTTGTGGCAAGTAGACTGATGGGGGAGTAAAAAATTGCAGGGGAAGGGTAGTGGGGGGGAAGAAGTTCTTTTGGGACATATACCGACAACCATCATAGTGTGAATAATACCACTTGACAGTGATACATCTGTGTAACACAGCCTGAATAAAGGTAGTTTATGAATGACAGAATTATAATTTAACATCAGCGTTAGAGCCAGGATTGATCACAGGTCATTTTTTCTGACAAAATAATACGATATATATCATTTTTGTAAAATCACTGTATCTCGTGGTTAATTACATTAAAGTGCACCTGCACATTTATTTTTTAAAAAAGAAAACGAATCCTTCGACAGATTAGGTGCAGGGCTGTTTTAAAAAAAAATATTAATGTTAAATAGAGCGTGTGAAGACAGACAACCTGGAATCTTTCGGTAATTCATCCCTCGGACATAACTTTCGATCGGGACCTTTGATAAGGAAAAGGGCTGAGATGCAAAAATGCACCGTGTGTTGTGATAACCATCACACAACATGCAATAATAATCCGTGCATTTGCACTTCGATAGAGCACCTTATCACGTCGTCGAGACGTCTCAAAGCGCTTCACGGGATACACTGTAAAATGAATTGACTGTGTATTTGTGGGCGAAACACAGCAGTGTTCAGTGCAGTGGGAACTTTCAAAAGAAGCTCCAGGCCGGCCAGCCAGCCGGGCTCGATGACTGCAGTGAAGTATTTCTGATGTTCTTATAGTAGTTTGGGACATACGTGCCTGGGACCGCCAGGAAGGTGGAAGGCGAACTAGATGACTTTCTTTTGGTCTAGCATTTCTTTTGTGACGTGGCTTTACTTTTATCTCTTGATTTCACGGCTGGACTTGAGGAAGTCGCTTCTGAGCAGCCGGTAAAAGAGGACGATGTTCATCAGGGTCATGATGGCCATTCCCACACTGCCTATAGTGTAGGTTACCAGAGGCACATTGTCCCGGTTGAGGACCAGCCAACGGGTCATCCAGGCCAGTGTGTTGATGCGGAAAACCACGTAGGTCCCCAGGTTGATGATGCTGTTGACGCGGAAGAGGGTGCTTTGGCGCAGGTTGATCATCAGAAGGATCTGCCGCAGGTGAAGGAAGACAGAGTTGATCTCCACCAGCAATGCCACCACCGCAAAGCCAACATAGCTGTACAGCATCACCGAGATCCCGAAGCAAGTGATCACCTGAGGAACCGAACCAGAAACCACATCAACCATTGGGAATCAATAAGAATCTTTACGTTTTGACTCAGATTGTCTTTCACATCGAGAGGACGTCTCAAAAGTCTTCTCTTGCAATTCATTGAAGTATACCATCTGTGCATTTGGAAAGCAGTGCGTCAGACATCCGATTATTAATCCATTCGGCTTTTGTTTTCCGGGGGTAAACTTTCCTTAAAAAAATTTGGTGTCACTCAATCCATGACTGTTTGTGGGACGCTGCTGTGCGCAATTGGCTGCCGCGTTTCGTCCACAAAAATATACAGTCAATTCATATTACAGTACATTCTATGAAGCGCTTTGAGACATCTCAACGACGTGACATGGCGCTATATCAAATGCAAGGATTATTATTATTATTAATGCACTGAGATTTCCGACCACAAGAGAGAGCAGCACTCCAACCCGAATGCTGAAGCTGCGAGAGGTCCTTCTGAAGGAATGGTGACTGACAAAACATCAACCCGTCCTCCTGTCAGATGTTGAATTAGATCTCCTAAAGCGTGAGCACCAATTTCTCAAAAGATCTCAGAGGTGAGCATTTCAGAATCTCTCCTCCACCCCAACCCTCTCCCCCCCACCCCACCACCCTCTCGCCCCTAGGGACTGAATTTATTTGAGCCAGCACCAACAGGATGGACTGACCCAGCCTCCTTCTGCGCTGTAAATATCTATGGTTTCCTTGGTACTAAGAGTGGCCGCATTTTGGGAACAGTCGTAGTTTTTAACATCATGCACGCCACAAGCATTCCCCCCCCACCCCTCCCACCACAGAAATATACAAATAATGTCAGCCTTGGTTCCTCTTATGTCAACGGCAGCTGTCTGTACTGAAGGGTGGGGAGGGAGTGGGAGGGGCGGTGAAGTGGTTTTACAAACCATAGGAATACAAGGTGGGAGGCGATTAAGTTAAGTTAAATGCGGTGCAGTGCCCTAGGAACCTACAGGGAAATCAAATTGTTGGTTAGTTTGCCATTAAGAGAGTGAGAGAGTGACTCGGCTGGCTCTGTGATGCTCGACACCAATAAAGGGTCACGTTTCAAAAAGCACGGCACATAACAATCACGTGAGGGATACCACAGGGAGGACCTTTTTTTTTCTCCCAGAGGAAGGAGCAGGCTGGTGCTTATCAGTCTGTGCACACGAATAATGCTACCACTGCACAGCTCTGGGTGGAACAATGAAGTTTTTCTTTATGGGCATTAAAGGATGAGCAGAGTATATTAGCCGTGGACGTGTGACGCAGTTCCTACTCATCAGCACTTCTGCACCAACTACAACTTGGGTTTGTATAGCGGCCTTTACGTGGAGCATTCATGCACACAGAATCACACTTTTTTGGCAGAGACACTTGACAAGCGATGAGAGAGATGCTGTATAAATGCACGTTGTTGTTCTGACACTGCAGCAGACGGACGGTGGGGGAGTAGCGAGCACAAACGTAGACTCACTGTTCTGAATGGCCTCTTTCTGTGCACTAGTTCCTACGATTCGGAAACTGTTTTACGCACTAACCTACATTTCCATTGGTGACTTTTTCCTTCTCTATCTCCCCGCCACCCCCCACTGCCAAGCAGGTCTGAGTTTCTTTGCACCAGGTGCTGTGCTAATTCCATTTTGATTCGCAATGCTTTATGCTTCAAGCTCCACGTACGGTAATTAGGGGAGAATAAAACAAATTGGCGTTTCAGCACAGAGAGAGCGACGATCGTTGAGTTAAATAAAATGAGGATTTTTTTGGGGGGGGGTTAAAAACAATGGGCAAAGTGAGGAATTGCCTTGTACGGTAAGATGTTGAGGTGTGTGGAGTTACACATCTCCACAGGCTCCCTGTGGGAGTGGAGAGAGAGCTCCCAATCCCGCCACACTGAGGAGGAGCATTCGTGACCCACGGTGCCCTGTAGCCAGAGTGAGACACGTTCGAAGGCCGTCAGAGGATGATCCAATCCCAGACCGTATGATCAGAGGCCACGTGATCCAAGGCTGGGGAGAGACCGTCCAAAAGGGCAGATTGTTTCATTTCTCTAGATTACCTCTGCACTTTATCATCCCAGTAAACCTACGTATCGCAGGTCCATGAACCCTATGGTTTACAATTCTCAATGTCAGTAATCCCAAGCTCCCCAGTCCTGTTAACCTTAGTTTCTATGTAGATGGGCAGAGGGGGAGTGGGATGGGGGGGGGAGGCAAAGGAAAACTGTTTGAAATGAAAGATCTATTGAGACCTGACTGGCTGAGTGTTCCCAGCGGCTTATTATTATGATGATAGCGACAAACGCAGGACTGCGGGAATTTCGTGAGGACGTTCCTAACTGGATTGCGATCTGCAATGTTTTCTGAAACATAATCCTCTTGGAATGTTTGCTGTCCGAGTTTTAACCCCAGTAATCAGCTGTGATAATTGATTCCGTCACATCCGTTAATCCCTCTCTAGCAACCTAATCACACAAAGTGCGTGCAGGCTGACAAGCGTGATGCTATCTGAGGATCTGATCCAGCCCAGAGAGGGGGAAACACTCTCGGTTTGGGGTAAAATTGTGGATGGGGTTTTGTTGTTGTTGTTGTTGAACCTTTGCGATGGAATCCATCGATCTGTGAATTTTAGTTCCGTCTATTTTTGTTGACTAGCTTCATTTTGCGGTGGGGGAGGCGGGGGGTAATGTGGGGTTGTCGAATGCGATGTTAAACCAAGCTCAGGTGGACCTTAAAGTTCTCTATTGGGAAAGAGAAGCGAGTTTCTCCACCGTGCTGTCCTGGCCGACAATCCTCCCAGATAAACCTGGTCTTTCATCTCGTGGCTCAAGCTCTCCAGGTGCAAGCTGCTGTTGATGTTGTTGTTGTTGCTGTGCGCGGGACCTTGCTGTGCACAAACTGGCTGCCGCGCTTGCCTACAAATAGACGGACCCCCGCGATTGACAGCAATTACCTGTCAGGCGCTCCGAGAAGCTTTGACGTCTCGAAGGCAAAGATTATTATTGTATCCATACTCCCCCACCAGCGTCTGTTGGCTCCGTGTGATAAAAGCCAGCAAACCTCAAATCCTCAGACACATTCCTGTGCTCGCCACGGTGCGAACTCGATATTTTTTGGTGTTTTGACGTCGTACAGGTATAAAATAATAATAATAATAATAATAATCCTTGCATTTGATATAGAGCCTTATCAAACCTCCGAAATAACAGTTTTCGAAAACGTCCATGTGTGGAAGCCATGTTTCTAGGAGTTAGACTTTAAATGCTGTTCCCCACCCCACTCTCTCTCCCCCCACCCGCCCCCCCTACCCCCACACGCTGCCTCTGCCCTAAACGCTCCCTCTCCGGCGTCAATCAGGTCAAAGAGAAATGACAGCGAGCGACCTTTTATTGATACAGTTCGCAAGCTTGGTTTTAATTATTATTTTAAAAATCCTCACATTTGGTATTGCCCCTTTCACATCTGGAGGACGTCCCTCAACTCTTCACGCAATTTACTGTAAAGTGTAGTGACTGTATATTCTGTAGGCGAACGGGGCAGCCAATTTGCGCACAGCGATGTCCCACAAACAGCTATGAAGTGCGGACAGAATGTCCGTGGGATGTTTGCCAATATCCTTGAAGTGTTTGAGTTGAGGATGTTTAAGTCTAGGCGCTGAATGGGGGTGGGGGGAACCCATTACTCCCTGTGAGACACAGCACAGGTGGTGAGATCTGAAAAACCGAGTGAGTTCATTTCCACTGATTACGTCAGAGAGCAGTGAAAGCCCACGGCACTCTCAGCGGGAGTAAGGTCTCACCCACACGCCCACCCACACACCCACACACAGATATACACACACACAGATACACACACTCCCATAATGGGAAATAGCACATGGTTACAGGGACATTCAAGTACATGCGACGTTGCCATTGAATTAGTGCTTGGATGTTATTCATTCAAAAATAACAAAACCTTCCGTCCTCCAGCGGTCTCGTTCAGCAGCCCCTCAAATAATTATTGGGGATGGGTAGGGGTGTCAGAGGAGAGAGAGAGAGAACCAGACTGTGAAACTTTCTGCTACAACAGGCACATTTTGCTTGTAGTTAAAAGTGCATTGCTAACACTTGCATAGCTGACTGTGCTTGCAAATTAACGTGCTTGTAAATCTCCCTATACAGCAACGGTGCTCTTTTAATTAAAGGTGTTAATCTACTTTATTGACACATTCCTTCGTCGGCAGTCGTAGTCACGAAAAGAATGGGGAAAGATAAGTTAGCTTTCTTTTGTAATACCAAGTTTAATAAGCAGCAATGCTGTTAAGGTACTCTCCTCTTTCTCCCTCCCCACACCCCCCACCCCCCACTCCAATTTATCGTTGGGAAGATTGAAAATTCAACCGGGAAGGTCATTGCAATACAGTATTGTGCTGAGCTCATCAGATGTCAACTCTGGTAACTGCTGATTCAGATGAGCCTCCCAGAAGCTGTGTGCATCTGGCAAGACCATAATCAACCCACTTCATAATCCACCCACTGCATAATCCCAGTGCTGGAAGCTAAGTATCGGTTTCATACCACATTTGTGCTGCAGTGTAGACCTGGAGTGACTCCAAAACTGGCTGCAATCTGGAAAGGAACAGTCTAACCATTGTAAGATTTTTTTCTTGTACTTCTTCTACCCAAGTCAATACCAGAACGAGCAAAGTAGGACCACGCGCTAGTTTGGGTGCAGTTGATAATGACAGTCCTTGCATTTGATACAGCGCCTTTCACATCAGGAGAACGTCTCCGCAAATGCTTCACAGGATTCACTGTAAAGTGCTATGACCGTGTATTTTGTGGGCCAAACGTTATCGAGGTGCGACTGCAATACAACCACAAGCTGGTTTTGGCTAAGGATATGTTGTGCAACGGTGTATGTAATGACATTGCCTTATGATTACACCACACACAGGAACATCTTTTCACAAAAGGCTCGTGGCCAAAGCAATCCACTTCTGTGAATCTACTTTTGCATAGTCAGAGGATGTGGTTCAGAAAGGAAAAGACCCTGAAGGATTGTTGGACAGGATATCATGAGAAACTCCAGTTTCTTTTCTAATCATCAACTAACAACCGGGTTCCTACTCACTGCTAGGTAAACAGAGGCGTGTGGAGTAAGGAAACTTGCCCAACGTTTCACCCTGCCCGGAATCGAACCCAGGTCGCTTGCTTGCGAGGCGAGGCCTCCAACCACTGAGCTACAGGACTCCACTATCTCCACGATAAATCATGTATTTCCATCCCGAAGTACTTGTGTTCTTAGGGATGGAAATAAATTATCTCTTGACTCTATTGAGCATTTGCTCATTCGCCAAATAAAAAGCACGGGATCTCTCGTAAAGCAATGGGTTTGGTATCTCATCCCAGACTCCCATGATCAACCAGTGCAGATTAAATAAACTGGTCATGTGCTAAATTAACCCTTATCTCCCCAATTGCATTGAAACGGACAAATTGCTGACAAAGTACAGCCAATCCATTTTGCCGTATATCCTGTGTCCCTCTGTGAGATGTTGGAGGCTCGAGAAGTCCTGCAGTGTAGTGGTTGCCGTGTTTCGCCCACAAAATACACAGTCAATCCAATTTACAGTATATTCTGTGAAGCGCCTTGAGACGTCTCAACGGCAATGATGAGGTGCTCTATCAAATGCCAGGATTATTATATACTATTATCTTCTCCTGACATGAAAGCACTAAATCAAATGCAAGGAAATCCAAGGGGCATGTGAATCTGGTTAGAGCAGGTTGCTCTACGTAGCACTTACCATTCTGCCACCCGGCAGATAACATTCGAAATGTCACCGTGGCTGAAATTTCCTTTGAACAAAGTCAAAGGTCATTCGATGGAATATTTTTAAATGTCACAGGCAGCAAAGAACCTGAAAGCTTGGTCCAAACGAGGTGGTTAGCGAGAGTCTGAGGCTTGTAAATAGGACTGCAAGCGTGACTCAGCGATCATAGCAATTGCAAGTAGCCGCGAGGTCCACAGCATGTCGTCTTCAGGTGGAACCATGGATTGTTCAGTGAAACGGACCAGTCTGGATGATTCTCTCGCTCTCGAGACGTCAACTTTCGGGAGTTGATTGTATTTGTTAGTAATAATAATATTAATAATCCTTGCATTTGATATAGCGTCTCATCGCGTCATTCAGACGTCTCAAAGCGCTTCACACAATATACTGTAAAGTGGATTGACTGTGTATTTTGTGGGCAAATGTGGCCGTTGTGGATCGAGTGGATTTTTTGATTTTTTTGGAGGGATCATTACTCCGGAAAGCGATTGCCAGTTGACTAACAACTGGGTTCCTACTTACTGCTCAGTAAACAGAGGCGTGAGGAGTAGGGAAACTTGCCTAAGGTATTGTCTCGCCCGGGAATCGAACCCGGGTCCTCTCGCTTGCGCCCTAACCATTATCGTGTGGATTGAGTGACCCAGCCCAAAGTTAAGTATGCTTTTTGTGGTCATTTCCAGGCGCAAAAGGAAATCGTCTCCTCTACGAGCAGTGAACAAACACAGGGAGAAATCTAAAAGAGTAATAATAATAAGCTTTGCATTTGGAATTGAGCAAGTTTAGCCAGTTTGCTCACCAGCTGTCTTGTGCGTGTCGACACTAAGATGACACAGTCAGAAAAACACCCTCATGGACGGATTTGGCAAGATTATTGCTCATCACACACACCTCTATTGTTCCCCTCGGAACAGCTTTCCACAGCTCCGCCAACATCGAAACGCTAACAACTCAAGACAAAGTGGTTGCATCACAGCCGAGGTCCATCAGCTCACGTTTCTGATTAATTACAAGGCTGCTAGAGGCTGGCTCGCAGGGAATTTTTCTTGCTTTATGTCCGCGCTGAAATATTAATAAGCTGTTTTCCTTTGGACGAAACATCAATTGCCAATCTGATGGACCCGTGGAGTCCTGCAGTGCATCGCAAATGACAGTGCTGGGCGAAGTGAGGTGTTGTCCTTCAATGGAGAATTACACCAAGGTTCGATCAGCCTGTTCAGATGGCATTAAAAATTCAACGACACTGATAACGATGACAACACTAGCAAGTATGCGGTGCTTATAGTGTCGAGAACATCTCAAAAGGCGCACACAAAGTTTTAGAGAGGATAGCGTAGGTGAATTTGTAGGTGAGCATGACAGCCAATTTGTTTGCGGGGCATTGCTGGGCCCAGCTAGGAAGTAAATTTTAATTGGGGTTGAGATATTTGCCAAGAAACTCCCTTCTCTTTTTAAACCGTAGTCTTCGAACTTCTTCCTGGAACACTAATCAAAAGGAGAAGGGAGTTTCTTCTTGTGTCCTGCCCTTGCTGCAGGCAAAACGCTCAGTCACTACAACTGTCAGTCCAAAAAGTGCCACCGGTTAAGGAATTAGCGGTGAATTTGCAGATGTTCCTTGTGACGTTCCTGCCCTTGGTCCGCGCAAAAGGAAAGCTTTAGGAAATTTGGACAAAGTTTTGTGCGTCGGTTATTCCTTGCACTACACGTAAGTCGCGTTCAGCAGAGCTTTAATGATCTGCCTCTGTACAGTGCCAGCTATCATCAGTTGAACAGAATCAATTTAAACAGTCCCAGTTGATCCTTGTTACGTTTGCTGAGCGTATTCTGCACCTGATCTCCCAAGCTGTTGATAGCTATGAAGATCCACGACAATCAATGGAACCCGAGTGGATATACGCTCCTGCTGGGACATTCGAGGTTTGGTCACTGAATCCACGACTGTTTGTGGGACAGCTGCAGCGCGCAATTGGCTGCCGCACTTCACCCACGAAACATAGTCATTCCTCTTTACAGTATATTCTGTGAAGCGCTTTGAGACGTCTCAACGACATGCTAAGGCGTTGTATCAAATGCAGGGATTATTATTATTACTCTTTTATATTTCTTTCTTCAGGTATCTGCCCAGAGGGTCAAAAGCAAACTCACCACTGAATGATGGAAGAGAAGCTCCCAGGAATTCTGCAGCTTCTGGTTACATAACATGTCCACAAAGTCATTGATGAAATAACCTGAAAGAATAAAAGGATAACTAGCTCTGTACGAACCAAAGCAAGAAGTATATAAATAATAATCCCTCCAAAACAAAAAAATAATAAATTGGTCATTTTCAATCCACGGCTGATGTTGGGACGCTGCTGTGCGCAATTGGCTGCTGCGTTTCGCCCACAAATGTGCGGTCAATTCACTTCACGGTCTATTCTGTGAAGCGCTTTGAGACGTCGAGAAGACGTGAAAAGCGCTATATCAAACGCAAGGATTATTATTATTATTATTAATGTGAAGTTTCGGTCAGTCTTCCACTACAGACATGACAATGGAGTGGCGTAGTAGTGGTTAGTGTGCTCGTTTCGCGAGCGAGAGGACCCGGGTTCGATTACCAGGCAGGATAAAACCATGGGTAAGTTTTCTTACTCCACCCGCCTCTTGTTTACGTAGCAGTAAGTAGGAACCCGGTTGTTTGTCAATTGGCAGATCTTTTTCCGGGGATAATAATAATCACCCAATCCACGACTGTTTGTGCAGAATTGGCTGCTGTGTTGCTCCCACAAAATATATACAGTCGATTCAGTTTACAATACAGTCTGTGAAACGCTTTGAGACCTCTTAACCACGTGATTGTCCCTCTACAAGCGTGAGCACGGCAGAACAAATATTTACCACCTGCACTTGAATGAGTGCGGAGATCTCTGGAGAAAATTTGCACACAGAAGACAGATCTGTAAGGTTAGAGAGAGAGGGAGAGAGAGAGAGAGAGAGAGAAAGAAATACAATTCACCAAAGAGCAATCCCTGGTTTCAATTTACAAAAAAACTCAGGTGCAATCATAATGTGAAGCAGAAACGGCAGGTGGAACCCACAATAACCTTCCCTCTTAAATGAACAGTTAATTACTAACTCGTAAACCAACAAATCTAATCCTGAAATCTTACTTACTTCAGAAACCTTTCACCGAACACTTGCTCAACAAAAGAACCTAGTTAACAACCCAGTGAGGTGGGGGAAGGGTTAGGAGTGGAGTCGAAAGGCTTGGTCTCAGAGGCAGGTTTTCAAAGTAGAATCCAACAATCTATCTCTGGGGTTTCCACGTGGGAGTGGGAGGGATGGAAATCTCAGCTCAATATGAATGCTCTGCAGTGTGGCGATGTGTTTCCGCATGTGTCAAGACACCCGGCCGGCTGACCAAGAAAGAAAAAAAATAGCATGGAACTCTTCATAATATAAACCTTCTGCTGGCTAGCGCAAGCCCTTATTTCCTGAGACGTCCAGCCTACAGAAAAGATCTCCCCCTTCCCCCTGCCTTCCCTGCACCTGGGATTTGTATGGCCTTGACTCACTGCCAAAAGCTATGATATTACTGCCATCACTTCAAAGCTTAATTTACTACACATGTGTTTTTATAATAATAATGATTCTTGCATTGGATTATAGTGTTTTTCATCCTGCTTATCCGTTGTGCCCTCCGTTATACCATCGGCGGCCGCACTTTCAGCCACTATGCCCCGAAACTCTGGAACACCTCTCCCTCAACCCCTCCGCCTTGCCCCCTCCTTCCCCATCTTCAAGTCGCCTCTGAAGATCTTCCTTTATGTACGTGCTTGGGGTCGCCTCTCCCCATCTCGGCGTCGTGCTCTGGGACGCTATCCTGCGTGAAGGTCGCTATATAAATGCAAGTTGTTGTTGTTCACTTGTTTACAGGATTTTACTATGATTTGTAGTTACTGTGTATTTCGTGGACGAACGCAGCAACCAATTCGCACACAGCAACATCCCACACATGAGCCAGAAGTCCAAGATTGATTTTGCCTGGGGGAATGGTTGGCCTAACCCTAACCCTAATTGTTCTCAATAGGCTGGAGGGAGAAACCAAATTATTCTCAAGAAGATGGAGGGTGGATTTCCGAGGCTATTAAAAACATGACATATCCTGCTATTGTCATAATTATCAGATCATATACCATACTATTCCCCCCTATCCCACCATCCCCTGGGGAAGTGCAACATGCGCCAGATAAATTTGGTTCAAATAGCATCAAATAGGGATGGTAGAACTTAATAATAATCCTTACATTTGATACAATGCTTTTTAGGTTAGGGTGACATCTCAAAATGCCTCACTTAAAGGAAGAGTCAACAATATTGATCTTGCGCTTTGTGAATAACAGTTTTTGAGCATGATCCAGATCTATTTGTCAAGCCTCTACACACACACACGCACACCAGAACTTTCCAAGTAGGAGTGTGAATGTGACAAACCAGTCAGTGAGATAGAGAGCACTGAGGACTCGCGCTGCTCTGGAATGAGATGGGTGGGCAAGTGACCAAGACATTAAAACATTCTGGGAATGTCTGAAATGCCTGGAATGTTTAGGAGCGCAATATAAATGAGCCTGGAATATATATTAATATATACACACACACATATATATATTTATATTAAGTCAAAAATCAAGGCTGCACCAGACTTCTGGTTGAGGGTAAAACATGATATCAACAGCAGCTGAGCACATAGACCTTTGGGACTGAAACGTGCCAAAAATTTTCCTCGCTCCCTCCCTTCCCTCCCCTCACCCTGACCATTTCCCCCCTCCTCGCTCCCTCCCTTCCCTCCCCTCACCCTGACCATTTCCCCCCAATGCTCGGGTCATGACCCAACTGTGCAGCGCCTTGGGACGTCCTCCTGACGTGAAAGGCGCTTTATAAATGGAATCTTGTTGTTGTTGTTGTTGTTGATTTTCTTACGTATGTTCTGAAGGCAGGACCATTAAGTAAGAGTAACAATCTTATTTTGCCTTAGAGCGAGTTTGCACAGCAAGTTTGCATATGATCATTGTCTCTCGTATTCTTCTATGTTACACAAGTGCCATTCTAACCGTTAACCCTGCCTTGGCTTACTCGTCATGGACAAGACGACAGGTTAATAAATATCTCAGTGATCCACTAACAGTAATCCGTTGAAAGGCTAAGATTTTTCTTTTGGGTGGGGGTCAACCGGGCACATAAGGAAACCCATTAGCGTGCTTTGGAGTATCCAAAGCAAACTCCATGCATACCACTTAATAATAATACTTGCATTCGATACAGCACCCTATCAAGTCTTTGAGACATCCCAAAGCGTTTCACAAAATATACTGTAAAGTGAATTAACTGTATATTTTGTGGGAGAAACATGGCAGCCAATTACACACAGCGGTGCCCCACAAACAACGTGGATTGAGTGACCAAATTTTTTTTTTTTTAAGGGGATTATTACCCTGGAAAAGTGATCCACCAATTGACTAACAACCAGATTCCTATTTACTGCTTGGTAAACAGAAGTGTGTAGAGTAAGGAAACTTGCCTAACTTTTCGCCCTGACCGGGAATCAAACCCGGGTCCTCTCGCTTGCGAGGCAAGTGCTTTAACCAATACGCTACAGGACTCCACCAAGGCTAGGAAGTGTAGGAGGGAAAACGAGAGAGAGAAAAGAGGTTGCATTCACATGTTGTTTCATAATTTGGTGTTACCTAACAGTCACCACCTTTGCTCCGGTGAATTATCTAATTTCCACTGGTAGTTTAGCAGACTTACCTATAGAAACCGACACCAGTGCGTGTGAGAAGGCGGAATGAGTAGCGATCAAATCTTCTGCCATCTGTGGCTGGAAATAAAAACTGCAAAAAACGAGAGAAAGCAAAAAAAAAACTATTTACTACATGCTAAAAAATAGAGTTTCAAGTCACTCCGCCTTAGTTCATGTTTAGCATTCTTACAGGTAAGATGCACACTTTTTAATGCAATTGGCTGCCGCGTTTCACCCACAAGATACACAGTCAGTCCACTTCACAGTGTATCCTGTGAAGCGCTTTGAGACGTCTCGACGACGCGATAAGGCGCTGGATGAAATGCGACGATTAATATTATTATATAACCAGATTTTAAAAACTCACATTGACCGGGAGATGGGGGGAGGGGGGGTGAGGGGGGGAATGGAGATACCCCCTAAAATTGAATGAATGAATATATAAATCCCATCTCTGGGATGGGATGGGATGGGATGGGGGGGGGGGGGGGGGAGGGGGGTACCTGATTTTCTTTTCATGAACAAATACACAGTCAATATTTCAAGCTTAATCGTGATGATGTAACTTTAAGCCCTCACTCACTCACTCACTCACCACAGTACAGCCCAGATCCCAGTCACCACACTGTGCGCCAGAGAGGTGCAAATATTTCTCCATTTCCATCGGTTCCTGGTGGCAGACTCTGGCACAGGCAGGTGATGTTCCACAGCCCGATTGAGGAGGTTGAAGCCAACGAAAGAGGTGCCAACGATCAGCAAGGCTGGGTTCCAATCCAACCTGAGGATCATTTCACTCAAATTAGAAGTCCACAAAGTCCCACAGGGGGTGAGTTGGGAGCTGCTGGGAACTCACTGGGTGATGCTGGGTGGGTGGGTGGTGGGTGGCATTGGGGGAAGAGAAGATACCCAACTAAGGGGAAGCTGTGCTGTGCATCCAAAGTCCTGGTAAATCTCTCCAAGGGCTTACACAAGAGGGGCTGGTGGAATATTGCATAACTTTCAATGAGAGGGAGGGATCTGTGGAGAACCATCCGCCCATCCACTCCAGCGTCATGCTGACATCTAACCAATTCCCCTGCTCTGCGAGCTCAGTCGATTTGATGCACACATGTTGTAGGTTTGCATCACATTGGGCTTTGTAATGTACGACTCGTGTGCATCAAAATATTTGGGGGTGGGTGGGGTGGGGGGGGGAGAGTGAGTTGAATCTCAATTGATTTTAGACCATCACACGCACAAATACGCACACACACACCTCCAAGGGATGTGCTGTCCAATCTGGAAGGATGGGGGTCAATCAATCGCTCAATGAAATGCAATCCCATGGGAACTGACATGGATTATTTTCGGTTCCCCATCCCAAAGTAACCAGGAATGAACGTTTGTACGTTTGCAAAACACTGTTTGTTTCTTTTGGGGAAATATTTGGAGCTGATTTTCTATATTAAATGCAAGGATTGTTTCATATATATAGTATAAGGTATTCATTATTACATAGTACAAGGTAAAATACTGTATAATAATAGTCCTTGCGTTTGATGGACGGTGTATATTGGGGGCGAAATGTGGCAGCCAATTGCGTACAGCAGTGTCCCACAAACAGTCGTGGTTTGAGGAGCACATTTTTTTTGTGGCGGGAGGGAATTATTACCCCTGGAAAGCAATCCGCCACTCGACTAACAACCGTGTTCCTACTTACAGCTAGGTAAACAAGGGAGCGTGAAGAAATTTGTCTAAGGTTTTGTCCTGCCTGGGAATTGAACCCGGATCCTCTCGCTTGCGAGGCGAGAGCGCTGATCGCTATGCTGCGGGACACATTACGCGTTATTATGCGACACAGTGTCGGATGCGTCAACTATCCTGACGACATATTCCGTACATTGCGGCCCAAGTCTACATGACATTGGAGAGGTTCGAATCCATTATAGCCTAAAGTTTAAGGGTTCGAGCCTCCATCAGTAGCTATGTCCTTCCCAGGGCAGAGGAGGCATTTATCTCCACCCACCATCCACTCCTTGCTGTGTTGGGACGTCCCCCACCCACCCCCGACCTAAAAAGTGTTATATAAATGCAATTTGTTGTTGCTGTTGTCAAGTTCCTTTTCCCCTCTTCTACGAGACAACTGTTGCTCAGAATGGTGTGTGACAGTGCCACTCCGTGGCAACCGGTTTGTATTGCACGGCGTTGGTGAAAGTTATCTCCATAAAATTGATGATATCAATTATAAAATTGATCCCACCGTCCCCCACATATATTACCTCTCACACTGCACACCACCATTAAATGTTACCGCACTTAATGATCACCAGTGTGTTCACTCAGAGTCATTTAGCGTGTTGTTCACTTTGAAGTGCTGGCTGACTATAATAATAATCCTTTGCATTTATTCCTCGCCTCCTAACTTCGTCTTTGAGACGTTTCAAAGTGCTTCAAGGATACGCCTATAAAGTGAATTGACTGTATGTTTTGCGTGAGCACAAAGTCCTGACGCACAACCCTCTGATCCAGAGATGAGAGAGCATCTGCACTCTATTTACTACGGAGCTCTCGCCTCCGTTGCAAAGCTCGATTTAAGAATGAAAACACTGCGAGAAGAAAGAGGAGAGAAATGAGAGGACTTGGGTTTGATTCCCGGGCTGGGCAAAACCTTAGCCAAGTTTCCTTACTCCACGTGCCTGTTTACCCGCCAGTAAGTAGCAACCCGGTTGTTAGTCGATTGGTGGATCACTTTCCGAGGGTAATAATCCCTTAAAAATATACATATATATGTTTTAAAAATAATAATTCGGTCATTCGATCCGCGACTGATTGCGGGGCCAACTGCTGTGTGCAATTGGGCTGCCGCATTTCGCCCACAAAATATACGGCCGATTCATTTTACGTTGTATTCTGTGGAGTGCTTTGAAACGTCTCGACGAACGAACCGAGGGTTGGCTAACAATGCCTTGGCTTGGCTTCTCTTTCCGGAGAGATAGCGATCTGCTTTTGAAAGCTTTACCTAAGGTGGGTCTACGGGAGTTGCCCGATTTTGACAGGCGCCACAACACTCCAAAACAGGTTATCCAGGTTCATTCTGATACTATTTCAAGGCGAGCTACGCCGTTTTTAGCCGGTCAGACTCCGGCAGGACCTCAACGCATACACTGGGGCCCCTCCAAGTCTTGGCTCTTGCCAACCTGTGCCCTAATACGTTCTGGGTTTAGTTCAGCAGGAGCGAGACCGTGCCATCTATTCCAACAACCTGTCGCCGGAATTTCCACGTGCAGGTGGGATGCATGGAAATGAAGTGGACCTGAAATAGACCCGACGCTGGTGGAACAGGATTCCTCCTCTTTGCAACGCCTTGAAATTTGTTTTTGTTCCGCCGGGAGTCCAACACCTACGGAAACCCATCCCCGTGCTCGAGCATCTCCACGGTTAATAATAATTCCAGAGTATTGATAATAATCCTTGTATTTGATGCGGGGCTTTATCACAGAGCTGACGTGATCACGCGCAAAAGCGGCAATTCCCCCCCTTCCGCCTGCCCCCTCCCCAAACAGCCACGGTGAGAATGACCAATCTTATATCGCGAGGAATGTCGGCCAAACTCCCCCCCTCCTCTTTTTTTTGAGTAGCGCTGAGGGGATCTTTAACGTCCAGCTTGAGCGGGCAATATCCAGTTTGGCAGGAGCCAAGCCTTGGGGGGGGACTGTAGGTTGAGTTGGGTGGGTGGGTGGGTGGCGGTGGGCGGGTGGGGGGGGGTAACTGCTGGGCTGTGGGGGTTATCACTGATCTGGGGTAGGGTAGGGAGGGAGGGAGAGAGACAGACAGAACTGGTTGCAAGTCTCTGAAAGATCCACCAGGGAGCGGCTGGGAGGGAGGGAACCAGGTCCTTTGACAAGGAGCCATTTCTGTTTGCCATAACAAGGGGGTGGGGGGTGTTGTGAGAGTGGACTTGTGTCAGGCTCTGGGAATGGGCCAAGTGGGTGGTGGAGGAGGAGGGAGGGTGGGTGGGAGGGTTGGAGGGGCTTTGCCATTGCCCTTTTTTTTTAACGCAGTGAGGAGAGAGGGGAGGAGAGGGGGGAGGGGAGTGGGAGGGAGAGTGGGAGAGGGGAGTGGGAGGAGAGTGGGAGGGAGAGGAGAGTGGGAGGGAGAGGGGAGGGAGAGGGGGAGGAAGAGTGGGAGGGAGAGTGGGAGTGGGAGGGAGAGGGGGAGGGAGAGGAGAGGGGAGTGGAAGGGAGAGTGGGAGAGGGGAGTGGGAGGGAGAGGAGAGGGGAGGGAGAGTGGGAGTGGGAGGGAGAGGGGAGGGAGAGTGGGAGGGAGAGGGGAGGGGGAGTGGGAGGGAGAGGGGGGGGAGAGAGGGAGAGGGGGAGTGGGAGGGGAGTGGGAGGGAGAGGAGAGGGAGAGGGGAGGGGGAGTGGGAGGGGAGGGGAGGGGAGGGGAGGGAGGGGAGTGGGAGGGGAGGGAGAGGGGAGTGGGAGGGAGAGGGGAGTGGGAGGGGAGTGGGAGGGAGAGGGGAGAGGGGAGGGGGAGTGGGAGGGAGAGGGGAGTGGGAGGGAGAGGGGGAGTGGGAGGGGAGTGGGAGGGAGAGGAGGAGTGGGAGGGAGAGGGGAGTGGGAGGGGAGTGGGAGGGAGGGGGAGACACAGACAGACAGACAGACAGGTGGTTCCTAAGGAGACGGTGATGTTACACAGAAGCCGATTGTTAGCCCCGGGGCAGGGCTTGTGGCCGCTGAGTGGCTTCCAGCCCCCGTCAGTGGGCGAGAGAGGAGCGCTCTCGCTGTGGCGCTGCGGGTCCCTGTGTCCGGTGCCCCGCGCAGTGCCCCTCTCCGACGCACTGGTCCAGCGCTCGTCTGGGGGGCGATCCCCTCTCTCTCCTCTGAGACCCGCAACAGCCCTCTCCACTATGGGGGGTCACAAGTCCAAGTCAGGTAACTGCGGGTTATTGTTCGCTTTTATTTAAACCGACGGTTTTGTGGGGTATGTGTCATTTTATTTTTATTTTTATTGATTGATTGATTGATTGATTCATTGATTTATTCATTGATTTATTCATTGATTGATTTATTTGTTTATTCGTTTATTTGTTTATTTGGTTTATTTCATTTTTAAAAAAAACTCAATGCAATGCCTTGAATTGTTGACCAGGGCTGCTGTTTTCATCATCATCATCACCATCATCACCATCATCACCATCATCATCATAATAATAATAATAATAATCCTCGCATTCGATATAGCGCTTTTCACGTCTTCTCGACGTCCCGAAGCGCTTCGCAGAACACACTGTAAAGTGAATTGACTATATTTGTGGGCGACACACACACACACACACACACACACACACATATATATATATATATGTGCATATATATTATGCATAATGACTGGAACGGGTATTTAGGGCTTAAGAGCCTGTTTCTGTCTGTTGATGCTAAAAATGTCTGCTGTTGTTAACACGTTTGTTCCCGCGGATATTGGCCGTCGCGTTTCTCCCACGAAATGCACAGTAACTCCGCTTTGCGGTGTATCCCGTGAAGCGCTTTGAGACTCCTCAACCACGTGGTTGTTGCAACCATCCCTGCGTTTGTTACAGCGCCTTATCGCGCCGTCGAGACGTCTCAAAGCCCTTCACGGGAAACACTGTAAAGTGGAGTTGCTGTGCATTTTTTCTGGGCGACATGCGAAACTCCCACTAAAGAGGTGTAAACCTACATCCGTTTCATATCTTTCCTTCCACTTAACAGAGAGCAAACACGCAGCAGTTCCCTACATTGGAATAAAGATCTCTATCACTTTTGAGTTAGTAAGGGTTTCTCCACCCATTATTTCTAGTTACCTCTTTATTTACCATTTTTTTTACTGCAACTCGCAGGCTAATTAAGATAAATGCCTGGTGTTTTACCAATACCATGATATTAATACTAACGGGAAATGAACCTAAGTTCTAATACTGAGGGCAGCGGGCTTTTAATGAAAACATTCGTGCCAGACGAAACTTTTCTTTTATCAAATCGTCGCCTAATTGTGTTCTACAAATGTCATAAACGCCTGTGCATGCATTAAGTTTGCAATAAAGCCTCTACTGCGAGCGGCCAATAAGGCAATTCAGCAATTAGCCGACCACTCACTTCACATTGAGTCACATGAGAGTATGAGACTTGCTGGCGGATCTTCAGTTCTGGGTCTGTTTGATAAGAGTTACTGGAGATTAAACACTAAAACCTACTCAGACATGTGGTTGTTTTGAACTTGTCCTCTTGGGCTTCGTTTGTGGTCACCTTGTGGCAGGGCGAAACCTTGGGCAAGTTTCCTTACTCCACACAGAGCCTAATAATAATCCCTCCAAAAAAAAACAATAATAAATTGGTCATTTTCAATCTACGACTGTTTGTGGGACATTGCTGTGCGCAATTGGCTGCCGCGTTCGCCCACAAATATGCAGTCAATTCACTTTACAGTGTGTTCTGTGAAGCGCTTTGGGACGTCCTCCCGACGTGAAAAGCGCTATATCAAATGCAAGGATTATTATTTTTATTACCTTCTCTTAGTGCGCTTTGTTTCGACAAAAAGTCCTGTAGCCTCAGAAGCGAGAGGACTCGGGTTCGATTCCCGAGCGGGGCAAAACCTTAGGCACATTTCCTTACTCCACACACCCCTGCTTTCCTAGCAGTAAGTACCAAAAATCCGGTTGTTAGTCGATTGGCGGATCGCTTTCCTCGGGTAATTAATCCTTTTTTAAAAAAAATAATAATTTGTTCATTCAATCCACGACTGTCAGCGGGACACTGCTGTGCGCAATTGGCTGCCGTGTTTCGCTCACAAAATAGACAGTCAATCGAGACCTCTTAATGTGGAGATTACCCAGATGGTAAACAGCACTTTTGCTTTTGAATTGTTCTTACAGTAATAATAATGGTAAGAATCCTCGCGCTTGAAATAGCGCCTTATCACGTCTCAAAACGCTTCACAGAATATGCTGTAAAGTGTAGTGACTGTGTCTTTTGTGAGCGAAACGCAACAGAACCTGAGGAATTACTGAAGAGAAATAGTTCACAAATATTTAAAATTAAATTGCTGAAGTACAGTAGCTCAATTTGGGGTAGCTATATCAAATGCAAGGATTATTATTATATTATTCTTCACTGTGTCTCGCTGTGTTACACTGTGTCCTTTCGCTGCAATGAACCATAGATAAGTGATGTTTAACTCAGTTCTTCCCTTCCTTTTTCTTCCCAAATAACAGTGAATATTTCAACGTCGGATGATTACAGCAAAGATAAGAAAAAAGCCAAAGCAAAAGAAAGTCCGGAGAATATGATAGTGAAACAGGCATGTTTGGTTACTGATATGAACAATGGAGAGTAAGTGTTGGTGTATCGTAACCCCTTGTCACAATATTAACCCCCCCCCCCCCCCATTTCTGGGTTAAAGAGATCTTAGCTGTCTCTTGATTGTTGCCGTTCCCAATGGGTTTAATGGTATTTACTGTTGCATCTCCTCAAGGCCAGTTCAGAAAGGCTCCACTTTCTCCCAGAGAATATCCGATTGAGATTAGGGGAAGCGAAAATAACAAATAAATAATGTGAAATTATTAGTGGCCAACTTGACAGATGCAGCGGCAAAAGGTATTACAGCAGAACCCTGTGATTGCACGTTTCATTGTAATGCAGGTTTGTTTATAATTGGGTCGTGTACCCTGATATTTTCCTAACCCCCCCCCCCACAAAAAAAAATGAGATGGGAGCAATCACGTCCCATTATAATGCTGGTTTTGATGTTATGCAGCCTAACTATTGCGTTATAACCTGGCTCAACTGTAACTGTAGTCTATTTGCCAAATGCAGAGTGTTTGAGTTCCAGTCCAGTCAATTGGGGATAGATATTGCCTCACAGATGCTTTTGCCATTCATTCTCTCTCAGGCAAAGCTTATAAACAGCCACCAAGACCAAACAAGGGTGTAGCACACAACATAAATATTTTGTGAATTGTACATATTGTTCCCAAGCAAAGCAAAGGTTGACTCATAATAAAATAACTGGATCAAACAACTGTTTTCTATTGAATGTAAACCTGGATATGAAGTCGGTGTTCGATCAATGAAACGTCTTTGTTTAGGAGGGCGGGTCATTTGGCAAGAATAATTTATTCTTTAACTGTTAGGCATCTGCCATATATTCTTCTAAATGTCATTTTTAGATGCGCTCTGTTTCTATCCGCTGTTTGTCGTTCTCGAAGGTACTTGTCAATCTATTTGCCTTTTAGCAGGAATCTAAAGGCAGTGAGCCAACAGTTATATCACAATATTATGTTTTAATCAGTCATTTATTATCTAATCAGCGATACTTGTTTGGATACTTCCTGTTTACAGCTGATTATTGATAAAAACACATACTAATCAGTGGCAATACAGGTATTTGGATTTCGCCCACAAAGTATACAGTCAACTCACTTTACAGTATATTATGTGAAGCACTTTACGATGTCTCGAAGAAGTGATAAGGCTCTATATCAAATGCAAGGATTATTAATATTATTATAGGCCAATCTGCTATTCTCAGCTCCCTGTCCTATTTAATCATTTATTGAGCAATTAAATTGCGACAAAATATTTATATTTAAATGTTTTACTTGGAGGTGATCAAAAATGTCCTGCGAGCTCCAGGTGAAAGTTACCAGTGAATTTGGCTGTTCATTATTCAGGACGTTAAGCTGTAAAAACTGAATAAACATATTTTTCTTCTTCATCCGGTAATCTTCTCTAAGTAGTTTGGTACATTGAAATTCTGTGCACTTTTATGTTGTTGACAGCCTTGGTAATAGCTCTGAATTCTGTGTTCATCTGACCTCACTCACTGAAGCCTGTAACCTAATGGCATTCTTGCAAGTGCAGTCACAATTACTCCACAGCAAACACAGTAAACACTCCGCAATGCCTGTTTGCAAAATCTATTTACCCTATGAAATTAAACCTCACATTTTATCAATATGAAATCCAAAATCTTACTGCCCCATTAAATTAAAATGTCATTTCCTGGTGTGTGGCTAATGTGCATATGTGCTATTGTACTCTCTGTAGGATGCGGGAAATTGAAATTGAAAAGCACAAGGTTCTGCTTATCAAAAGCAAGGGAGAATTTAGTGCCATAGGAAGCACGTGCCCCCATTACGGAGCTCCACTGGTAAAAGGTAAGAGATATTCAGAGAAGTGCAAAAAAAATTGATCACTCAACCCACGACTGTTTATAGGAGACTGCTTTGCGCAATTGGCTACCGCATTTCGGCCACAAAATCTACCGATAATCCACTTTACAATCAATACATTTTGTGAGTGGCTTTGAGCCGTCTCAACGACGTGATAAGGCGCCTTATCAAATGCAAGGATTATTATTATTATCTTGTTGCGAGTCTTTTTTTGCCGTGTGTGTGGTTGCACAGTGTATATTGCATCTCTTTTCACCTTCCTTTATTTCTAGGAGTCCTTTTACAAAATAGGGTACGATGTCCTTGGCACGGTGCCTGTTTCAATATAAAAACCGGAGACATTGAAGAATTCCCTACTCTCGACAGTGTACAATGCTTTACGGTATGATTCACACCTTTCGAAAGAAAGGCTTTAAATGATTCTATAGTGATTGTGAATAGATCCAATACAGACCGCATCACAGACTGCATTCAGCGGGCATTGGCCTGCTCTATGTCCCCCGCCCTGCCCATCCCAACATCTGCCCCTACCCTTTGGAACTCCATCCCACAGTCTTTTTGCCTCCCCCTTCCCTTGCCTCCTCTTTGATCACACCTTCGGTCACCCTCCAACCCCCCCACCCTCCCTGACCTCCACCTCTCCTGATCTCAACCTCCAGCTCGGGTGCAGATCCTTGACTGTTCAGTGCCTTGGGACGTTCTCCCGACGTGAATGGCGCTGTGTAAATGTAAATTGTTGTTGCTGTTCTCTAAACCTGTTTCCCCCCCCCACCCCCCCGCCCTCTAACCTCTCCAATCGGATCTCTTACTGTTTGCCTTTATCACAATATTTCTTATACGGTGTGTTTCTTGCATTTACCCCTCCCCCTCCGCAGGTCGAGGTTCAGGACCAAAAAGTTTTCATATCTGCAGATATCAACGTAAGTGTTTCTTTGTCTGGCTCGATGTTACGCTTTTTAAAACAAAAATATTCTGGAGTCCCTTACCAACTCTTCTTCTGGTTTAAGGCGTGTTCAGCATCAAATGTGTGTGTGTTTTCTTTTTGAAAGGCATTGGAAACCCCCAAAAGAATCAAACACATGGTCACACAGTCACCAGAGAATAAGCAGGTCACTCTTCTAATCGGTGGAGGTAGGTGTGATTTCAGCGACGACCACTACTCATTGAGAAGAGCTTGAAACCAATTTGAAATATGTTTTTAGCATTGATATCTTACTCATATATCCTTGCAATGTAAGAGCGCTTTGACTGACACATTGTAATCCCGAGTTTGCCTGCCTCAAGGTCCAGCTGCGTTAACGTGTGCGGAAACCCTTCGTCAGGATGGTTACAAAGGTCGGATAATACTGGCAACCAAAGAAGAGCATTTACCCTACGATCGGCCCAAACTCAGCAAGGTTGGTTAGTGAGGATGGTTTTAGATGTGGAGTGACACGTGAAGCCACTCTGCTTTCTCCTCTCCGTACAGGCAGCGCAGTCCTGTTATAATGCGCTCTTTTATAGCACAAATTCAGTTCTCTAATTCAGATACAGTGTGGGCCCCATTCACTGCACATGTATTCGGCCGGCCTGCTCTCAACGGTACAGGACTCTGGTCATGTTTCTTAATGCCTTGGTGTTTGGTTTCCCACGACACCTGCTTCCCCACTTTGCTAACTAACGCCCGAATAATAATTATTTGTTGCAACGGTCTAAATGGTAATCTTGGTCCAGCTCACCAATTTGCACGGTTTCATATAAACAAAATTCACAATGTATTAGCGAACCCCACTCAGAGGAGGGAAACAATTATACAATTGAGCACCATTTGATACCAGGAAAAAAGCCTCTTACTGATGCTAGATACAATAGTTGATTTATCCATCCACATCACCATCATTTATCTTGTGGAGAAGCTAGTAAGCTCTATGGAGCTATTTTAGCAAAGAGCAAATAAGGCTTTGTGTTATATACAGAAAAGACCTTTGTATCATCGACTGAAAGGAGGCACAAAACTGACCACAAAAATGGAGCAATTTGTAATACTATTCAGAGTTCAGCTTACAATGTATATTTACAGGAATGCTGTTGGAACTATAAAATATAATATAATCCTTGCATTTGATATTGCGCCTTATCACGTCTTCGAGATGTCTCAAAGCGCTTCACAGAATGTAAAGTAACGTGAATGGACTGTATATTTTGTAGGCAAAACCTGGAAATCACTTGCGTACAGCAGCGTCCCCACAAACAGTTGGGGATTCAGTGACCAAATTTTTTTTCAAAAATTTTTGAGGGGATTAATACCCCCAGAAAAGCGATCGACCAATCGACTAACAACTTACCTACCTACTGCTAGGTAAACAGAGGCGTGTGGAGTAAGGAACCTTGTGGAGTCCTGTAGCTCAGTGGTTAGAGCACTCGCTTTGCAAGCGAGAGACCTGAGTTCAATTCCAGGCAGAGGGCGAAACCTTGGGCAAGTTTCCTTACTCCACACAGAGCCTAATAATAATCCCTCCAAAACCAAAAACAATAATAAATTGGTCATTTTCAATCTACGACTGTTTGTGGGACATTGCTGTGCGCAATTGGCTGCCGCGTTCGCCCACAAATATACAGTCAATTCACTTGACAGTGTCTTCTGTGAAGCGCTTTGGGACGTCCTCCCGATGTGAAAAGCGCTATATCAAATGCAAGGATTGTTATTATTATTGCCTAACATTTTGGCCTGGCTAGCCAGGAATTGAACCCAAGTGCTCTGCTTGGTGAGGCGAGTGCTTTAAATAATACGCTACAGAACTCCAACTGACTTAACAGCACTTGATATTGAAGGATTTCTCTATTTTATTTCCCACCTGATCACTTACAAAGAGTTAGAAGCAAATACAAGGGCTATAAACTCCCCTTGAGAGCTCATCTTATATTACATGTACTCACTCAACCTCCCTGAACAGCTGTTTTAGTTTTAACCCTTTCTCTCTCCCTCCTCCCGAAACAAATACCATCAGTTAATTCAATACAACTTTAGGCAACAGCTAGAATTCCAGGATCAGAACTATACCCACAGAAAACCTCAACAAGCACGTTATGAGTTAACTGTTTTTGATAATGAGTAGAAATTGAATTGTAATTTGCTTACTTTCTGTGCATTTCCCCGAGGTTTGGGATGGGAACATTGAAAGTATTCTGTTGCGGCATCCAGAGTTCTACTTATCATATGGAATCGAGGTCTTGACTAACAAGGAGGTGAGTCAGGACTCGAGTTGAGTTTTTGTAGAAACCTTTTATGGGTATTGATCAGTAACCACGAACAAAGACGTACATAAAATACATGCAATCCACTTTACAGTATATCCTGAAGCACCTTGAGATGTCTCGATGGCGTGATAAGGCGCCATATTAAATGATGCTAACAATACCACCCGCTGCCCTGAAAACCACATTGCAAAACATTCGTGATGCAACACTTAATTCCACTGTACCTTTGCAACATTCAGATTTAACAGTCCATACCTCCTTTTAAAGTTAATCTTGAGGTTGATTTATGTCCTTTCTCCACCCTTTGTACACACACTGTCATGTACCGAGAAGGGTGGAACCCTGACAATAAAATACCAGAAGCTGGCACTTATACCTGAAGGAGAGCGACGTGGATGTGGTTTGAACGCTCCCTTTTATAATCTTGATCCATGATGGTATTATGTTTCGGAAGGTCACCTCCCTCGCAAATAGCTGGCATAGATCAGGGATATAGCACAGGACAGCCAAGAGCCTAGCACTTTGCCAAACCCTAATCCAAATTGCACAAAATTAACATAGTTAATGAATCAATTTAACATTTGTTGCTGTTGGATTCTGACTTCAATTCAGCTTTCTTTCCCAACTATGATACTTTATCAATACCCCCATTCAGCCTGTTAATCTACAACAATGTGTGAAGCTGATGGGAGTCAGCAGATCTTCAACTAGCTCTATGCTCAATAATAATATTATAATAATCCTTGCATTTGATATAGCACCTTATCACATTGTCAAGACGTCTCAAAGCGCTTCACAGGATATACCGTAAAGTGGTTTTGAATATACATTGTGGGCAAAACGCGGCAGCCAGTTGCGCACAAAAATGTCCCACAAACAGCCATGAAGTGAGTGAGCAATTGTATTTGGGGAATTATTGGCCAGGACAACGGGAGAAACTCCCTTCTCTTTTCAAATAGTGCCATGGGACCTATAACATCCACCTAAACGGGCAGATGGGACCTGAGTTTAACGTCTCATCCGAAGGACAGCATCTCCGACAATGCAACACATCTCCAGCACTGCACTGGAGTGTCAGCTTAGACTATGTGTTTCCAAGACCCAACATGGGGCTTGAACTCACAACCTTGTGTCTCGGAGGTGAAAGTGCTTCCCCTGGGCCAGGCTGACACTGTAGAATTCCACTCTCAAACACTCCGCTATTTAAATGCTTCTTCTCTCTTGGATTGTGATTAGGCCGTGTCTGTGAATGTATCTAAAAAGAGAGTTGGTTTCAAGGATGGAATGTCTCAGCAATATGAACACCTATTGATTGCGACAGGAAGCATGTAAGTGATTGACAGCACCCTCGAACGATTCCGTCTCACTTGCTCCCAGAAACTGCTGCTGTAATCCTGAATTTGCAATTGGGTTCCTCCAAAACCTGTTTCTAATGTTACCTTATTGTCTCCTTATTCCTAATCCTTCTGCCTGAGGTGAGGTTGTTAACCACACAAGAGCAATAAATACATTCCAGCATTGCTATTGTCTGCTCAGAGCATTTGCCCATCACAGTTTGGGCATCTATGAGGTACTGCAGTGCTGTGATATCTCTCTGTCTCATCTTTGACGTGGCATTTATTGTGGACCACACAATCGGCAGCGAAAGGTGGAATATCTGAATGCGCATCCCAGTAAAGTGGGATGTCTTTTTAAACCTTTGATCCCAATGGGATGAAGTGCTGAGCCACCTCTGTGCGTATTGAGATTCAGTTTCCAAAATCTTTTGGATTTACATAAAGGGTTAAACAATTCATCCTATCCCCTTTGCTTTCTTTGATGAACAAAAGTATTGAGCCGCTATGCTACATCGAACTGATTTCTTTCTGTGCTACATGTACGTGATCACATGATGGTCTTAAGTTCACTCGTTGCTGCTGTAATGACACAGCCTTTGGTAGAGTAATTCAGCCGCCCAGCCCATGCTTCTAAAAAATATACTGCGACTGGTTGGCAGAACAATGACTTCCTTCAGTTACGGGTGATAAGCTGTGGTTTTGCAACATGCGTCATGACATTATGGAGATGCCTTGACTGAAATCACAATTTGTTCAAGTAGTTTCACACAAGCGAGCACAAAGCACTTCCACAGTAAGCTTTTTATAAAAACATATATCAGTATAAATGAGACTGGAACATGCCTCACCAGTTCAAGATTGCTTCTAGTTTCCTGCAAATGTTTTGCTCGATTTTCCAAAACCTTTTGACTAGCTATTTGCATTTGTTATTAAATATGCTTATGCATATATTGGTTAGATATATGGTTAGACTTCAGCAGTTACCCCAACTCACACTCTGGTGTCCCCAGGCCTTGGCTCTTGCCAACCTGTGCCTAATACTTTCCGGAATTAGGTAAGAAGGAGGGAATGCTCATTCCATTCCATCAATTCATCTCTGGAATTTCCACGTGCAGGTGGGATGCATGGAATTCTCAGTTTGGTTTGGATTGGTGATGGTAAACTCAGTGAAGGATTTCCGCATGTATCAGACGCCCAGCAAAGCAAAAACCTTCTTTGCATTCTGGTAGCAGTTTATATACCTAATGTTGTGTCTTCCTAAATAGACCCAGAAGACTGACTTGTCCAGGAATGGATCTGGAGAACGTGTGGGTGTTGCGCACCCCTGAAGATACAAAGAAAATTCGTGAACTATCAATACACAAGAAAGTGGTTATTGTGGGCACCTCATTCATAGGTGAACTTTCTTCATTATCTTTTCACTAAAGCAGATGAAAAGTATCCATTCACTGATGGCTAACTCGAAACTAGTTCTTGTGAAGATTAGAAAACTGTGAGAATATCCTGATCTATGTTCGTAACTATATTACAAGGATTGAACACACAAGCTTCCTGCAATACATAGTATGTAGAGTTGCGTAGGGTAGTTCTTAGCAGAATTGCCTAATAAAGAATCTGATCAACCAGGAAGCAGATCGTGTCGGATGAATTCCGTGTGAAAACGATTACAGATTAAAAGTGTCCATTGGCCCGAGACAGCTAGCTCTAAGAGGCGAATTTCCTTTCCATCTTTACCTGCTCGTGATGAAGCAAGGCCTGTATCACTCTTAACATTCTCCTGTGTTCTAGGAATGGAGGTGGCCGCCGTTTTGGCTGACCGAGCCGAGTCTCTGATAGTGGTCGGAACCAGTGTAACCCCATATCAAGCAGTTCTGGGGAAGGAAATTGGCGAGGCAATCAAAAAGGTCTGTTGACAAAGTCAGCGACACAAACAATAAATCAGAAACTGATGGGCTGTAATGTGGCCAGATTTGCCACAGGTCTGTAAAAGAAAACTGTTGAATTTTAGCTGATGATTAACCGCTTTTCTTCCAGGTCATTATCTTATTCCAATTACTCATAGCCATTCTCTCTCGTTCTCCCTCTCTCCCGCCCCAAGGAAAACTGCAGAATCCAGTACTTGCTCTTATTAACATAATGCATACTTGCTTTATCTTGTATTAATACAGCGTGACCAAAAAGTTGTGATATCTACCCTGCTGTCTAAAAAAAAATCAACATTCCTTTAAGACTTATTAGACATTGTAATGGTATCACGATTTTTTGGTCACCCTGTATAACGTGCAGCCTGACACCTGACATTCTAACTTGGAAACTTTCCGTTGAAACATTGCAGATGTTCGAAGAAAAAAATGTGAGATTTTACATGGAGGATGGTGTGAATGAGCTGAGGGGAGAGAATGGCAAGGTAAACTCTGGCAGCTGTATTGGAATCGTCAAAATTGCACTTCAAAGTCACTGTAACTTTTTTTTTAAAAATATGAACAATTTTAATGTATTTACAGTTGAAAGAAATTGAGCTGAGCAGTGGAACTATTCTCCCAGCGGACCTCTGTGTGGTGGGAATTGGTATAAACACTTTTTTTGCTGTTGGATACTTACCTGCAATACAATACAACATTACATTTGTATAGCACCTTTCACGTCGGGAGGACGTCCCAAGGCGCTGGATTGTCTCAGTTGGTTTATCAGTTTGCATTCTTAAATATTTTTTCTGTTGTCTGTTGAAAGGAGTGGTACCTGCTACCAGTTTCCTCAGTGGAAGTGGTGTAAGCCTCAGTTCAAATGGCACGGTCGTGGTAGATAAGGTACGGATTATTATGGTGGAAAATCCTTTAGTTATCTTCTTAACGGCCGTCCTTTTCTTATTAAGACTCGTGTAGAAAAATTAACTCAATGGAAAGTTTTAATAGGTATGAATTATTATTGTGAGCTGTGAGTGCTTTCCTAGCTTGACTTCTAATCACTTGTTCCTTTGGTTCCACGCATCAGTACATGAACACCAGTAATTCAAAAATTTTCGCTGCTGGAGATGTGACTTCATTTCCTCTCTCGCTGCAAAATGATCAGATTGTCAATGTCAGTCACTGGCAGATGGCTCAGATGCAAGGTAACTCAGAAACATTCACAACGACAGCGTCCGTCTTTAGAGAGAACCGGCTTCCAAATCGAGAACTGAATTGAATAATGTTCCAAAATCCTTCACAATCAAATTAAGACAGTGATCATTCTGAAACGCTAAAGCTGTGAGAATTGTTAGCCCTTTGGCTACTATCAAAAAATATGCTATAATATTGGTGGGATATTGCTCTTTACTGTATACAATATGGAAACATTTGATATCATTTTACAGGCCATATCGCTGCGCTGAACATGATAAAGAAAAAGAAGAGCATACATTCGGTGCCATTCTTTTGGACGGTTTTATTTGGAAAGAGCCTTCGCTATGCAGGTAACGATTATAGTTTCCAACAGCGCACTACACTAGAGCCAGTTTTAGCTCTCTCCCAGGCACATGGTTTCATTTCCTCTGAGGCCTATTGCAGATTGGGCTTTTGCTGTATGCAAAAATATATCAATCACAAAGCAGTTCAGTTTATCGTGTTATGGTTTAACTTTGGTATTTCCTCCCCACCCATTCCATTTGGGTCCAAATTCAATAAAGGGACTCAAATATGCAATGTCCAGAATTAAAGATGTACATCATCGATAATTGGAGAGGGGGCAGGATTGAATTGAGGAAGAGTTTGAAAATCAGCAAACAAAGGATTTATGATTTTAATGGAGAATAGATAGTCAACACTGGTCAAAATGCACACTCAAAAAGTATTGTACCTATTTTTTGGCAGGATATGGAGGCGATTATGAGGAAATCATCTTCAAAGGCAATGTAAGCGACCTGAAGTTTGTGGCATTTTACATCAAGTAAGTCTGTTTTGGGGTATTTTGGAAAATGGGGTGGGAAAGCGGCTGGAAGGTTTAACATTCCGGAGGTTTAACGATTCCCAGCTAATAACATTGTGCTATTTGTTTTTAAAGGGAAGAACAGGTTGTCGCAGTTGCCAGCATGAACTATGATCCCATGGTATCCCACGCAGCTGAAGTTATGGCTTCAGGAAAGAGCATATCAAAGATGGAAGCTCAGTACGTCTCTCTTTCTATTTGCCCCCCTCCCCCCTTCCCATTTTAAACGTCGCTAAGTAGCGGGTCTAAACGGCTGCTCAAAGACAGAAAATCCACCTTCCCCACAGTCTCAGCTCAATGACAGCCCGAGAGAATCCCACATTTAAAACTTGCTTCAGGCAGCGAGATTCGTCAGTGATAAAGCTGTGGCATTCAATAATGTATTCCTTGTGACGAAGTGTTAAACTTGTCCTCTAGCACTTCACGTATCCTTTAGTTCACAATCATTATTCCTTGCTATTATATCTGTAAAATACGTAGACGTTCATCCTATACCATGCAATTGCCATCAGTGCCAATTGGCTACTTTGGTATGAGGCGCTGTGGAAGTGTTTGGCTATGGACTGTGTTTGGCAGCGCTCTGGGACGCTACCCTGCGTGAGGGGTGCTATTTAAATGCAAGTTGTTGTTGGTGGGCTGGGTGACACACTTGCTGGGACCATCACCTCTCTTGCAAGGAAACCTCCGGAGTCACCGGACATGACCTTGTATTACAGAATTGCAATTCCATGCTTTAATCATTCCATCGTACAACCCATTAGAGCACCGCATGCTGACGTGCCATATATTTTGCCTAATACAAACAATTTCTTCTTTCTGTAGAGATAAAGATATGCCATGGATGAAAATAATCTAAGATGCTGTTTCATTGCTCAAATGTGTGCTGTTGGAAGCTTGTTCCTGAGGAAGGTTCCTACCAATGGACTGTTGTTGATTATATGCTTTCATATGCTTTTGTTATGAAGCTCATTTTTATTAGTGCACAAATGTTTTGTCGACAATCCAAGAAATGATTCTGATAATCCACTATTAACGCAGTATAACTATTGTTGACCAAAGCGCAATCCTAATGCTGTTAAATAAACAATTTTTTNCTAACAATGCAAACGACTAAAAATGATTTAACTTGAGAAGTTTAAATAATTGGAAACTGGTTGGAAAAGACCTTTGTGTAAATGTTGGCTATATAATCAGTAACAAAGTGTTAGTAGCTGATGTGCTGTAAAATTGTACAATAAATTTGTTTTTTTCAAAGGAGCAAAGCAGGGGGAAAATAAATAAAGCTACGGATCTATACGAGTGGTTCCATGTCTTAAGGCTTACATTTCGTAAAATATTAGAAGGTGGTGCTCAGCAAAAGTGCTAGAAAATGTAAAAAAAATCAAACGTGTGGGTAAACAGGAGCTTTTTAAGAATTGTGGGTAGATCTCGAAGACATGATAAGGCACTATATCAAATGCAAGGATTATTATTATTTATTTCAGCAGACAGATTAATTTGAACCATTGCGTTCGACGTGAAATGCACCAGCCATGTGGCAGGGGGAGCTGTGTACCATGAAGTCAACTTGTGGTCTGTAATGCAAAATAAACCTAATGAGCTTGTTTTTAACTCGGCTAAAAAAAAACGCTAAGTTAAGTAGATTTAAGAGTAGGCTCTTCAAGCTGTCGAATTCTAAATAAAATGAGCAATCGATTAAAAAAGCCTTCAGCATTGTCCAGTCTCAGAGACGACATTATGAAACTCTTGGATAGTGACGAATGGTAAGGGCTGTCGTTCATCGTGTGCAAACATCGATTGCACACCATGTGTAAATATGTAATGAGGGGATAATCATGTAGTTAAACTAATGAGATAATTAATTTTGTAGCCGAAAAAATTATTGAAGCCCTTTTCCAAAAGTGAACTAAAACATTCGTTCGTTCACATAATTCCTACATCAGGTAAGAATATCAAAAGGGCCCATTATTTTGCACATCAGGGAAGCTGAGTTGGTAGTAAGCCATTAAATGGCATTATTATGGTCAGGATACAAACTGGTGTGTAATGTATCACAATACCTGTTGAACTGTCCAATCATTTTGTCAAATGTAACTCATTTGTGGAACTTTTTTTTGCTGACGGTGGTCGAGCTAACATTAGACTGACAAAGACAGCGCTAGACTTTCGAAAATTCACAATGACAAAAGCAAATCACAGAAAGTCAGGGAAAACAAAGCATTTGCACACTCTAACAAATTCTTCATGCGATCGGCACATAACATTTCTTTTCGATAATAAACGGCTGGATTACTTTTCACTGCGGACCATCTCCCATCCTGTTTATTTAGGAGTTCAGCTGAGTTTTAAAGTGTCTTTTCACTGAAGTCCATACAATTCTGTATGAAACTCCATTTCACAATCTAGATTTTAACTGAAATGAAAGTTTATTGAAATGTTTTTTTAATATGTATATTTGTTACTTACACGATGCTCAAACTACATACACAAAACATACACCTCTACCCTTCCACCCCCCCAATCCTGCGATGTAAACCAAGTCTTCTGCATTTATGCTCAAGAGCCAGAGCTCTAATCCACACAAATCCAGGCTGTTTGAGAATAAGAGTGTTGAAATCATGCTATAACTATCAGAAACTGTAAGGTTCCGTCCTTTCTTGTATCAGCTGTTAATCGCCCCAGATATAAATAAATACCCATATTCTGTTCTATTATTGTCCCTCACGTGAAGCATCTTGTCCTGACATACTGACATATCTGAAAGTAATGTTCTGGGATACAATACAATTTGCATTCATACAACAACTTTCACGTCAGGAGGACATCTCAAAGCAGTCAACACTGCTGGCTGAGCGTGGAAGCCAAAGGAGGCAAAGTAGGAGAAAGATGACCGAAAGCACGGTCAAAGAGGGACATCTTGATGCAACATTTTCATGGATTTTAGAATATGGAAGAATTGGAACTGACATCTTGTCTAAAAGCATCAATAATCCATCCAACTTGTTTTGGATGGGAGGGTGGGTAGTCTGGAAGGATGAGATCAGATGGGCCGAAGGGCCTTCTTCATCCAAACTAATCTTATACGTAACCTACCACTTGGTGGCATAGTGTTAAGGTTGTCAGTTTTCCGAAGGATTTCACCATTTCAAAGAGCACTCGAGGGTTTATTAATAGTTCAGGAAACTAAGCTGCCCACAAGTCCACCAGCAACTCCCAGGGTCAGCTTGATTTTGTGCATTTTCCGTTCATCAGTCCATCCAAAAAGGTTCAAAACTCTAAGTTTAAAAAATGACATTTAGAGAGACACAGTAAATGAAACCGACGCTGAAATGAAAATTTACATCTGTAACAAGACGTACAAAGCTTAAAATGAGCATGGAAGGCTGTCAACTTCACTGATTGAGTACAGAACACAGATGACCTACACTGATGAGTCAGACGCACACTTCCTGTAAGCCGATTTCAACATTAACTATTCATACATTACGTGGGCTTATTTTCAAATAGCACAACGTGAAACTTTGCACTCTTCATTCATCCATCCATCAGGTAGATGACAGTGGATGTTGAACACACAAACACACAAATACAGAAAAAAAATTGTGGTTAATTTGCCCAATTACCAAAGTAAACTATAGAAAGCATTTTTACAGTATATCTTTTATATGCCTCATATCTTGAGATCTTGTGAATGATTTCTTCATAAAATAGCTATTTAATTCACTCTTACATATGTTGAGAAACTTGTTCAAGCCATTCATATTTTGCATTATGCTCAGCATCCCACCTCAATTATTCCAATGCCCTCCTCAACTTGTTCTGAACAGAAAATAGGAATTGCTGAGAAGTCAGCGATGCTCCACAGTGCGCTTTGTGTTCACTCGCTATTCTGTTCTTCAAGGCTAAACTGCAGAACAGAAATGCCTTAAAGAGTTGATTTTTTCTGGATTCGTGCAATTTTTAGCCCGTAGCACTATTTCTGCTGTTGTTACTCAGAAACAGCAGAATTCAAGCTTTTCCTTTAAATTTACATTTTCAGCAAAACTGGGTTAAATAAGGTTCAGTTACCATAAAGGCATCCCAATTACTTTTTCTTTTGTTGCTTTTTCAGTCTCACATTTAGGAGCTCTTCCAATTAATTGCCTCCAGTGGGATAATTAATATTCCCAGCAGTGCTTAATAAACATCAGCAGCAAAATATAATTTAACCTGTTCAACTATTCAAACTATGCGCTTTTGTAGATTCTCAGCATCTACCCAAGACTGCACCCAGATGTTTAAGTGCTCTGTGACGCTACCCTGCGTGATGGGTGCTACATAAATGCAACTTGTTATTGTGTTGGTCAATAGGTCTTTGTTTGTCCACTATATGGGGTACAAAGAGGGGGTGATCAACCTTTGAGGGAAAACACCATAAAGGGGAAAATAGATCTACCGGCAATCAACGGGATAAGAATCTACGTAGCTATTGGAAATGATACTCCAATGCATTTTCTTGTCAAAAACACTTCTAAGGGTTAACATTTTCAGTGCACCAAGAATGTTTTTCTCCAGGATATGATGAAAAGTATCTTCAGTTTATGACATTACTATCAGTTTATTGAGGCCTGAACCGCAGGAACTATGTAAGGAAATCTGATTTAAAGAGAACCTAATGTAGAGTAGATTGGCAATTTGAACACAAAGTTTAAACAGGATGCAACTTAAAACAAATTATAAAGACAGAAAACAAATTGCTTCTGTTAGCAATCCCCACCCTTCAGGTACAATGCGGATTATTAAACGCACATCTTCTCTGAAGTCCTTTAACCTGTAAAACGTTTTGAAATTCTAATCAGATTTGCATGATGTGTAATCAGTTTACTTTGCGAAATCATTGCTGTTGAGGAAATGGCTGGAGAAGATTAAGGCAACACACAATAATAATAATAATCATTGCATTTGATACAGCGCTTTTCACGTCTTCTCGACGTCTCAAATAGCACCGCAGAATCGTCAGATGTTAGTTCGTGGTCACAATTCCTTATTTTGCCAAGCTACTAATCTCAACTATGTTGTTACCAGTAAATATTGAATAATAGTCAGATTGTTTATCACAGAGGGAAGGAAATTCCCGAGGTGAGTCACTGCACTTGGATTTAGCAATTTCCCACAACTATTTCAGAGTGGCACCAGTGAAGGCCTGTATGCTGGTCACCCGTTTCCCCAGCCACTCAATCTTACAGAACACATGTAAAAAAAAATTAATCTTCATTGTAGTCCTCCGTTCATGGACAACAATTAATTTAGATATCGGACATACACTAGCACTGGCATGGATGTGCACTGGTTCTGTGCAGATTTCTCCCAATGGAATGTACAATGTGAGAAACACCCAGCTATCCTAATCTCTTCGTGAACACATCTGAAGCTATTTTAATCAGGGGAAAAATAAACCATAGGACACTTTAACAAGATTTGTCATGGTCTGTAGGGAAGAGGAAAGTGTGCGTCACACAAAAAGTCCTAGACAATGTTTCATTGAAGTGCACTTCAACATCAAAAAGTAATTATTCCATTTACTTCCCTCAAATCGACCCATTGTACCCTCAGTGGTAACCTGCTATTGGCCTTCTGCAATATAGCACCATTCAGCCTTTCAGTGATTCCTCCGCAGCCGGACTTTGCAAAGTTCCGAAGACCGCAGCTGCGTGAATGCTGTTAACTTTCGATTAATCTTTCAAGTGAACTGCACCAGAAATGTTCCAGGCGCAAACTAGAATTACAAGTTTAGAATCAGATTCCTGAAATTCTAAGATCCCACATCTTCCTTGGCCCAGACAAATCCCACCCATGTGCTAGACAGCATTGAATATGGTTATTCGCCAATTTGTTGGAACTAGAATGTCAACTTATTGAGCTGCATTTTCCATCGTGCACAAGTAATACATGGGAACCTTGCAGAGATCATACAATATTTTCTCAAAAATATCCACATTTTCTTAACGAACTCTCATGGGATGGTTTGGGATCCTTTCAGAAAGCTCAGAATTCACCCCTTAGCTCAGGAAACATTCATCGAGTTGTAAAGGGAAATTTCAGGAGATACAAGGCCGTTTTTCTTTATGCAGAGGGTAATCAAAATTGGAACAGATTGCTAAGAAAAATGCTAGAAGCCAGGACACTACTCATTTGAAAGGGAACCTGATGCAGCAATGAAGTGGATGGTCGGGTGGGTGTTCTGGAGGGATGAGATAGGGTGGGCCCAAAATCTTAGGATCTTGAGAACACTCCCATCAAGTCATTGAATATCCAGTACTCTACATCCTCCCTCCCTCTCTGGATGTAAAGTGCATCTGTCGTGGGAAATTCCACACATTTAAGCACAATTCAGTAATGTTAGGTTTTCCTGGCTTGTTAAGTCATGAAATAAAGCTGGAGGCTGCTTAGTCATTTAATCTATTCAATCTTCTTCCAGTTACTGCGTTTCGTTGACAATGTGGCCCGTAAACCACATGACTTGGCCAAGGGGTAAAATCTCAGGGCTGTAAACGTCAGTTTATTAGTCCAAGAGTTCATTTTGTTTCAAAATAGTTAGACCGCACACTGATTACCAATAAGCAGATATTATCATGTGCAGAATTCAAAGCCTTGATTTGTATTCCGCCCTGGTCTTAACATCTGGCAACAGCCTGTGTGAGTCACAGCCCAAAAACTTTATACATTCAAGTTATTACCGCAGCACAGAAGTTGGTCAGTATATAGGAAGTTGCAGCTACTGCTTTCATGCTCCCGACTTAAGTCAGCAAAGTCTGGATAAACAGTGCAAAAACTTGTAAAAGCATGGTGCATAAATTCATCAACATTTTCTCTGTCTGTGCGCTGGACATTCTATTGCTTTATAACCAACTAAATCTTTTGGTCACAAGACCACTGGAGTGAGATCACAAGTTCTTTGAACATACGAGCTCTGAGAATCTAAGAGGTTATCTTATGAGAAAGCATCTGAAAAATAAGATAACTTTATGAATGGAAACTGCTGCTTATGCCAATAATAGTTTCACCCAAAGCTTTTTAAATCCACGAGGAAAACGGCAGTGAATGTTGCAAAGGGGAAATTTGTGTGCCTCTTCCCTTTGGCTCACGTTGCTTCCTTAAAGAGGCCCACTCTGTGGAAAAACAATATATGTGGAAAAACAATATTTGAGTAGTGAGAAAGGGTCCCATCTGTGCGAGTTAATACAGGGACAGTCCAAAACACACCAGATGAAGTGGCTGAAAAGTACAGCGTGCGAGGGGCATTACTTAAAAAGTCAAGCACCACGAGATGGGCACCACTGAAATAGTCAATCTGCTGACAAGGGCCTAAAATTGTTCAATCCAGCAGTTTATGAGCATATTCCACTGCAAACTGCTGCCAAAACCTTGCTTTATTCCCCCAAACCCAATACAAACCAACCCATTTGAACTATATTCCCTCCCGAACATAGAATGTTGCTGGCAAGTTACTACCTTCCAAAGCCACCAGATAACAAAAGACCGGAGGGAGAATTGGAAGTTTACCCTCGTGTCCTCAAACGACAGCAGAACGGGTGGTCCAGCTAAGAATTCTTCAAAGAACCTTGCAGAACAGTAAGTTAGGGCATTTGCTAAATTCACTCTGGTATTGCTCCCAGTTCTTTAGGATTGGAGTGCTGAAGATAACAGGACTTTTCTAAAAACATTTTAGCACCAATGGTAAAGCATTAAAAAAGTAGAGAGCAATTGTCATGAAGCGGGGTGGTAATTGGCATTTCCCTATATCCACGTTGCTGACATGCTCCATTATAATTGCCAGACTTTGGATTACTCCATTATAATATGAATGCAAAGTTTGGGGTGGAGTAAGAAAAAATGAAATTGGTTTCACAAATTTTGTATCATTCCACAACTGGAATTTCCCAGTTTACTTAAGATAGTCGAAAATAAATTTAGCCACCAGAGCTATATATGGTGAAAGTGGTGAAATTAACCAATATTTTAAAACATTTTAGTTTAGAAAGTTAATGCAAAGGTCATCCTTGATAACATCAATTTTGTCCAGTAATACAGAATATGGCTCAAGGTACTGCATACATTATAAGAAAGGGATTTTTTTAAAAAAAGGAACAATTAATGATAATTTGATCATTTAATAATTATTAATTAATAATAATCTGTTAAGGTGCTATATCAAATTCAAACATTATTATATTTTATTAATTAAAAATGTGCTTCTTACCAATCCTACATTTGTGCCAATAAAACGCTGTGATTTAGAAAATATGTAGTTCAGGACCCAAATTTTTAAGCAGCTTTGACATATAAATTGAAGTTCCAAGAAGATTCAATGTACTTACAAATGTAAGCTATTCACTTTATTAATGGGAATTTGCTTATTCATAACCCTATTTATTTCCATATGAAATTACAGTTCAAAAGATTTCCAATGTAAATCACTCAGAGTAATTTGCCTCAGCTGACTCATCAAGTTCAGCAAAATATCAGTTGTGTTCAAAGATGTTGAGTAACACCAAATCTCAAAGGTGTACAGGGCGTTGGTTTATGGAATGATTCAGAGGCATTTGAGGTTAAATTCACCAATCACAATCAGTTTTCCACTTACAGAATCCATTACATAACCTCAATACCATCCAACCCCTAAATCGCCCACTTTCAGTTTGCTTCTCCAACAAAGTATTTGCTTTATATGGGCTGGACAAGGATGGTATGGACGGAATGGATTTTTGAAATGTTTTAGATCTGTTTTGCGACATCATTTATTCCTACTGCATTCACTCTGATCACTAGTGAAAGCCTTCATTAAATTCTTAGAAGTGGAGAAATTAGGTCTTCAGGTCTTCTCTTCAAATTATATCAGAACAAACGTGTTGAAATGTCAATTATTCACTATTTAGGTCAGGCATTTTTAGGACATTTAAAATTCCCCTGCAGAACGCAAAAAAAAAATTCAACCTAAATAACTAGCAAAAGTTGCAGTACTCAATTATTGTGAGGGGGTGGGGGAAAATGGCTTTTCGTTACACTCTTATAAACCTGTGATGCCTTTAGAATTTCCTAACGATTTTTTGTTGTTGCTGCAGTTTACTTCTGACATGTCATTTTCAGTGTTATTCATTAGCCATGAAAGATTTAATAATACCAGTATCTAGTTAGCAAATATATTTGAAGTTGTTAAGGATAAGTGAAGGTACAATCAAAAGTTGCATGCAACAAATTATGCCCGACCACATAAACACATTAAAGGCGGCAACCAGCAAATATAATGCAGGATAAAAAGGTTAGACAGGTATTTGGATCTTCACCTTCAGGCTAGGGAGGAAATTAGTTAACAAGGTAGCAGCATTTGAGCAAGTTCTACATAGGCAATGCAAGAATGGCCTCATTCAGCACTTTGTATCTGGTTAGTCACAATATAACTACCAAAAACAATCTTTTGCCTTAAACCTCATATTTGGGCTGTTGGATCTAAACCAGATTGGGGGGATGAAGGTGGGAAGAAAGGAGCAAAGAAAGGAAAATGGCACTAGATCTGTATGGCCATCTAGAAAGGTTGGCATGGTATTTGTTGGTGCAAGGACTATTGTGCGGAGATAGAGCTCCGGTACTATGCAAGATTTTACATTAATTTCCAAGGTTAAAATTGTGCACTATTTATAGTGACTTCAGGCTGATACTTTGGCATGGCAGGTTAGAAAAGAAACATACCAAATTGGACAAATTGCAGTCCTACAAACAGCTAACTACCCCAAGGTAATATCCACTTTTATTTGTTAGAACCAGACTGAATCACTCAATTAACTGAAGCACTGGGTTTATGGGTAATAATTGTTTGTGCTAATCATAATGCACTTTCCATTACCCTTTTTTTGTTGAACATTTCAGAATAAAAAAGCGTGTTCAAAACAAAGCATCTCAAACATCTAAAGTGTTCACGAGAGTAATTCGGATGAAGAAGGCTCTTTGACCCATTTAAATTAATTCTTCTAGATTTCCTGCCCAATCATCCTCCCATTACATCATTGAGCAGTGTCTTGAAAGTGCCCAGTGTCATAGCCTCAACCACCCTTCCTGGTAGCCTGTTCCAATGGTTAACTGCAAGACGGATAAACAATATTTATGGGGATTTGTCTTGAAATTGTCCTTTGCAAACCTGAAATGATGCCCTCGTTTTTGGCTTCCCATTGAAGAAACAAAAATTACTCAGTAACAAAAAAAACTGCATGTCAAATAGATCAGACTTGATACTTCACAATTCTTAAGTTTTATTAATGAGTTGCAACCCATTTCCATCAAGATCAGAAAACATTCAGATTTTTTTAAAAAATTGCTCAGCACTAAAATCATAGTGCGTAATCCTTCAATGCCAGGTAGATTTGCCTGATCAGTTTAGTGCCCAGAAACCTATAGTTATATGGGTCAGCTATGCACACATTTTATGACACAGCTGCATTTGAGGATTCAATGGATCACTTGTCAAACATATAAATGATTATTTGCACAAGATGTAACATGTTAATTCAAACACCAAAACACCATCCGGTTATAATTAGTGAAACCACAGGTAATAGTGCTACAATGTACATGCAAATAGTCTTTCATTATTTTCATAATTAGTCTTGAAAAGCTGCAATTTGAAAATAATCCTATTTTCTCAAATATTACATATTGTCACCTCTAGCTGATTCATGACGATCAACCATAAGTATTTGACAAGCTTGCAATAACAACAACAAAATTACATTTGTATAGCGCCTTTCACATCAGTGTGACAAAGAACAATGAGGCAGTTACATTTAGACTCCAGGAAAATATGATTTTTAATATTTGGACAATGGCAGCATACCTCCTCTTTGTCAGTGTACAACTGCTTATTCAAAGGGAGGAGGCTGTAGCCGGAGTTCAATTTAACTGATGCACACATAAATATCTTGATTGCATTTGGTTAGTTTCTCATACATCTGTACAATGATACCGTTTTGAATTCACTTTTTAAAGCTGGTACTGAAATTTAAAAACCTGTCATTGGGCACCTATGTGGGCAGGGCAGCAGGTTATCTTTTATTGGTAAATAAAAATCCATCAATTAACTCACTTATCCACACATCTGTTTTTATTTGTATTACGACACATTGATTCAAGTACCAGCATCAACCAATGCTCCCATTCTGGCTTTTCCCAGAACTGGACTTGTGGCCCACCCTGTGGGGGGCTAAATATGCCTAAATTGGTTGGAAAATGATCCAGTTGAGCACTCTTATACACTGGACATTGAGCAGCATTGTCAGTCATGGAATCTTCATGGTCACCTGCTGATCCAGGGGGTATGTTGTAGAAAATGCCAAAAGGGGAAAACAAAGTACTAAAATAATCAAGTGTCTCAGACAAAATGAATCAAGAATGGATAGTAATTTTATTAAGACAAGAAGCAAGGAGGGAAGGACCATCACTTTGGGGTGCACAAATATCATGGATGTAAAGGGAACACAAGGCTAGCATTCAATTGAGAGCAGGATCCATTTGAAACTGTATGATCCAAACACTGACAGGCATAAAAGCAAAGACTATACATACAAGAGATTGGTCATCAGCTAGAATGAAAGAGCAAATAAAACCAAAGTGAGAATGAGAAAACCTCATGCAGAAACTATGTCACAGCAAGTTGACTTTCGTCAAATATCAGTAGCTCTTAAAAGTGATTTAAGGGAAGTTAGTTGACCCCTTGAATTTGATCTTCTCCCAGCTGAGATTGTGGAACTATGTACAGGACCTGAATGAAAAACAGACAACATCAAAGAGAAGGAAATGAATGGCAAGGTCTTAAGGCATCCATGGTCAGCCTCAAAGAGAATCATAGTTTAATTTCACAAAATTAAATGACAATAAATTAAGCTGATATCAAGCTATATTTCAGCCACCATAAAAATATTTGCTAACAGCTTCTTCTGGAGGTTACCATTAAACTTCAGTCCTGCTGAGATCAGATGATTTACTTTAAAAAGTGTACCTTGTCCCCACTCCACAATTTAATTTGAAATACTTCAACATGCTTACACCCCTTTCTACAGTGGCACCAAACTAACTTAACTCTGGCCCCTCTGCTGACATTTCCAGTTACTGAGTTTGCTGAATGCGTGTAGAAACCAATGTATTGGAAATTTTCCCTACTGCACTTTTAAACCAATTAAAAATTTATAAAACATTCAGGGATTTCAAGTTGTGTTTATCCATTAAACGTTAAATTAACCGTTGGTTCATAAAAATTCCAACGGTTAATTTAACAAGTAGGAAAGAAGAAGCCTGTTAATTGTACACCCCAATATAGAAAACAGAAAGTCAAATAATCTTCATCTGTAAGTGAGGTTACATGGAAAGTAATCTTTGCATGTGTTATAACATTGACATCTCAAAGTACTGCACAATATTTCTGTAAAGTATGGTGATCACCCGAGACAAACATGGCAGCCAATTTGCACACACCAATGCCTCCCGAGCAACCATAAAATTAATGATTTTTTCTGGGGTATTATTGGTCAGGGCACCAGGAAAAAAACACCCTTTTTATTTAAACTCATGTCATGGAATCTTTAATGTCCACCTGACATGCAGATAGTATCTCAGTTTAATGTCAATGTTAAGGGCTTCCCAGTGCTGTACCGTGTGTCAACCGAGACTACAAGCTCACAATGAGGAGCTTGAACCCAAAGATGAATGCTACCAATTCAGCCAGGCTAACACCATATTTAGTACAAGGCAAGCTTTCCAGTTCAGTACAGAAATAAGTAGCAATAGGGGCTGTAGGGCTACTATTACTATCTTTCATTAGAGGCTAAGTAGGTTTTTAAAGGGCTGCAATAATTTAAGTTTAATTGATGTGACCTGCATACCTGAATAATCTTCCTGGTTCAAGCAGAACAAGGTGCCCAGGGAGAAAAGCAACTGAGTCAGGGGGTAACCTAAGCAACTGACTGTTCTGAAAATATGAATCATTGCATTGTTTATTCTAAATCTAAGATGAGGCATCAGTGTCCGCATGACATTATTTGGCAACAAAACTGGGAATAAAAAAATTATTTTAAATGTACACATCCACAAACGCTCAAAGCTCAAGGTTACTTTGCTACGTGAATTGCCGAAGCCATCGCAATTCTTTTTAAATCTCTACTTCAGTTACGAATAAAAGTTTAACATGTAGCAATTCTTGAATAAAGGCGTGCAGAGCATCATTCAAATTAATTGGACAAATGAAGATACAGTATTTAAACTTCAACTTAGGTCACTGGACAAATTCAGATTGTAGTGTTAAATCTTAGAAACATCTGTGTAAATTAAAAGTACTACTTTCTGGTAAACCTGCTGCAAAAACACACCATGCATTGGTAAATTTATTTAAAAGTGTGTTGTGAAATCGGAAGAATTGCATAACCTTAGTTGCAGCAGAAAAGTACTGCAGCAGCCCCACCCAACACATAATGGAGTAATGTACATTTCACAAAAATAAAAAAGCAAATCCTGAGCTTCTGTATAGAACTTAATGATTTGTAACCTATGAAACTATGAATCAAGTTCCTTCAGACAACTTAATCAGTTTACTCACATTGAATCACAATCAGGCTACTCCATCTAGCCTACAAAGCAGCACATTCAGATCCTCTTCAGTGTCCTGTTGTAAATGGCCAACCTCAACAGTTCTTCAACTGGCAGCTTTAGCTGCTTGACAGTGACATAAAACTAGCCAGTGAAGAACGGCTGCAGGATAGCCAGAGAAACAGCAGTTCATGGCATTCAACTCTCCTACAGAAAGAACAAAGAATTTACTTCTTAGGACAAAGTCATTTTATTTTATGAAATTTTATGCTAAACAACCACTTAATTTATCACAATGATCTTTACAACACTTAAGCTTAAAAGGGCCAGAATTCACCAAGCATTCAAAACAAAACCTGTTGGCAGTTTATTGAAAGATAAATAACCATTACTAAATGATTCAAGACAAATTACTGGCCAGGAGCATCTGCTGAAAGAAATTCAAAATATTTTCTGCCTATCACAGCCTGAACATTTCATTTCAAATGTTTACTTTTCAATTGAAATCTACTTAGTTGGTTATTTTTAAATATGTCCCACTCTCCGAGACTTACCAAAAGTGAGAGGCTGTACTGTAGCTAAGAGAAACTGCCATGGCCTGTATTCCAGGACTGTGGGTTACTCAGTCAAGTTGTGATGCCATGAATTCCTGGGATGCCTCTTACATATGATATGAATTCCATCCAGTCTGTCGGCCCCTATTTGTCTGAACTGCATTCCAGATTTCTGTACCGCCCTCCACTTTGGCTTTAATGCATGATTCAGCACTAGGCCAAAGGCCACAGCTCAAGAGACTTTGATCCAATGACTTTACAGGATATAAAGTTGAGATTGGAGGGAGGCGGAGGAATGGGTTGAAGTAGTCTGGAGTCCCTGTGAAAATAACAGATTGAAAAAAGTTCAATCATAGGGTTGCATAATGAAACACTGCAGCACATCCAGATGTTAAGATTATAACTAGATGCAAAGTACATTTTTTCAAAGTCAAACGTTTGCAGCACGATTTCACAATACCTAAATTTGTCCGAAATGAAATTAGAATAAAATTGTACGCCAGAGATGGTTAAATATCAAACGATATTATGATAGTATGAGCAACGTCATCAGTTTGGGTGGCATAAATATTTTAGACACTTGACCACCCCACTCCCGCAAAAAAAGATTAAAACTATGATAAAAACCCACTGTATTTATACACACAGTTCTACAATTGACCAAATTGACATTTCAAGAACGCAACACCTTTGGCAGCATTACACATTAAAGTTTGCATCAAAACAGCGAAGTTAACGAGACATATAACACTGCACAGCGCACCTACCGAGGAATAAAATATAAATAAAAAAATACCGAGGGATTGAAATTCTTATTTAAAACTTCCCTCTTACTGCCACTTTAAATCACTCCCTCCGAGAGAGAAAATAAAAACTTAACCAGTTCCAGATAATGTTCCCGGGATTTACAGTAAATCCGCATTAGTCATCTCTCACTAGTTTTCCTGGCACTGAGATTTTGTTCACCGGCTACTTTCGACTCCGGGGTGGGGGGAAATGCACAGCTCACTTTGGGGCTGGGAAATAAAAATCACGGCCGCATTTTGAACACCCTTCGTCGCATGAACTGACGGGGGGAAAAAAAAACACTGTCAGCAGCGCACACACACACACAAAAAAAATACTCTTTCTAAAAAAGAAACGGAACCGATGACATTGGAGCGAGACAGCTCCCTCCAGCTCCAAACTAAGGGCATTAAAACTCAACCTTACTGCAGTGTTGCGTAAGCACAGGCGTTTTCCCGACATTTAATAGACAGTATATATATATATATTTTTTAAAAAAATAGGGAAATCATGCTGGCTTCGGGCAACATTAAAGAGCATTAAAATACGCCTCTGGCGGGATGTCTGGCGAAGCAAAGGTTTTAATAAAATATACATTCCAGTCGGTTAGATCTACGCCATATGGAAACGTAAAAGATTTATCCAGAACTTCTGCGGGTCAGGCTCGGCCCGGGGTGGAGGCTGACCCTTCTTTTTTTAAAAAAAAACTTAAGACACGTTTTTAATTCATGAATCTCTCTCTTTTTTTTTCTCTTTCCCCCCCACCCCACTACACCCCCCCCCACCATAGCAATTGCACTTCCAGAAGTTTCCAGCCATATCCACGTTATTTTAAATATATAAGCGAGACCTTAGTCGAGAGGAGGAAGAGAGAGAGAGAGAGAAAAAAATATATATCAAACCCGAGCCAGTTTCTTCCTTTGACGCGGAGTAGCTCTCTTGACCTACACGTTAACTAACCCACACATGTAAAAACCCAGAGAATATAACTTTTCCCCCCCCCCACATACATAGGGGTGAGGGGATGGTGGTGATGGGGGGGAGGGGGGAAACAAACCCCCCCAAAAAAAGTCATTTCGACGTAATATATACCAAATAAAATCCAGATAAACGCGGAGACCTCGATTTTTCTCTCTCTCTCTCTCTCTCTCCAGTCGAGTTGCTCTCGTGTGTTTTTTTTCAAAAAAAAGACAAAATAAAAAGTTTTGTTGCTTTGCTGCTGCACTTTGCAGGGAGTTGTCTCTTTCTTTTTTTTAAAAAAAAGTCTCTTTTTTTTTAAAAAAAAGCCTCATCATATTTTACTTCAGAAACTTGTGCAGTTTCGCGCACCGTCACCACACGGCCGCTGCCACCAACCGCCGTCGCCGGTTGAGTCCCCCCCGGACCTGGTAAACCGACCAAAATTCCTCTTTTTTTTAAAAAAAAGGTAATTAATTTTGTTTTGCCCCCTCCCTCCCTCACTCACCCCCTCCTCCACACACACCCTTACTCTCTTCCTTTCATCAAATAACTACTCGCTGAGAAGTCGACGTCTTTCGCTGACAGGGCAGAGTTCCAGCAGAAAGCCCTCGGCTCGGCATTCCGTGCGCTACGCTCTGGTTAAGTTTTTTCTTTCCAAAAAAAAATTAAAAGCCAAATTAAAAGCGCACTGCAAACTGCCACCGCCCGTTCGCTTCGCGGCGTCTCCAACCGGCGAACTAACTAACTCGCTCGCTCGCTCGCTCGCCCGCTGACTGACTTGACTGACTGACTAAACCCGGCTCGAGCTCAACTTCACTTGACAGCTACGGGTCCTCGCGACGTTGCACATGATCGACAGGCCCGGCGGCCACTCGGAAGGCGCGGGGCGTTGTGAGGGCGGGACCGGCCGGATACACCACCCAATCGGAACAAGCCTCGAGGGCGGATTCCGCGTGACGTGAGCGAGCGAGGGACGGCCGGGTCGGGGGCGGGGCAGGGATTGGGTGGGGGCGGGGATTTAAAGCACCTTTGGGAAAAGGGGGGGGGGAGAAAAAGACTCGTCATCGCCGCGCCCATCAGCCTGATTGACGGCCGCCCAGATCCAATCGAGGCTCCCGACGCGACGTCTGCCTGGCAGAGGATCCAATGGCGGACGCGCACCGGGCGGGGTGGGCGGGAGGAACGCGGTCCCTGCCGAGCTCGCGGTTTGCCAGCCCGCTTTTCAAATCGAGGCGACGGTTTGCGTGAGAGGCGGGCGAGTCGCGAGGCGAACTCCAATTCCCAGGAGCGCGTGGCGATCTCTATGACTTGGCATTTTTTTTCCCACTCCCCCCCCCCCTCCCCACTAATAACCCTTTTAAATATTACACGAATACAGATTATTATTATTTTTTTATGGGGGGGTGGGGGGGCTTTTTTTTTCCCTTTCCATTTCAAAAATTCGGAGTAACAACGGAAGGAAGGCAGGTCAGGGATCCCGACAAATAATTTTAATCGGGGTTTTAAACCCCCACAACAACACCCCCCCCTCCCTCCCCCACCGCGCGACTTCTTTCGTTCTGTTCGGGAGCCACAATCGTCCATCGCAGCCAACAAGTTCAGCTTTTTTTTTCCCCGGGTGTTTGTTTCGCAGTGCCTCGTGTAATAATCGCTCAAGGTAAATGCGAGTTGAAGTCGGGTGAGTGATTTTTTAAAACCTTTTCTGCTGCAATGCTTTTGACAGCTTTTCCCCCCCTCCCCCCCTCCCGCCCGCCCGCCCGGCGTTCACGAACAGCCCTGAGGTGATTGATGGACGGCATCTTGTCAGGTCCAATGGGAGCGTGCGATTGGCCATCGATGCTGTCAATCGTCCAGCGGTGTGGGCGGGAACTCGAGTCGCGGGTGGGGGGGGGAGGGGAGGGGAGAGGGGGGGTGTGGCCTCGGTGACTCATCAGGAAGAGCTGAACAGGAAGCGGCGGCCGCAGCAGCTGATCGCGCCGCGTGACCACGTGGGCAGGCGATCAGCTGTTTCCACATCCCGCACCTCGTGATCAAATCCAGGTCACAGGAACGTGATGTCAGCGCCGGACCGCCGTCATGTGCTATCAATGCAGATTTCTGTTCTGTCATCAATTAAAAAGGATCATCTGCTTCCCGCACACGTGTCGGTTTGACATAGCACCATCTCAGACACGGATACTGTTTCCAGCACCCACACCCCCCCCTCCCCCACCACCCACCCCCCTACCCCTCGCCTCCACCTCCACCGCCCACCTGAAGGGCACACTATAAAATCAAGTTGCTTTTGCATAAAAGAAGAACTTCGTGCAGAACACGTAAGAGTCGCTTCCTGAGCAGGCACCATCGTGTTTTTTTTCTCTTGTTTTCATTTCCTAAAAATCCTTCCTGTTACACGTACAGGTTGGAAAACTTAACTGTATTGTATATTGCTTTCTGTTCGTTCTGTTCCAACCTACTCTTTGAGGATGAACGTGGTTACCAATTCGTATTGCGACTAAAAATGCAGTACAATAATTCAAAAGGAATGTAAAGGAAAATTGCTCCAGGGAGAAAGAGCCCTGTGAAGTGCGGATATCCATTCACTTTTATATTTGTAAATAAGTGTGGTTATGGGGCAGAACCAATTATTTGGAGAAAAAGAAACATTTGCAGTGTACAACATTGTAAATCTAATTATATTTGTAAACATTTCAGCAGCACAAATATTGTATTATTTACATGTATCATTTGTAAAATGTATTCAATTACTCAGTTCCTGAAAAGCATACTTTTTGGGGCTTCTAAATGTATTGGAATTACTTTTTAAGGAAATGATAACTGAAAGACTGATGTAAAAGTACACATGAAAAAGTAGATTTTGTGATAGAAATTTATTACTGTAATTTACCCAGACGCTTGTAAGTATCATTCTAATTTTGACTGCTTAAATGATTATAATGTACAGTATTTTGGAGTAGGAAAAGTCAGCTAAACCCCAATCATCTCCATCAACCAGTATTATAAACATATCCCTCGATCATTTTTCAGTCCACAAATCTAATTTCTTCTTGAGTTTTTGCTATTTGTTTCAATTCCTCTCCCTGTTAAGTATTAAAAGTATATCTCCAAAATATGCAGTCACTACGCTTTACAGTAAATCCCGTGAAGCTCTTTGAGATGTTCTCCTGTGTGAAGGATGCTGTGCCAAATCCAAGGATTAGTTATTCATTTAAACATCACATTGAACTGCATCTGTCATCTTTAGGCCCATTTACCAAAATCTAATCCAATATATTTGTAATTTCTTCTCCCAAGATCATACATAGCTCTATCACTACATTATGCCTAGTTAATAAATACTCGGCCTTAAACTTGTAGAAACGAACTATGAGTGCAGTGTCCATTGATTCATTCCTCCCTTGCGCAAAAGTCAGTCTGCCCAATGGGGCAAGGCCTCATGTTTCTACATCTGAAACTATTAAGTTAAGAATCAATATTCAAATGATGTCACAGTGTGCCTGAAGTAAAAGGACACTATGTTCCTCGGTCATGCAAATTTTCACACATCAAAAATGAGGTCTGCTAATTTCTGGGTATACCTATCAAATACTGCACAAGCCAAGCAGTAAGCAAGCAAATTTTTAAATAAGTAACTGCTGTATTTTGCAATGGCTTTGAATTTAACAATTTTTGAGTCTTTTTATATAAAGAGGAGTTGGTCAGATACACCCAGAGTTTTCAAAGAATTACTGAAAGGGGCAATTTGCCAAAAACATTACATTGAATAATGTGGCACAGAAGCAAGCCATTCAGTCCTACTAGTCTGTGTGGAAGCAAACCAGTGGATTCTGGAGTAATTGAGAATGTTTGTAAAATGTATCAGAAACTTGCCCACTGAAAAGTAAACAGATAAATCAATGGATCAATGGATGAGTCACTTGCATATATTTCTTGTCACTGGTTACATTTGTTTTGTTCAGCCAGGCGTCCGACATAAGCCGAATTCCATCACCATGCTTAAGAGTATTCAATCAAACTGAAAATTCCATGTATGCTACCTACGCATGAAAATTCCTGTCATTATGACTAAAAATGAGCAGAGGCCTGGAAGCAGATGAACTGGTAGTTCCAAAATGAGGGGAGTGATGCATTATCATGGAAGATGATACAATTGATCAAAATGTAGCCCTTTTTAAAGTTGTAATTCACTTTATTCATCTCTATAATATCCATGTCTATAACTACAGTCATATCAATATCATGGACCTCTCTGACATAGCCATGATTGCTCTTGTTAATTTTAATATATCATCCAGGACAAGATTACAGTCTTACACTATTTGTCTCAAGATATTTACCATAAATCGTTGAGTCCACCCT